GTGGAATTTGCATGACCCCCCACCTACTACCTTTCGCTTAATTCTTTTCAACTCTGTCTGCATAAAACAGAGAGAACTAAGCAGTAACTGAACATATGGGTGGGGGGGGGGGAGAGACTGACTCCACATGGTGGAAATTATAGTTCACCCTGCATCAAGACACAGCACTGTGAACCCCCACCAACAATGGACCCGGACCACATTTGGCATGCAGAACCCCCATAGCCAAAATAACATACTGGGGGCTTTGGAGGGAGGGCATTACCCTTGACATTTGAGAGTTGTAGATACTGAGATTTATAGTTCACTGGCAATCAAAGAGCACTCTGGACCCCACCAATTATGAGCCTGGACCAAACTTGGCACGCATACCCAATATGCCCACATTTGAATACTAAAAGGGTTTAGGGAGGATTGACCTTAATTTGTGGGAGTTGTAGTTCAGGATGTTTTATAGGGTTTTCTCTTCTGCTGTACACCACTGAATTTCTCTGGCATACTAACAAATTTGGTAGCCAGTGATGGAAATGAAAAGCCACAAAAATATCCGGGGAAGCTATATGTGACTCCCTTTGGTGTATAGGATTCTAGCTTGAAACCTGAGTCCATTCTCTTTGCAATTGACAATTGAAAATTAACAGTGTGACTGTGGGGTTGAATTAATTAATATTGGGTCAGTCCTAGCTAGTACTTTGGAAGGGGTGAGAGCCCCCATCGAATCCCAGGTGCTGTAGGCTATATTTCAGAGGAAGGAAATGTCAAAGCCACTTCGGATTATTCCTTCCCTAAGAAAATCCTATGAAATCAATGAGGGTCACCGTAAGTTGACGGATGACTTAAAGGCACACACACATACACACATACCACCTGTCTTCCTGCACAGAATTCAAGGTGGCTTACAACTACTTCAAAATGCTTTATGATCCTGACAGCTTTGATACTTACGTACAAATATAGGATGACGGGCTGTAGTTTTATGTCATTGTCTTTTATCCAAGAAGAAACAGAAAATATATGAACACTTGACTGGGTACATCTGCTGCTTCGAGCTCCCAAGTCCCAATCAATGTTTGGCTCTGGGTTTTCCAGCTTTTGGGGATGGGAATGGGGGTGGGCAATCTATTTGGCATCCAGTCCGTGGTTATAAACCTAGCATCACGGCATTGGGAATGCAGTAGGATCATTCCAAACAGTGGCTGCTTGAAGGAGAATAGGGGAACACTAAAGCCATAAGGCTTAGGAGTAGCATTGAGGGATGTTATGTTGGCTATCTCAGATGTTTTGGGAGCACAAGACCCTGGATTCCTCTTCCTCTCCTGCTCAAAGTGGACCACAGGGAGGGAGGGCGTTTATACGAGCCACGTCATCAGATCTCTGCCTCAGTTTCCCCAGCTGCGGAGCAGAACCAAACCTTTTAACAATGATTAATGAATGGCTTTCAGCTTATGAGGTGGGAGGCTAGCAGAAGAGGGCAGATAACAATGATGAGTTGTTTTCTTGCGGCTGCCTGGCTGACTCAGCCAACTGGATTCAGCACAGAATGGAGCTAACTGGGAACTAGGGAAGGCTTGCTCTGTCTCATTTGCCCTCTCCCCACCTTCCAGTGTCTGTGTTTCACTAAATCTAGATTCCCCCTCAGTCTTTTCTGCAGGGCAAGGCACGGGGCATACGCCATGCATAGTTCTGCTTCTCTTCCCTACTGATGGTGGGATTTTTCTGTCTGAATAATTGCGGTGTCCTCCAGCTGCCCTCTGTTTCCTTCCCCCGCCTTCTGCTTCAGTTTCTCCTGCAGCCGCAAGAGATGCATTTTGTGGGCACTGTTGGCGTCGTCTTCTCCACCTCAGGAAAGGAGGGGCTGATGGGCTATGGGAGCTCCAGCTTCCCAATACCACTAGTAGCTGGAAGCTGAAAGCAATAGTAGCAGGCATCTGTAGCAAAAAGGAACTGGGGCTCTTAAGGCTCAAAGTACACATCTACTATTGTGCAGAGCTTATCAGATATTCAAAATATCCTCAGCTTGAAAGGTTTGTTAGTTTCTCTCATCTAGGAATTGTGCTCATCCAAGGGCTATGTGATTAGTGCCGTAAAGGACTGGCATTGTAGCTTTTGATGTTTGATGTTTTACCATCCTGTGGGAGGCTTCTCTCATACCCCAGCATGAGTGGCTGACAGACTGGAGCTCACCCCACTCCCCCGATTCCAACTGACGACCTTTCAGTCACAAGTCCTGCCGGCACAAGGGTTTGACCCATTGCTCCACTCAGGGCCCTTCCCCACAACCCTAGGTAAAGGTCAAGGTTTTCCCCTGACATTATGTCCAGTAGTGTCTGACTCTAGGGTGTGGTGCTCATCTCCATTTATAAGCCAAAGAGCAGGCGTTGTCCATAGATGCCCCCAAGGTCATGTGGCCAGCATGACTGCATGGAGCGCCGTTACCTTCCTGCCGGAGCGGTACCTATTGATCTACTCACATTTACATGTTTTCGAACTGCAAGGTTTGCAAAAGCTGGGGCTGACAGTGGGAGCTCACCCCAAATTTGAACCTGTGACCTTTTGGTCAGCAAGTTCAGCAGCTCAGTGCTTTAACCCATTGTGCCACCAGGGGCTCCACATAGCCCTATATCCCAGAATATCAAGGCAGAAAATCCCACAATATCTGCTTTGAACTGGGTTATCTGTGTCCACACTCAGATAATGTGGGATTTTCTGCCTTGATATTCTGGGATATAGGGCTGTGCAGAAGGACCTTAGGACACAATGGAACAATGGATTCAGACCCTAATGATACATGGTTTTATTGATTTTATTGACTCTGTTATGGTTTTATTATTCAGTTGTTTTATTATATTGAAATTGTATTTTATGGTCTTAGTACCAACTGTAAACCATCCCGAGTCGCCTGCAGGCTGAGAGGGACGGTATATAAATGCAGTAAATAAATGAATAAACTAACTGCAGGGGAAAAAATCACTTAAACTCACTTAGGTTCTGGCCATCTGCTGGGAGTACTTTGATTGTGTTCCTGCATGTCAGGGGATTGGAGTGAATTGACCTTAAGGTCTGTTCCTGTAACATTCCAACTCTATTATTTCTATGGGCCCTTCCACACGGTCAGATAACTCAAAATATCAATGCATGAAATTCCACAATATCTGCTTTGAACTGGGGTATCTGAGGGTGACTGCATGACCGCATTTCTGTTTATGAACCCACACAATCTCTTCGATCATCTGGAGAGGCCCTGCTCTTGCTCCCACCCCCTTCGCAGGCGCAATTGGTGGGGATGGGGGAGAGGGCCTTCTCTATGGTGGCCCCCCCGACTCTGGAACTCACTCTCCAAGAATATCAGACAAGCCCCCACACTGGCAGTCTTTAGAAGGAGCCTGAAAACGTGGCTGTTCCAGTGTGCCTTCCCGGAATAAAGGAAACAATGCCCTACTCTGACCAATTCCCTGCAAAATGTCCTCAGAAGCACTTTAACTACCTGCTGGGTTGCTCTCCCTACATTATCCTTTAAAACCCTCCTGCTTAGATACATCCTACCTCTGTTCACGCCCAATGTTTATTTTAAAATTTTAATCTATTACATCTAGCCTGGCCTTAAGGTTTTTAATTTTTTTTGTGTTACTGTTTATATGTGAGTTATATTAATTGTATTGTTTTATTTGCTTAGTGCTTTGTTGTTTTACTGATGTGTTATTGGACTTGGCCTCATGTAAGCTGCCCCGAGTCCCCTTGGAGAGATGGTGACGGGGTATAAAAAAAGTATTATTGGGTTGTTGTAGGTTTTTTTGGGTTATATTGCCATGTTCTAGAGGCATTATTATTATTATCATCTGAGCAGGCATGTAGCCAGGAAAGGGGGGGGTCTTGAGGAGCTTCAGCCCCCCCCCCCGGCGAAATTCTCATGGTGGTCCTTACTGATACATTATTTAAACTGTTATGTTTATTCATATCATGATCTGATCACCATGCTCAATATATCCCATATGCATGGGGGTATTGGGATAATAATGCAAAAGGTTTGCTAGGGTAGATCCTCACCCCCCAATCAAAATCTTGGCTACAGGCTTGCATCTGAGTCCACACTGCCATATATTCCAGGGGTTTAGGGAGGAATGACCTTAATTTGTGGGAGTTATCATTCAGGATATTTTATAAGGTTTTCTCTTCTGCTGTACACCACTGAATTTCTCTGGCATACTAACAAATTTGGTAGCCAGTGATGGAAATGATAAGCTGCAAAAATATCTGGGGAAGCTATATGTGACTCCCTTTGGTGTATAGGATTCTAGCTTGAAACCTCAGCCCATTTCCTTTGCAATTGACAATTGAAAATTAACAATGTGACTGTGGGGATGAATTAATTAATATTGGAGTCTAAACAGGGTCAGCCCTAGCTAGTGCTTTGGAAGGGGGGAGAGCAGATAATGTGGGATTTTATTCAGCTGTGTGGAAGGGGCCAAAGAAGTGGCTTAATAAATAGTAACTTTTCAAAGCTTCGACCATAAAGATGGAGAGTGGAAAGGCTGGAGCAGTCATGGGCAAACTTGGACCCTCCAGGTGTTTTGGACTTCAACTCCCACAATTCCCAGCAGCCTCAGGCCCTTTCCTTTCCCCCCTCAGTCTAAGCGGCTGAGGGGGAAAAGAATAGGGACTGAGGCTGCTAGGAATTGTGGGAGTTGAAGTCCAAAACACCTGTTGGGACCAAGTTTGCCCATGATTGGGCTGGAGCAGTGTTTCTCAAACTGTGGGTCCCCAAGTGTTTTGGCCTACAATTCCCAGAAATCCCAGCCAGTTTACCAGCTGTTAGGATTTCTGGGAGTTGAAGGCCAAAACATCTGGGGACCCACAAGTTGAGACCCACTGGGCTGGAGGACGCCCTGTGTGTGTTCCTTTCCTCCATGCTGCTGAGGGTGACTAGATACCCGCCCGGCGCTAGGACCCGGCGGCGACTGCAGTCGGCCTTCGCCCGCACGCTCCCTCCGTCGTTGCCAGCCTTGGCTTCCTGTCCCAGAAACGCCGACGACGACGACGACGACGAGGAGGAGGAGGAGGAGGGCGACGACAGCGGCCTTGCTTGGCGAGGCTTCGGCCTGGCCTCTCCCTGGCCACAGAGGGGCGGTGTGCTGCCGTTGCCTTTCCCCTCACGACGCCGACGAGGACTCCGGGCCCCGGCCATGCTGCGCCGGCCCTCTCCTCCTGCGGCTGCTGCTCTTCCTCCCCGGCGGGCCATGTGAGGAGGAGGCGGCGGCGGCGGCGGCTGACACCTCCCACAGGTGAGGGAGGTCTCGTGGAGGGGGTTACAGTGCCCAGGTACCCCTCCCTCTCTCTTCTGAAGGGAAGAAGTTTTAGCCTAAGCTCAAGGGGGAGGCCGAGGAGGAGGAGGAGGAGGGAGAAACGCGCAGCACCTATTTCCTGGTGGACCGCAGGGGGAGCGGGAGGCGTCCATTTTCCTTGGGAGGAGGAGGAGCAGGAGGAGGCCTGGCGCGCAGGGAGGGAAGGCAAGAGGGGCAGAGGTGGCCTGGACTGCAGCCCTCTCCTCCATCCAGCCCTAGAGATGGAAACTCTCTACGCGGGGTGGGGTTTCTTATGTCTTTCCTCAGTCTTACCATCCATCTCTCGCAGGCCCCATCTACCTTGCCATATGGAAACTGCATTATGTGAGTCTACACCAAGCATGGGCCAACTTTGGCCCTCCAGGTGTTTTGGACTTCAACTCCCACCATTCCTAACAGCCGCAGGCCCCTTCCTTCCTTCCTCAGCCGCTTAAGCGGCTGAGGGTGAAAGGAAAGGGCCTGCGGCTGTTAGGAATGGTGGGAGTTGAAGTCCAAAACACCTGGAGGGCCAAAGTTGGCCCATGCCTGGTCTACACACTGACCATCTCCTACACACAGTCCCAGGCAAACTACCAGCTGTTAGGAATTGTGGGAGCTGAAGTCCAAAACACTTGGACCAAATTTGGCCCATGCCACTGAGCGTATAATGCAGTTGCAAGCTACCTTAAGCCCTTTCTACACAGCTGCATAAAATCCACACTGAACTGGATTATATGGCAGTGTGGACTCAGATAACCCAGTTCAAAGCAGAGTTATCTGATGGAGTTTGAGACTTTATGCAGGTCCCTTCCACACAGCTGTATAAAACCCCACATTTTCTGCTTTGAACTGGGATATATGGCAGTGTGGACTCATGTAACCCAGTCAAAGCTGTTATTATGGATTATCTGCCTTGATATTCTGGGTTATATGGCTATGTGGAAGGGTCCTTGGATGGAGTTTGAGACTTTATGCAGGTCCCTTCCCACACAGCTGAATAAAATCCCACATTTTCTGCTTTGAACTGGGATATATGGCAGTGTGGACTCAGATAACCCAGTTCAAAGCAGATAGTGTAGGATTTTCTGCCTTGATATTCTGGGTCATATGCCTGTGTGGAAGGGTCCTTTGATGGAGTTTGCGACTGTATGCAGGTCCCTTCCACACAATTGAATAAAATCCCACATTTTCTGCTTTGAACTGGGATATATGGCAGTGTGGACTCAGTTAGCTCAGTTCAAAGCAGATATTGTGGGATTTTCTGCTTTGATATTCTGGGTCATATGCCTGTGTGGAAAAGCCCAGAGATCCAAGGAAGTGTGACACAGCACACATGAAAACAAACACCCTGGGGCCCTTCTACACAGTCCTATATCCCAGAATATCAAGGCAGAGAATCCCACAATATCTGCTTTGAACTAGGTTGTCTGAGTCCACACTCAGTTAATGTGGGATTTTCCACATTGATTTTCTGGGATATAGGGCTTTGTGGAAGGACCCTTAGTCTCTCTCTCAAATACTCTGGTAAATCAGGTTGAAAATGATAGATTGATGGTCTTCTCCAGCTTTATTTACCCATGATCATCTTCCAGGTTTTTTTGGACTTCAACTCCCAGAAGTCTCAGCTGCCATGGACATTGATTCTAGGAGCTGAAGTTCAGAACGCATAGAAGACCAGATTTTGGGGAACACTGAATTTTGCAGTGTAGAATTAATGTATTTTGACCCCACTTTAACTGCCTCAGCTCAGTTCTGTGGAATAAGCCACTATGAGTCCCCTTTGGGGTGAGATAGAGCGGTATAAAATATAGTAAATAAATAATGGGATTTGTAGTTTGGTGAGACAGCAGCACTGTATGGCAGAGAAGAAAACTACGACTCTCAAGATTCCATATTATTGAGGCATGGGAGTAAAAGTGGTGTCAAACAGTATTAATTCTCTAGTGTAAGTGCAACCCTATTCTACTAATTCAAACCAACAAGCCTGCAAAATGCCACCCAGATCCTTAGCCCTCCTTAAAAACAAATGTCTGAGGGAGTCCTATCAAGCAAAGGCCAGTGTTGTCAGAAGCTTCTTGATGGAAAAAAAACCTCTTCCCACAAGCTTGATGGGTGGGAGGGAAAGGGGGAGGAAAGCGGTCCTCTCCCCATGATTTGGGATGGGGGGATGGGATCCCGGCCAAGCCATCTTTTATTGGTATTGGGTGGAAAAGAACATTTCGAGGTGGGTGGTGCTGATTTTAGGAATTGTAGAGGAAAGGGCCCTTGAGGATTCAAAGGACATGGAGGAAGAGGGCAAGGGCCTGGTCTGCATTTGTGTTTTGTTTCTGGAGAAAGGGGAGGGGAATATCATCATGGAAGTGTGTGAGGTGAAGAGTGAAGGGTTAGCTCCGCCTGGAAGCATTTGTGGGATGGACTTAAGCTGCCTCAAATGACTCATTTTGGCCTTTTAAGTGTGGAGATTCCAATCATATCCGTGGGGTTTTTTTGGGGAGGAGAAAGGAGGTTTGCTCAGACCGTTTTGGCTTCTGTAGGTATAGGGAGCATGACTTAGGCCCTTTCCACACAGCTGAATAAAATCCTACATTTTCTGCTTTGAACTGGAATATTTGGCAGTGTGGACTCAGATAACCCAGTTCAAACCAGATATTGTGAGATTTTCTGCCTTGATATTCAGGGTTATATGGCTGTGTGGAAGGGCCCTTAGATGCTTGTGGATCTACATCTGGTAGGACATTGCATTTGAACTGACTGAGGTTACTCCATCCTTGGGTGATGGTAGGATGTATCCTGTCCCCTTAGGAATCCTGCATCTTCATTAGAAATTCCTGTCTGGTGTTACAGCTTATGGAGATGATGGCTTGTAAAAAGGTACAGTTTTTTTTTAGTTCTATACACACACATTGGTATAACAAATATAATGCTTGTTTTAAAGGAGATATGTTGTCAGGGTCATAGAATAAAATATAGGCATTTTGAATGCAGAATATTGCAGATAGAGATTATATTCTCTAAGCAGACATTTTTGGGTCCTGGTTCTGTATTTTGGAACTACCCTCAACTACATATTATAGTCAGTGCATAAGATTGTTTCTAGTATCAAGACAACTTTGGGATCGGTGCAATGTCAAATGTTTTCAGTTCTATGCTGTTTATAGTTTTCTGGTTTTAATTTTTGTTGTATGCTATTTTAGTTATGTGTTGTATTTTATATTTTGTGAGACATTGAATTTTGCCATTTACTTGCTGTAAACCACTTTGATTCCCCCCAGAGGTTGAGAAAAGCACGATATAAATGAAATAAATATAATATAATACTCAGTTCTTGTGGGTTTTTTCGGGCTATATGGCCATGTTCTAGAGGCATTTCTCCTGACGTTTCGCCTGCATCTATGGCAGGCTTCCTCAGAGGTCTATTTATTTAATAAATAAATAATACAAGAGAGCCTCTTTCTTATGGGTTTAATGTGCATAGGAAGAATAATACTATGTCTATATGGTGTGGGATGTTTTTGATGATAATCTCTTGTGTATTTATGAGGAAGTTGAGTAGCTAGGATCATCTCTTAGTACTAGAAAGATGGTTGTGAGTGTGGTTCAAGCAGATGATGGTTTAGACTGAAAGAGCTTTTCATGTGTTTGTGGAGGTGGGGTATGAGCAAAAGGGAATCCCTGGTAACTGGCTTTGAGGTAGGTGCTTAAAAGTGTGTGCTGAACCTTGATGCAAGCAGCCTTCTTCTCCCTCCCTTATTGTTGCAGGAAGTGGCCAGGAAATGATAAAATGTTTGTTGCTTTTTGAAATACCCCCTTTTAATTAGATATGGCTTCAGTTACTTGATCTCCCCAAGCTTTTGGCTAAATTTGCCCTGCTCCCTAGGAGCCAACTGGCACAAAATGCTATAGTTTAGGGTTATCTTGTTGTTAATAACTGCAGATAATTTGAAGAGGCAATTTCTAGTGTGTTTTGTGTCTTTCTAGTTGGTCAAGGGCAATTGCCCCAAGAAATATTCACACAAAAACTTGCATGCCTACCCCAAATTTTTGCATGAACAGGTAGAACTTCATATTCTGGCGTCCTTTTTTCACACTTGAGGAGATAAGATTGCATTAATATAGTTTTATGGTTGCTCATACACAGATGACTTGATAAAATATAATTAAACCTTCCAATTGAAATATTGGGGTTTGGTTCTAGAACCACTCGGGCACACCAAAATCAATGGACGCTTGTGTCCCACTATATGTAATGGTGTAGTAAAATGCTGTCCCTTATATAAAATAGCAAAATTAAAGTTTACTTTTTAGATTAAAAAGATAAATTTTCAAGATATAGATGGTCGACTCCGTAGATACAGAGTCCAGAATGTATAATGAACTCTTTTTATAGATTCATGTTAATAGTTTCCAATCTATATTTCATATTTGTAATCCAGTAGAATTCTCAAAAATGACCTCTGAGTATTCCTCGCTTCAGAAAACCTAATGACATTAATGGGATCAGCATAAGTCAACAGTCAGTATTAAACTTGAAACATTAATACATGCTAGAGAAGACTATAAGATATTCATCTAAATGTCTTCTCTTTAATGTAACTTCTCACATTGACTTCCAGTATAAAAATATTGCTGGATTTATTGAGTGAGATGGAAAATAATGTGGCGGACTATCCACTGAGAAAGCTTTGCTGGCTTATGCCAGCCAAGGTAAGCAGAGTTTGGGGAGATAGGTAAGTTAAAATAATCAGACTTGTCACCTGATGTTTAACAAGCAGACTCTCCTAGGAAGAGATGACGAAGTCACTGTGCTTATGCAAAGAAGGCCTCATTTATGGTCTTCACTAGTCTCCAGTGGAGATGGGAAAAGGCTCCAAGGCATATCATAACAAATGGACTGGCTCTTCCCCCCATATGTAGATCTCAAATACTGTCAAATATCTATTTTATAATTTGATATAAACTGCCAAGATGTAACAATTGTGAGGAGAAATTCAAATGGGACTTTCTCAGACTGTATCAGCTGTTCAGTGTTATCTCTGCATGTGTGGTTCCTGTCAAACCACACTCCTCCCTTTAAACTCCTTTTTTGTGTTGGCTGCAATTAATTCATCCATTTTGCTCGACTTCTTTCCCTAGGAAGCCATTCTGCCTTCCCCTTTAATTACAATGGCTTCCCAGCACCTCCCTTCACCTCAGCGGCAGCCCAGCTTGTCCCTGTACTGCTACTCTGGATCTTAAAGAAACATTTACAGCAATTTTATGCTCAGATCAGCTGTTAGGCACCATCACAGTATGATCCATTGTTTTTTGAAGGGGAAACAGCAAGTGGCATAGGGTGATCTTAGTACAAGCATGGGTGATTCCTGATAATGGATGTTTTTGGTGGAAGGGCACTTTCTTGCCACCGTTGGTAGCAGCCCACCCACAGCAGTTATTGAAGCTTCTTAGTTTAGGTGATGAAGCTTGTCATGACATTGCAGTAATATACGTGTATGTGCATGCGTGGGAGCAGAAGGGAGACAAGCTTCCTGATGCGAGAATTACTGAACTAGTGAAGCAGAGGCTGTGGATGAGATACATGTTTCATAGACATTTATTATAGTTATACCTGTGTTGGGTACATAAATTTGATTTTGACAGCTATTCTGGAGGTGGAGAGTGGGGCAAATGGACAAGTAAGATTGATTTAGACCATGTGAGTGATATAAGTTGATTTCATATTGGCACTGTTAGGGGGGGAAATCCTTTTAAAATTTCGTTATTTTACTGTTTCCATCCTAGGATAAGGATGGATGTTGCTAAACTTCCTTCACCCCATTTCCTGTGGCCAACAATCATGAATTATGGGAGTTATAGGCCAAATAGTTTGCCTAGGCTATGAATGTTGTAATAGTATTTATCAGAAATGTGCATTTTCTGCTTTAGAATTTTATGATTTGTTCCATTAAACAATGCATACTTGTATAATACAACCTTTTCTAAAATTTTCCAGTCAATAGGGTGCAACTGCAATTAGCCAAAGAAGACTGCATTCTAAATATCTACAGGATTATCACATAGAGGAAGGTGTAGGTTTGTCCTATGCTTCCCCAGAGTGTCGTCCTATTGCAATTGCTTGAACATTGGAAGTAACCTCTTGGCAGTAAGAGTGGTTCAGCAGTGGAGCCAGTAACAGTAAACTCTTGGTTTTCACTGCAGTTCTGTAACCCATGATACAGAATCCTGGGAGTCGCAGTTTTGCGATTTCTTTAGCCATCTTTGCCAAAGAGCATGAGTGATGTACCAAACTAGCTCCCAGATTTCCATAATATTGAGTTATGACAGTTAAAGTTGTGTCGAGCTGCATCAATTCTACAGTGCAAGTCAGGCATGGACAAACTTTTTAAAATGAGAGCCGCAATCCGGGGGTAGGGCAGAGCGGCCGGGCCGGACTGGACTGGACAAGGGGAGAGGCCAAAGGCAGTTGGCATGGGCAGGTGTTTGATGCAAGGGGGGGTGCTTGGTGTCTGGAGGAAGGGCCCTCCTCTCAGTCTGGGAATGGGGCCTACAGTGTCCCCAGGCTGAGAGGAGGAAGAGACACACCACTCTCTGGAGAGCACTCGGCAGTGGCATTTCTCTGCCTCTGCCCTCCTCTCAGGCTGGGGGCATGTCCACATGCTGAGAAGAGGGCCAAGACAGACGGAGGCCAGAGGGAAGAGCCCAAAGGGCCACATCCGTCCCGCAGGCATGGGTTTATCCATGCCTGGTGTAGGTGCATCCTATGGCTCTAGCAGGATTGCAATGATTAGGAACTATTTCCTTAACATTTTGGGAATGGATTTGGTCCTATACTAAGAGATTATGACCACTTGTCTTTTGTTCCGCTTCTGTGAACAGTGCATGCATTTAGTTTATTAATTTCAGTAACGGGAAATGGTGGCTTTTCCCACAGTTCAACTACTGGTATTAGGAGTAGGAAACAAAAATATTGATATTATTGGTAAAGGAAAATTGTAATGAACACTGTTGGGTATACATTTTTCTCCTGCATTAGTGTAGTGTTGTGGATAATTTTTATTTCAGTGACTAAAACACCGTGTCCCATTTAGAGTGTTTTTGTGTCCTACTTTGGAATGTGTACCACTGGTTAAGAACCACTGCAGTCTTTCAACTGATGTTAAACTTAACTGTATAGTCTCTGAAATAAGCTTGCATCCTATAAAATGGACCCAAGGTCGTCCATTTTTATTGGTTAAGATAGTATAAGGTCTGCATTCCTTGGTAATTTTAAGAGCTAATGTAGAAGATTAGCTAAGAGGCAGTGGACCATACATAAACCAATTTCACTCGTGCTCTTCCCTACTCCATACAATGTGTGTGTGTATTGACCCCCTGAATTTCATAGGGTTTTCTTAGACAAGGAGTATGCAGAACTAGTTTCCTCTGAAATGTAGTCCAAAGCACCTGATATTTGTTGGCAGTCTCCTATTCATGTACTAACCAAACTCTCCAAGCCCCCAAATGCGTGCTCGCACCCCACCCACCCGTCCCCAACTCCCAGTCAGTCCCACTAAATAAAAAGAATCAAGAAATAAAGGAAAATAAAGGAAAATGAAAAAGATTAAACTGTGATGCAGAATAGGGGAGGAGGAGCTGAGATCAACTGCCATGTGATCCCATTACAGACAAACTGAAGATGCCGGATTGGCTGTAGGAAACGGCCAAAAATGGATCCGCGCTCATATCTAGTAGTACTGACTCAATATTGCACTTTGGATGGGTGATCTCTGACCCATCTTTGACCCATGTGGTTCCTCATCGGGTCCCACTTCTAGGTCAGGCCTAAAGAAAGGTAGAGAGAGCCATCGAGTGATCACCCTGTTCTCTCTGAGTAGAGAAAGACATCTTAATAATAATGACATTTTTATATCCCACGACCATCTCCCTGAAGATACTTGGGGAGGCTTACAAGCGGGACCAAGCCCAACACAACAGAGTTTTCCAAATAAAACACCCTTAAAAACATAATAAACATATAAGAATCTGAATTAAACAATTAAAAACAACAGCTTATAAAGCAACATTAAAATGAATCAAAACAGATTTTTAAAATGTGTTAACATTGCTAATGCTTTTTTTCTTAGCTTTTCTGTTTTTCATTTTTGTTTGATATAAAATACTCTTAAATAGGAAAATGTTTCTCAAATCATTTCCCTTACCCACAATTTCAGAAGTAGAAAGTAAACATAGCAAATTACTGAGTAACAATGGACTATCATAAAAGGACTGTCATTGCCTTTTGTTGATGTAAAAAAAGGAGGCAGGAGGGGGCAGAGAAAAAGGGAATATGGCAACACCTTCAAGACTGATGGGTTTTTATTTTAGCATGAGTTTTCTTGGATATAAAACTACTTCAGATGTATTACAGAGTACAAACCCCAGTGCTCCACACCAGAAACATCATCAACCTGGACAATAATATGAATGCAAAAAAATGCATTTCAGATAACACCATTATTTTCAATATGCATGGGAATGATGTGGTTTGGGGACCACTTCCTGGCATCATTTGACCCTTGTGGCCAGAAAAGTTCCATGCCTCTAGTTACAGAATTCTGTTGTAATCATTATTGATATAAAATGCATGGCGCATTCGGAACACAGTTCTAGAAAATAATATATGCAACAAATGATCACAAATTAATGTGATTGACAAATGGAATGGCCCTGGATTATGATTTGGATCATGTGATTTTAATTGATGTTTAACTGCTTGGATTTTAATTGTATTCGTTCATTTTATGGGCATATATGTGTATGGCATTGAATTGCTGCCTGTTGTGAGTCTCCTTCAGGGTGAAAAGGGCAAGGTACAAATGTGGTAAATAAATAAATAATCTTTGGCCACTGGTGGCTAAAATGACAGAGGGGAGGCTTTATATTGCTGCCTGTGCAGACCTGCAATTGTGTATTGCTTTTAACGCTCTGCTGCATCCTCTGTCTCTTCAGAAATGGAGGCAAACAACCATTTTAACTTCACTGGCCTTCCCTCTTCACCTGCTGCCTCAGGATTGAAACCTCCGCCTTCCTCAGGGGATGTCTACACAAACGGATCTCCTGTGAACTTCCCCCAGCAAGGGAAGAGTAAGTGCGGGTAGTGAACCAGTTATTTGCAATATTTGTGACAAGTATTAGCATTAATTGTGTATATCAGTGGTTCTCAACATGTGGGTCCCCAGATGTTTTGGCCTTCAACTTCCAGAAATCCTAACAGCTGGTAAACTGGCTGGGATTTCTTGGAGTTGTAAGCCAAAACACCTGGGGACCCACAGGTTGAGAACCACTGGTGTATATGGTCTTATGACCTATATTGTCAGAACATTGTCGGAGCTTGAGATCATCTGGGGAGGTCCTGCTCTCGACCCCACCACTCTCACAAGTGAGGCTGGTGGGGACGAGGAGCAGGGCTTTCTCAGTGGTGGCCCCTCACCTGTGGAATGCACTCCCCGGGGAAATCAGAGCATCACCATCCCTCCTCTCCTTCAGGAGGAGGGTGAAAACTTGGTTATGGGACCAGGCCTTTGGGCAACCAGGCAATTAAAGACTAGCAGGATGGACGAAATGGTACTAAAAAACGGATCTATGAGACAGCAAACACTGACAATGCAAGGGAGGAATCTAGGTTTGTATTGATTTTATTGATTTTTATTGATTTTTTATTGGAATAATGCATGATGATGTTAGTAATTGTGAATTTTACTGTAAATTGCGATGATTGTTGTGTTGCCGGCATCGAATCGTGCCTTACTGTGTAAGCCGCCCTGGGTCCCCTTCGGGGTGAGAAGGGCGGGGTAAAAGAACCCCAAATAAATAAATAAATAAACAATGACTAAGCCTCAGGAAAACTGTATGGATTTGATTACCACAACAGTAGGCAGGGTTATGTTTGCCTGTGTACTGTTCAGGTTGAGACCATTGTGACATCTGAAGCTGACATGGAAATCTACGATTTTCCTTTTAGAAATTGTTAGAAGTGTTCCCAATTAGAGGAAAAAAATAGGCTGCTTCTAAATCCTCCTTTTTTTTCCGCCTTTGTCTTTTGGGGAAGCACTTGGCTACATGCATAAATTTCTGTGCTTTTAAAAATAAAACAGATCTTTTCTTAAGAATTTTATTGCAGTCGGGAAAATTCACATTCTACCCTAACAGGTTAAAGATATGACTCTCTATAATGAAAGGAAAGTCCGCTTGGGGTACAACAGTACTAGACTAGTTGAATTTTTTTCCTTCTGCAGTTAAACCCGGTTGTTTATCCCAACTATGGGTAGTCCAATTGAATCAGAGTTACATAAATGCATATATACCAAGTTTTCATTGATCCGCTGCATATAATTTATCTGAAACCAACAGTTGAATTTATTCTTTTGCAAAAAGGAAATAATGGCATGCATCACAGGTTTGCTGAGAAGATTTTTTAAAAGCCATTTGTTCTTTGAATAGCTGTCAACAGGTATTTCCTATCTAATTAATCAGCTTTGTTATAGTTTAAATCATTTCCCCCACTGCCTTTTAAAAGGCAAGCACAGCCAAAAGGTCGAGAGAACCTTCCCCTGTGTTTATATTTTTTCTTGTGTCTTTCCAGGTCTGAATGGAGATGTGAATGTTAACAGCTTAACTACTGTATCTCATGCTAGTACTTCAGGGACCCGCTCCTCAAGCAACACCCACGTACACCATTCCTATGACTATCTCTGGAACTACTCTCAATATCCATCTGGCAATGGCAACAACCTCAAGGACACTCCATTGTTTTCTCAATATCCATTGAATGGTACTGTTGGAAGCAACCGGCAAAGTTCACCAGGGCATAGCACCAATCTGAGAGGAGGCACTGGGCCAGAGTTCTGGCCTAATGGAAACCCTGGGGCCATGGGACTGAATTTTGACTCACCAGAGCTCTACGACTCATTCCCTGATGATCAGAACTTTGAACTCTTGCAGAATGGCCCGTCCAGCTTCTACACATCATCTCAGCCTTCCCCCATGCTTGGCTCTGGCAGCCAAGATTTCTCTGCACAACAGGAGGAGGCAAGGAGTGAAGAGACTGTAAAGGAAACCTCACCTGCAGTCCCAGAAAATGGTACCAGACTATTGGGGAGCATGGAGTTGGAAAACACGGAGCCAGGTATAGCAGAAAATGTTTTATACACTCAGTATACACTCCAACCCAGATGTTGAAAGTAATGCATCAAAAGGTTAAGGCATTACTTATTACTGGTGAGTCAGGGAGGAGTGAGCATTATTTGTGCTACTTTTAAGTTGCTTGAGAGTTTTATATGTATGCTCTTATATGTATGTGCATATGAAGCTTTGGAATATGTCTTTTCACAATATCTGTGTCAGTATTGGATTTGTCTGCCTCTCTAATGTCTTAACTTGTACACTTTAGTTTCTTGGATTTTTATCAGTTGTGTGAAGAGTCATTGAAATACAGTGTTTCCTTGCTATTTCGTGGTTCGCTTTTCGCAGACTCGCTGTTTCGCGGTTTTTTTTTTTGCCTCCCAGTTTATGAATGGTTGCCGTTGCCCAGAGCGGTGTTCTAATCCCGCCTCCTAGCAACGATGGAGTGTGGAAGGGGGTTTCACCCTCCTCCTCGGGAGAGAGAAAGCCAATCAAGAGAGATTGCAAAGCAAAGCAGAGATAGCTAGCAAAAAAAAAAGTGTGCGGTGCCTTTAAATCTCTCCTTGTTTCTGCCTCACCCTCAGAATGCAATATACATATATAGCGTCCCTACTTTGTAGATTTTCACTTTTCGCGAGTGGTCCTGGAACGTAACACCCATGATAAGTGAGATAACACTGTACATTGCTTGATCTGAGAGGCATTTCATTGAGAATTAATAATTTCTTATTTTATTAAGATTTAGAAATGGTGTTCTGGAATTGCATTTCTGTATCTTCTAGGATTAGTAAAAGGTTGTGTTGTATTAGCCTCAGTGCTAATCTTGTGTTAAGTGTGGGCAAAGTAAGCAAGTTTGGAGAGCTACGGTAGTTTTCTGCCCTAGAGACTTCCAAGAGGTGTACAGAATGCTAGAACACACCACACCCTCTATGATTGTCAGGGAACCCTCTCTTCTGAGTATAATGAAGACTTCCAACTCAGAAGGTCTCTAGTCAGAGTTTTGCAATCCATACGTTAAATCATCAAGTGCTTTGAATTTGAAAGTCCTGTTACTTTATTCCAAAGGTATTATTTGACTGCTTTTCTTAGAAAATTGTACTTTATCTTGTGCAACTTTGAAGTTACGCTAAATTAATAAACGTTTGTGGACATTTGGCTTACTCAGAAAGCAAAGGTACTACCAAGTCTCATCTTTGTATGTAACTTTCTCCAACACATTATTTTGACTGGATCAGTTGGTTCCCAGGTTTATTGAAGGACTCCATCTGCGTTTACATCTAGATCTTTCGTACTGGTAAAGACTTTAGCTATCTGTTTTCAAATGTTTTTGAGGGATAAAAAGTCTTTTACCTTTTTTGAAACCAAGCTTTTAACAGCAAGGTGTTTAAAGTCAGAATAGAAATGTGGTGTATGTATGTTATATGCTCTTTTTTGCATCTGATGCAGTGGATAATAATGGCTATAGTGCAGGCATGGGCAAACTTAGGCCCTCCAGGTGTTTTGGACTCCAACTCCCACGATTCCAAACAGCGAATAGGCTGTTAGGAATTGTGGAAGTTGAAATCCAAAACACCTGGAGGGCTGAAGTTTGCCCATGCCTGCTATAGTCCTACCAGTTTAGAGCAGAGTTTTGTGAATGCCTCTGCATAACTGCATTTTTATGCTATTAAAAATACCCCTGGTTGACAAAATTAAAATGGTAAAAATTTGAAGTAGCACTAATAATATCAGGACTTTGCTGACAAAATTGAATTTAACTATATTTAATTGGGAAATCTCTCCATGAGTTTCAGTGAGGAACACAAATACGCAGAGTAAAGCTGTGTGAAGTGTGTGTGTGTGTATACAAGAACATCTGCAGCAGAGTTACCACCACATTGCTAGGAAAGCAATGAGGTGATGGCATTTTTTCCTGGATTATTTGCTCTAGTCATTTGTTGTTGGTAATTTCTCCTTAAAGGAGGAATTCACTATGTGTTTCAGTATTGATACAGTTTTAAGACCAGGTTGAAAGTACATGAGGTCAATGAGGGGTCTCAGGCTCATATGTTTTATAGCCTCCTGCTATAGTTCCCAAGAATGCCTCTTTTGACCCACCTCAGCCCATAGAACCCCAAAGACAAGACACTGGGGGTCTCTTCAGCTCTGCATTGGGAATTGTGTGCCTATGGACTTCCCTTTCTGTTTGCTATGAATAGAGAGGCCCAAAATATCCTTTGGTCTGCCAGTTATTCCTAGGGAATATAGTTCTCTTTATTTCATATTATAAATTCAGGGAGATATGAGGCAAAACAGATTGGAGTAGGAAGTGCACTTTTTTCCTTGTGTTCTTTAAAATGCTTGTATAGAAGAATGGTAACTTCAATAAGTAGACCAAGCCAAGTACTGTTGATTACTGGAATAATGTGTCAGAAAAATGATTTTAACATTTAGAAGTGGTATAGAGAGAATGCTTGTTTGTGTTGATGTGTCTTAAGTTCTTTTGGGAAACAGGAGATACATTGAACATCAATAAAATATGAAATACATCATATTTTCATTGATGCCTTAAAAAGTGCAGTAAGACATTTAAAATACCTATAAAACGTAGAACTGAAAATGCATGCCTTCATTGCTTCTTTTCCAGTTGGTGAGCCACTCACCCAGGAAGCTTCTGTCTTAGAATCAGATGCTTGTCGTCTGGAAGATGCCTCACGAATCCCACCTCCTCTAGAAGATTCCTTGGAGCCTTTTGAATCACTTGACAGAGGTAAATGGACAGTTTATATCCTTTTAGGCTGGGGGTTAACATGGTCATTGCCTTCATATCTTTGAAATGATATCCTTATAGTTTGGCCTCATGGAAAAAAAGAAGTATAGAGATCCTGTGCTTTTAATATTTGTATAATGGAGAGAGTCTGTAGGGAAAGTCTGAATGTGTTTTATACCTATTGAAATTTCGCAGTTCTACCTAGGTTCCATCCCCTCCTTTTTTCACCTGATTCTCATAAATGCTTATTTATAGTAGCAGTTTATATGGAGTTTGCTAGTTAAGGAACTAACTTGGGCTTGTATAAAAACAGTCAGTTGCAACTTTGCTCTGATCACAAAAATTAAAAAAAAATCTATGTTTAGTCTTCCAGTGTGTTATCACAATTGTTATACATTTTGACAGCTTTTGTGTCTGGACAGCTACAAACAAAGATTTGGGTGCTATTTGCCCTTCTTGTTAGTTGCCACACACACTCAAATGTTCTAAGTCTTATCAGCTTTTATCAGCTGTTCTGTGGATTTTGAGGAGGCATGGAGGACAATAGGAAGAAATGTGCCAAGGGGAAGGTGCTTCAAGCAAACCGTCTTCCATTTGGAAATCTATGTCCTCAGTGTGAATAACCACGTGGATCCAGAATACGTCCTTCACAGTCATTTACAGACCCACCACCAAGACTCTACCTCTGGAAGACAATCAGATATATAGTAATTACCAAAGCCAAAATGCTGAATGGAATTAAATGGAAAGTTAGCCCTTACAATGATGTAACTGTTGTTCTATGAGTGCTTCTCTATCTAGGACAGTGGTTCACAACCTGTGGATCCCCAGATGTTTTGGCCTTCAACTCCCAGAAATCCTAACAGCTGGTAATTGATTGGGATTTCTAGGAGATGTATGCCAAAACTGGTTGAGAACCACTGATCTAGGATCAATCCTGGATACATCTTCTTGAATTTGTTCTTGAGTTATGCTTTTACATAGTGTCATAGGCAGGGTTGACTAAATACTGAGAACTGGAGTCTGTTTTGTGCTGTAAAGAAATACAAAAAAGTGAGCAAACAATATTTTGGAGACAACTGACTAAGACTGAAACAGTCAAGCATAGAAAATAACTGATTTCTACTTGCCACTTATACTTTAAATCTTTTCTTTTGTTCCACCAATGCTTGTGTTTTGAAATATGTTGCATTTTCACTAACACCTTAAAACATTCAATTTTTCCAGTAGCACCACTAGTTTTTTTTTTTTTTTTACAAAACAATATCTGAAACTAGTGATATAAAGAACATGTCTGGCAGTTTTTTGTTTAGATTCAAATTCATTTTGAATTGTTTTTATTTTACCAAAATCATTCATAAGAAAGAAATTTTACAATCTTCAGAAATGCAAAAAGAGCTTAAATCCTGCTGTTAAATAAAAATCTACTCTGCCTGTTCTAATAGCTCTTTTCTTAACTAGATTGAATATTTATTTATTTATTTGCCACATTTATATACCGCCTTTCTCAGCCCGAAGGTGACTCAGGGCGGTTCACAATTGGCAACGATTCGATGCCTCTGCAATTATAAAGTGCAAGATAAAACAGATTATAAATACAATTAAAACATTAACATATAGTATAAAATACAAACAAAACCATAAAAACATAATTTTCAACGTCTCCTTCAACATCTCTTGAGCCAAGTGCATTGTCAGTCAACTATATTAGTCTTATGCCTACCCTTTCTGAAATGTTGACATTTCAGCTGATACAGTATTCCCTCTCAACTTCGTGGTTTGCTTTTAATGGACTCGCTGTTTCGTGGGTTTTTGAAAATATTAATAAAATATTAAATATTAAATATTTACATCCAGTGGAGGCCAGGAAGCCCAGAAGTGTGGCGGGCTGAGGCACAGCGGGGAAGGCCTGCCCCCCTGGCTCTACACACCCCGGAAGTGCGGCGGACTGAGGTGCGGTGGGGAAGGCCTGTCTTCCTGGCCTGCTGCTGCCTGTATGGCTACGGAGGCTCTGCGGAGGCCAGGGAGGCAGGCATGCACCCTTGGGATGGACTGGGAGGTGGGTAAGGAAGCGCGGGTAAGAAAATAATATATAATATATATAAAATAATGTATAAATATTAAAATTAATAGGGCGTCCCTACTTCATGGATTTTCACTTATCGTGGGTGGTCCTGGAATGGAACCCCCGCGATAAGTGAGGGAACACTGTATTTCTTCTTCGTGGTCTCTGTGAATGCATACCAGTGGGGTTAACTGCATTCTCGCAGTGCAATTGGGAACCTTCTTTAGTTTTAAAGGAGACTTTCTGGCTGTAGTTCTGCTCACCGTCCTGATGGTGAGCATCACCATTGCCTTCTTTTCTTTCCGCTACATTAGTAGCAAGAAAAATAACCGTCACTTGTTAGTATTGCTACGTTTAGGCATAGTACTTTAGTCAGATAGCTTTCAGTAATAGACTAGATGATCTTATGACTCGATTCTTTTGCTGTCAGGGTTCCCAACTTTTTAAACCGAGAGCCAGTTCATGGTCCCTCAGCCTGTTGTCAGGGCAGACTATAGTTTGGAAAAAATAAAGGTCTTATTTGTAATGCAAAAAAAAACCCTACGAAACAACAATGCAATATATGAAATGAAGAACAATTTTAACCAACATAAATGTACCAGTCTTTCAGTGGGAAATGTCAGCTTGCTTTCGGCTGATGAGAGAGTCAAGTTAATTAGGATTGTTGCTGTGTGCCTTCAGGTTGTGTCATTCAGTGGCATATACTGCCTCAAAGTATGGTTTGGAAGGGAGTCTCCTTCCAAAGAGGTGGCATAGCTATCTGTTGAAAGGGTTTTGATTGTAGTTGGGGGCGGGGGGATTATAGTTGCTGCCTGGGTCTCCCTTTTTCTTCCCAAGGGAGGAGCTGCAGCGAAGGGTAGCCTTTTTGGAAAACTTGGGGTGGTGACGTGGGGCAAAGCTGGGGCAGAGGAGGAAGGGAGGGAAGCCAGGCAGGAACTCAACGTCCAGGGCCCACTCTTTCCAAGCATGCAGGAGCAGCAGCAATGAGCACCTGGGACAAGCAAGGAAATTGGGGAGCCTTCCTTTGCAAAGAAATAAAAAAAAAGATGTGGAGGGGGGAGAGAGAGGGACAAGAGGCCACTGGGATGGGATTCCCGAACTTGAAGCCACCCAAGGAAAAGGCAATGCAAGAAGGAATGCAGAAGGCTGCCATCTCTTTTTCTCTCCTCCTGAGGAGCCTGCCTTTCTTGGACCCTGAATCCCAAGAAGGAAGGAAAGAAAGAAAGTATGAAGAGAGGAAGGAAGTCAAGGGAGGGACAGAGGAAAGAAGGGAGGGAAGGAAGAAAGGAATTTTGAACAGGGGCCGCAATTGGCCCCTTGGCTGGACTTTAAACATGTCTGATCTAGATCCCTGGTTCCTAAGACCTCGACAGCTGCCCCAGACCTAATGTACCTGGGCTCCCACCCTCACACTCTAATAACCGTGGAGCCTTCACAGACTTCATGTTGAAGGTAGCTGGTGCCTTAGGTCTTCAAGTGAAGCAGCCTGAACTCCTGGCTGATGATCCGATGTGGACAATACCCAAACCCCCATCATAAGTGCTTGATGGTTCCTTTCCTGTCTCCTGCACATGGCTAGAGCATGTTGGTCCAGTCCATCTTTGGTACTCCCAGCCTCATGCAAGTTTGACGACCTGTATCACATTCAGTACAATACATTCTGGCTTAAATTCCATGCTAAACCCAACTCAACTATTGTGAGGCATGCCCAGTCCAGAACATTATGCAGACTTGAGTCATCACCTCCTAATAACGAGGGAAAAGTCATGGACGATGTGGCTAAGAAGATCTACTCCTCAGCCTTCCTACTTCTTAAATTTACAAACTATGCATCCAACATGTTGGCTTCCCAGTAATATATTTGAAAGAAGCTTGCTCCCATCCTAGATGCCTACTCCAGAGAGGACAAAACGACTCCCACTGTCCTTCAGTATGAATCTGAGGCCCTCATTTCTTACCTCCTTCAGCAGGTTAAACATGTCAAAGCCCTCTCTGCTAAGATCATGGCCCATTCAATTGCTGTATTCCAGAGAGCGTGGCTTCAAACATTGGGACTTTCATTGGCTACTCGAGGGAAGACCAAATACTTGCCCTTCAACGAACTTGGCCTGTTTCATACAGACATGGATTCTAAGCTGGACCACACTCATAAGATGTCCATCACTGTGAAGAAGATGGGCTTTCCTCAGCCTCATCACTCATACCATCCTGCTTGGCACAGACACTACTCCCCTCAAGAGTCTTCCTCTGCTTAATGGAATCAAGGACCACAGACATGATTCCAAGGCCAGTCTTAATGCCAACAGCAGCCAAAGCAGCACCAACACATTCACTTCAAGTCTGCCAACTCCACCAGCCATCAGGCTTAGCACCTTGCCCACTTTGCCAGACCCTCTCTCCGTCAACCACCATCTATGCCATCTCTCCAGATTGGGCTTCCATCACCACTGCCCTTTTTTCTTGGGCAACTGTTTTATATCTATTACTTTGCATGCTTTGCATGTTTAAAATGTTCTAAGAGGAATAATGTTTTGTTTCTATAATTCTTTCATGACTAAGTTCACCAATTGTAATCCTGCTTTTCCATATTTCTTAATATTCCCTCAGGAATTGGAAAGACCTTATTGTTGTGTTGAATTTTGTATTGACAAAACCACAAAAGGTTTCTTTCTGCATGTGAGTCAAAATGATATAAGCCTGGAAGTCCCTGATTCGGTTCCTATCTCTGTCATGAACTCTGCAGGTTGCATTAAACTATGCCTGCCTTCTGTCAGCTTCATTCTCCTATTTATGATATGTGGTTAGCACTAGCTTAGTTTGCAGGAGTATAACAAGGAAGACTATACATATTAAAAGCAGCCTAAAATTGTAGATAATGATGTGATCCTATTTAAGATTCTAGAGAAATGTGACCAGTGTGTTAGATGATGTATAATGCCTGCACCTCCAATTCATGACTTACAGACCCAGGGACAGGGGATCTCTATGAGATGGATACTTCTGAGCTGGTGAGCGACAAATCCCCCTTGGAGGATGCTCCTGATATTTCTGCCCTAGATTGTCCTGGCAGCCCTTCTCTCAACCACTCTGGCTCCTTCAGCCTTCTGACAGATGACACGCAGCCTGACACCTCACTTTTTGGAAGTTCCAATTTGCCACCTGTTCTTGGAGAATCTGTTCTGCAAGGTGAGAAAAAGACCAATTGTCCCAAGAGGTATTTCTTTATAAGACCTCCTGCTCCATTGTTATAACCGAAGTCCAGTGAAAATGCCAGATCCCTTAAGGCATTAATTCAACTTTAGTTATACAAACTTTACAGAAAATTTTCATAATATTATGTGGAATCTTGAAATACATTTCATGAGAGGTTTGATTTCCAAGTTGTGGCGAAAGAGACAGGTAGACTTTCTACTAGACTTGGTTTCAGTAATAAATGACCATTTTATGGTGCAAATATCAGGAAGAAGGGATTATGTAGGTGAAAGTATAAGGGATTGCAACCTTTATGATTTTTTAAAACATGGATTGAGATCATTTTGTTTGTGGCTTGTGAGAAGAATCATAGCCTAATTTTAGAGTACTGGGCAAATACAGTGATTATTATTGATAGATAGTTGCTTAGCTGAATTTTCAGTAACCACTGCATAAAAAGTGTGAGCTCTATATTTTGAGTTCAATGTAAAATTGACCTCTGCAGTATAAAATAGAAGACATATGCCAGGCTTTGAGCAGCTATAGAAAGCCATCTCATCATTACAATCATGGGGCAGTCTGCATTTCTATAGAGGAGGGAGAAAGAAAGCTCCAAATGATGAGAACAAGCTTACGCACATTGTGCCCCCAGTCTAACAGTATTCATTTTATGGAGGTCTGTTCAACTGCTAGGACTTCATTAGAGATAAACTATGAAATAGCAGAGGCTAATGAGGCTAACCTACTAAACATAAATATTTGAAATATGCTGTTCTTTTTTAACATTGCACATTTATAGGTGGTTTCTTCAAATATGAGCAATTCAGTTGTTGTGCAGGCCAGGAAGAAATTTGTCCTAGTTTTTATGTATCATTTTTCCAAATCTTTTTTTTTAAATGGTTTTTGTACTTCGAAGCACCGTGAGATTTTGAGAGAGTAAACTCTTTTCTTCCTTTTCCCAAAAAGTATGCTGAATCAATTCTGGATTATTATTTCTTCCTCAATCACAGCCCTTAGAGCAGAACAAGTTCCACTTAGGGCAAAGTAAAGATGTGTTTTATTTGAGTGTTCTGCATTGCAGAATGGAGAAATAAAGAAGCATGACAAACTTCTAAATCTTCTGGTCTGCCTTCTAGACTTATCTGTAAGGTGTGTCCCGTCCCCCCACCCGGCTCAAGTTCCTTCTTTCCTTCCCTTGTTACAGACAGCAGCCTTGAGCTGGCAAGTGTGAGTGAAGTGGGGCGAGAGGGTGCAGAGTTTCTAGATTCACAAGCATCACTTGAACCCGCACCTGTAAATGCTCCTGTGGGGAAAAAATCCAAGAACACCTGCCCAAAGGACCCTACAACAAAGACAAGCAAAAACAAGAAAGATGCGTCAGCTAAGAGTAAGTAGGCTCTTTCACTTACATGTCTTAGTTGTCTGGACTGAATGAAAAGATTAATTATGGTTTAGAAGCTTTGCCAATAGTTGTTTGTTCTCATTAGATGATGTTGCTAGAAGGCGGATAGCCACAGTGGATGAAGTGTTCTATCCTTTAAAGCATGGGTAAGTAATCCTGTTTGATTGCTGCATTATAACAGGGCTGATACCACCACAATCTAGAGTGGGAAATGCCTGTATCTAGTCTTTATCATTCACCTTCATACTCAGGTGGCGAAGGGAGGTACGCATCAAAAAGGGAAACAACCGCTGGCAGGGAGAGACCTGGTACTATTCTCCGTGTGGGAAAAGGATGAAGCAGTTTCCAGAGGTTATAAAGGTAAAATCTGCTTTCCAGATAGTGATCAAGGGTGAAGAATTGTTGCGTGTTGTCTCTGTGGAGCATTGGCCTAGCAGTCCTCCTCAGAAATGCTTTGCTGACTCTATAGTCTTTCTCTACAGACTGTAAATGCCTAGGATTAATAAATCAGGTATGCCCTTTTACATTAGACATTGACCATTGCCTGATAAATTAGACACAGTCAATCATTATTTGCATTTCTTGCCTATATGCCTCCTCAAACAATTGATAAAAACTTTCATCAATTCACAGAGAAAATGCCTCCCTTAGTAAGAGGCTGGATTATACATAGCTTGACTCCTATTTTCATGACTTGTTCCCCTGCTAGTTCCTGAACAGAAATGCTGTGCAGAATGTCTGCCGTGAACACTTCAGCTTCAGTCCCCGAATGCCAGTGGGAGATTTTTTTGAAGAACAGGATACACCTGAGGTAAGTTTTGTTGCAAAACCTGAACTCATTTACTTCTGGGTTTTCTGAAGGTGTCCTTCTGTTGGAATTAAAAACTGTACAGAGATGGCAAAGTGCCTGTGATGTTTTAGACTTACTGAGGGTTTTTTTTTTTGTAAAAATACTGTGTTTTGGACCTAGTTTTGTTCTCCCAAGATATTAGTAATTTGTATTTATTTATTTACTGTATTTCTACGCTGCTCTATCTCACCTCGAATGGGACTCAGTAGTAACTTATATCCGTTACTATTTACTGATGCAGTGTGATATTTATGAAGTATGCATTTGTTCAGTGTGTTCTCGAAGGCTTTCATGGCCGGAATGACTGGGTTGGTTGTGAGTTTTCCAGAGCTTACAACCTGTGCGGTTGCCTGCCATAGATGTGGGTGAAACATCAGGAGGGAATGCTTCTGAAACATGGTCATACAGCCCGGAAAACTCACAGCACCCTATGCATTTGTTGCATCCCATCAAGTTCATACCTCCCCTAATTCTTATTTTTAACATCACTTCAGAATCTTTTGTCAGGCAATAACAATTTCATAAGGAGATCATTATTATGAGTGTGGAATAAATATATAAGAATATATTATATTCAAACATGTCTTTATGAAGCTTTAGAAGAGAAATTTCTCTGTAATTTGTCACACATAGACAAATTACAGAATGGTTTAAGATGGATAAATTTTGTTTGGATTCGTGGGGGGAAATTCAGATTTTGACACTATCATGTATTATACTTTGTGAAGACTACCTGATTTTTAGATTGCATAAACTGCTGTTAAAATATGAAATAGAGGAGGAACAGGTGAAGGATTGCATGGTACAAAATATTCATCAAATTCAGGTAGAACAATGGGAAAAGGTTTGGACACAAAGTTCAAAATTTATAATGAGTATTGATCTGAAAGGGAAAAAAACGATTTATAGACGGTATCTGATGCTAGAGAGGCTTTCTAAGATAAACAGAGACAGGTCTATGCCCAAATCTAATCTATGCCCAAAGATGGAAAAATCCAGCAATTCCAAAGCAAAAAAAAAAAAAAAAAGAACTTATAAAGATGTATAAAATAGCCAAAATGGACAAGCTCATCATGTTGATCAAGGAGAAATCCTTGACTAAATTTAAGAAAGACGAACTTATTTGCTACTTTTCTTTGCTGAAGATGGGGACAGACTATTTTTTTTTTAATTAGAAGAGTGATACTAATAGTCAAAGGATAACATTAATGCTATATTATGAATGTAAAAAAAAGTGAAGAAGTGAAAACTATCAGGAAAAAAGTAGGCACTGCTGTTCTATTTCTTTAGTGATAGGGGTGTAATAGTCATAGTGGGGATTATTGTTATGGACTACATTGTATTAGTTTTACTTAGTTTTTATATTAAGAAAAAAATGTTTATATAGTTTTGTTTTTGTGGTTGAGGGATGGTTCTTCGACTGTGTGTATTTTGTCTAGTGCTTTATATATGGTTCTTTATAGGTTTGCTTGTCTGTTTTTTGTTAAACAAAAATTACATTAAAAAGTATCAGACTCTCTCTCTCTCTCTCTCTCTCTGTATGTATGCATGTATGTATGTATGTATGTATGTATGTATATGTATATAAAACTATATATAGGGTTTGAGGAATAGGGAAAGTGTCACCAGGACAGATTGTTTTACTTTAAAAAACTACAAAGAGTTGGTTAGTAGAGATGGGGAATTATCAATTTCTTGAATTCTCTCTTCTTTTTATAGGGTCTGCAGTGGGTCCAGCTTGCATCTGAAGAAATTCCCTCACGTATCCAGGCAATCACAGGCAGGCGTGGTCGACCCCCAAATACTGAGAAAGCGAAGACTAAAGAAATGCCCAAGGTGAAACGTGGCCGGGGTCGACCCCCAAAAGTGAAAGTGTCCAGCCTTTTGAGCAAGATGGATGCCCGGGTTCTAAAGAAATTGGAAGCACAAGGTACGACCCAGTAAGGACATTCAGCACACAAGTAGCTTCCACAAGAAAGAGCTTTAGTTTGTGGCAGGAATTATTTGTCAGTATCTGGAGGAAAGGCTGTTGATTTTGTGCACCAAGAAAATTCAATTTTTGCTCTCAAAAATAAATCAACAAGGTGCATGCGATTCTGCTTATTTTGCATAAATCTCCATCTGCATGCTTTTTCTGGCAACTAATGTTTGAGTTTTTGCAAAATTTGGAATTTCTTGTCAAGGAGCGGAGTGGCAGCAGGAAGAGAGGAACGGATAAGCAAGGGGCAGTAAGAGTTTATAGGTAAGAGAACATGACTGGAGACCTTGAGGGGAAGGGGAAGCAGATATTCAGAGCATCAGAGCTTGGCCTCTGAGAACTGGAAGCACTTGCAGGCATTTTCTTCCAACCTTTCATTTGTGTCTCCACAGCTATGAGGGATTAAAATGTTTTTAATTTTTTCAAAGCTAAAAGATTCAGGAACAGAAATATAAATGGACTTCTGTCTTGTTTGTATGCATACAATCTTGAGAAGCGGGCAGCCTTGTTTTTCAGGTGTTGTGGATGCTCAGGTAGCTTTAGTTTTTAATATAGAAAACTTGCAGCCCAGCTGAGATGCATCAAGAACATAATGGGACATATTGGGTGGCTTCAGGTTCTGCTATATTACATATTAGGCAGCCACATTCCCTTATAATCTTGAAAATGTGAGTGTTGTTTTTGTGAATGGGTGGGAGAAGCTTTATATCTGTGCCCTGTGGGCGGAGGGGAGGGAGAGTGTCAGTACTACTTTAATTATGAGTTGGTTAATTTGTGACTTATGACGTATGTAGAAGTCATTGTACTTACAAAATGGCAAAAGTGCTAGTAGCAGAAAGTTTCCATCACATGTTCATGCAGTATATGTTGCTTGTGCACTGCCTTTAATTTGGGACTATAAGAGAGCAGCTGTGTTATTGTTAAACTGAATAAAGGGACCATACATTTGATATGAGGCTGAATAGAATCTAAGCCTACAAGGTTTCTTATCAGTCAGACCTTTGAACTATTGGAGATAACAGCTTTTGGTGTTAATTTCGCATTGTTGTATGTCTCCAAGTTGTCTTTGACTTATGATGATCCTAAGGTTTTCTTGTCAAGATTTGTTCAGAGGTAGTTTGCCTTTGCTTTCCTTTTAGGCAGAGAGAGTGTGATTTGATTAAAGTCATGCAGAGGATTTCCATGACTTAATGAATTCAAAGCCTGGTTTTCAGAATTGAATTTCAACACTCAATTGCACTAGAGCATGTAGGCTTATATCAGGCTAGTTTTAGAAAGTGATAGTACTCCTGGGAGGTATTGGGGACTAACAACTAAGCAAACAATAAAGGATTTTTTTTTGTTATGGATGCTTGTTTTTTGGACTAGAATAGACAATACCACAAATGTTGAGGAAGGGATATAACACAGTGCATCTACACTGTAGAATTAATACAATTTGACACACTTTAACTCATATCGTTCAATGTCATGGAAGTTTGGGAGTTGTAATTTGGTGTGACATCAATGCTCTTTGGTAGAGAAGGCTAATAAGGTTTTGTGAACCTACAACTCCTATGATTTCATAACATTGCCTCATGGCAGGTAAATTGGTGTCAAGCCACATTAATTCTACAGTGTAGATGCATCTCTAGATACAGGTATATCACATTTAACAAAGTTGGCGTGTTCTTTGGCATTACTTTTTTTTAACAGAAAACGTGTTACTGACAGCGGAAAAGATGTAAGGAATAGGAATAGGTTCCTACATCACAAAAAAGAGTAGTTTAACATTTTTAATAATGCTTTCTAGCCAACTCTTAACAAAGTGCACATGTGAAATCTGTAAGGTCAACTAAAGCTTGCATACGGAAAAACTTTTTGAACTTTCTAGAGATCATTTGAAGATTTATTTCAAAATACATCCAAGAATGACTTTTTCTTGCAGCAACTTCCACTTTTCCAGTGACTTCTGTTTTGGTGATCGAATTTCTAGATCTAGACCTTTTAAAACCATGATGGGGCAGACTTGGGGGGGGGGGGGGATATACCTTTGGGAGAAGGTATTGTCCCTTCTCAAATCTGTCAACAACAATGCCGTAAAATCTCTAACATAAAATGGAGAAAACTTAGTTAATGAAGTTCATTTTTACAAAGTTATTGTATGACTCCTTTTTATCTTCCTGCAAAGTATGCACACATTTTTATTTCATTCTACTTTTATTTTGTTTGTATTTGTAGAGGTACTCAGTGATGAAGACAAGCTGAAGATGAACAAGATCAAGAAGAAAATGAGGCAAAAGGTACCTGCAGTAGAACAAAGCACTGTACTCGGAGATGGAAAGGGGAGAAATGATTTGGGAAGAAAATGAGCTTGAATAAAGCAGGGAATGTGGGTTGTGAGAATTTCCTGCTTGGGTTACTGCTAAAATGGCATATTTTCCCAAGACAAGGCACACGTGTCAAGTTGTGCAGCAAGGAGGCCCATGTCTGTAATATATTTTTCTGTCTTCTCTTTTGAAAGATTCTTTCATCTGGTCTTGATAACATTGTAATGTTTTGTTTTTGTGCTAGGCTCAAAATAAGCAAAAGCAGGAAGCTAAGGCACCAAAGCTCAAGGAAGTCAAGTCTAAAGAAGTAAAAAAGAAGCCTAAGGTAGATCATTATCCTCAGTGTTTTTCTGAAAAAGGTGGAAAGTGTCCAGATCCTGAATGACCTCAGTGAAAACTTGACAGGTGTCTCCTTTTTTTAGCCCCAGGTAAAGAAAGAGAAAGAGAAGAGCAAGCCAGAAAAGAATAAACCAGAGAAGATGAAAGAGAAAGTAAAGCCAAAAGAAAAAATGAAGCCCATGGAAAAAAAGGTGGTCACTGCTGTAAAAATTCCCCGAAAAGCAGATAAGAACCTCATTGCCCAGCGGCGGCAGGAGGAACGGCAGAGGCAGCAAATGATCCTGGAAGAGATGAAAAAGCCCATTGAGGACATGTGCCTGGGGGACCAGCAGGTATGCTTGGAGCAGTGACCTTTGTAAGAAGCAGATGCATATTTCATTCTGTTGTTGTGAAGGAACTGTTATGCTTGGGAAGCAAAGCAGCCAGCTGAAAGCCTCATTCAGCCTCTTTAGCCTAGAGGTTCAGGGTATATGTCCATGCTCTTATCGATACAAAATGCATGCAGATAATGTGTCTTTATTTCATAACACTGATCAAATTTATTCTGCTGTAAGTTTCCAGTTTTTTGAGAAGAAACAAATTTTTGATAGCAAAACTGCAGAGAAAGAAAAGTGATAGAGAATGGGATGGCTAGCAATACAGATAGACGAGGGGAATGAGTCATGAAACAGAGCCACACAAAGAATTGTAGCTCTACCAACTGATTAATGGGAATCCAAACCATGTCCTGGTTTTTTAAACTTATTCTGGGACTAACCATTCTATATAACTATGGCCAGAGCTGTGCAATAAATACATAAATGAATAAATTTTTTTTAAAAAAAAAACAAACCCTTAGATTGCTCCTTAGGATCTGCAGGACATGACATGATGAGTTTCTCCAGATCATGCCAACGGAAACCAATAATCCAGGATGAGAAATGTCAGAGCCATGGTGGCTTTTCAGGAACAGAATTGAGGGAGAAATGTAAACATGCAGTGCTGTGGATTTAGCATAGTACAACCTCCCCTAGCCCTGCAAGTGTTTTGGACTATAACTTCCCTTATCCATTAGCTAAGCTGTTTTGCACAGATGAGAGGTATAGTCCAAGAAATTTGAGAGGTAAGTTAGGGGGAGTTAAATTATTTTAAATTTTAGAGTCAGAACAAAAGTTCTGCTTTCTTTTCTTTTCTTTTTAACTGAGATGCTCATATTAGAGCATCTCAGTGTCATGTTGGTTTGTTTATGATAGTTAGAGCCTCCTGTTTAGCTCCAAAACCTCCCTAAGTGGCTTACAGATAGTTGACAGTCCTTGTCCTTAGGTTTACAATAGAAACACAAAAGGAAACAAAAACATAGCAAGTGAGATAGGGTGGAATTTAATTAAACAATCCCTTGCTGCTCTTATTTATCAGAGCACAGAATCAGGATAGTAAGATACTATTTTAGAACATCTTTGTTCATATCTAAACTGGACAGCAAAATTGAGTAGCTCATGTCAGCCTGAGATCCAGCATAGTGCAGTTGTTTGGCAATTGGACAATGACTTGAGACCAGGATTCAAATTCCCACTCTGCCATGGAAACCCATTGGGTGTCCTTGGGCAAGTCACACACTCTCAGTGACAGAAGAAGGCAGATGGCAAACCCTCTCTAAACAAATATTTCTGAGAAACCTCTGTGATAGTTTGTCTCGGGGTTTCAATAAGTTGTAAACAACGTGAAGATAGACAACATGTCAGCCCAGCCTTTTCATTTTTTTTTAAAAAAACCTTCTCACAGTGATATTTTTTCTTTATCAAATTCAATGTGTGGAACATGAGATTTCTATAGGATTCATGTTACCCTTGTCAAGCAACCTGATGTAGACAATGTTTTTATTAAAAGTGTGGCCTTAGTGCTTTCCCAGGTATTCCCAATTAGACCTTTGGCAGTTTCGTATTTGTTCTCTCCACTTTGCTCAGTAATGGGCATATGATCCAATGTTCTGACACATTAGTTTGACTGAATTTGCTCATTAAAATACCAAAATTGTCTCAGTTACGTTCTGTTTGTTTCTGAGATACTGAAGTAGTCTTTTAAATTCTCATGCCCACCTGTTTGTCTGGCTGATTAGACCTGGTATATCCAATGGAACTGAATGTATTCTGTATAAGCTTGTCTGGCATTGAGTCTTTGGGTACTAAATCATAATCTAGTTTCTTGTCCTTATTCAGTCCCTGCCCAAATCATGTTAAAGTACAAGTAGGACTAGTATAGTCGCTGCATATAATGTATCTCTTCCCTCTCTAGCTTCTGCCAGAGTTTTCTCGCATTCCTGGATTGGTTTTGCCCAGCCATGCCTTCTCAGACTGCTTAGCTATTGTGGAGTTTCTACACAGTTATGGCAAGGTGCTGGGTTTTGATGTAGACAAAGAAATTCCCAGCCTGAATACTCTGCAAGAGGGTTTCTTCAATGTAGGTGACAGCTTGGGTGAAGTGTTGGACCTCCTGGTAAAGCTAGTGAAGGCTGCACTGCGTGATCCTGGCCTCCCTCCCTATTGCCAGGTAAGGCATGGATGTCTGTGTTCTATGTAATGTTGATGTGCAGAAGGAAAATAGGAGGAAAAATACAGGCTGGAAAAGGGATGTTAATGGCATCCCTTTAATGGTGTGTGAGCCTGCACAATACAATCATCTGTACTTTGTGTACTTTGCATTGCATCATTTGTATTATTTTTTCTAGGTTTATTATAAGAAAGATCAGTAGAACAAAAAAGGTATAGAAGTCTTTCAAAAACACTGGCTTATTAGGGAACGGGGGCGGGGAACAACGTTAGTAATTCCAAAACGGTCTCCTGATATGATAAGTTGGTGTAACCAGGATGGCGGTCCCTCCGGATTGAAAGTGGTGCTGTTGAACGCCAGATCTGTCAACGGTAAAACAACTTTCATCCAGGATTTAATCCTGGATGAACGGGCAGATCTGGCGTGCATTACAGAGACCTGGTTGGACGAAGCGGGAGGTGTAAATTTAACCCAGCTTTGCCCACCAGGCTTCTCTGTACAGCACCAACCGCGATCCGGAGGGCGGGGAGGCGGAGTTGCAGTGGTCTATAGAGATTCCATTCTTCTGACCAGGGCCCCCATCCCGCAGTCAACAAATTTTGAATGCGTCCACCTGAGGGTGGGGGACCGGGACAGATTAGGGATTCTGTTAGTGTACCGTCCACCTCGCTGCAAAGCCTAGGCTCAGAAGCGACCACAAAGGGCCACCCAGCCCACCCCATTCGGCGATGCAGGGACACCCGTCAACACCCAGGAGAACCAGCTCTTCGTAGAACCATGGCGTTGGAAGAGATCCCAAGAGCCACCTCGTCCAACCCTGTTCTACCTTACAGAGGAAGACAAGACCCAAGTCTACCATGGCAACCATGGGGCTGTCCCAACAGGTATCTGGCCCCACCCACAGTGCTGGACATACATTGGACTTGGTTTTCTGGCAGGGATGGGAGGAAGGTGGCGGTGTTGAGGAGTTATCCATCTCTCCGTTGCCATGGACCGACCACCACCTGGTCAGCTTTAGACTCACTGCACCCCCTAACCTCCGCAGAGGTGGAGGACCCATTAAGTTGGTCCGCCCCAGGAGGCTTATGGATCCGGATGGATTCCTGATGGCTCTTGGGGAATTTCCCGCCACCTCGGTTGGGGATCCTGTTGATGCTCTGGTCGCTCTCTGGAATGGGGAGATGACTAGGGCAATAGACACGATCGCTCCAGAACGTCCCCTCTCAAGTAGCCGAGCTAAACCAGCTCCTTGGTTTACTGAGGAGCTGGCAGCGTTGAAGCGAAAGAAGAGGGAACTAGAGAGCGTGTGGCGTTCGGATCCGGGCGAGCCAAATCGAACACGGTTTGTGTCCTTTTTAAGGGCATATACCGCGGCAATAAAGGCCGCAAAGAAAACTTTCTTTGCGGCCACTATTGCGTCTGCAAAAAACCGTCCGGCTGAACTGTTCCGAGTTGTCAGAGGCCTATTAAAACCCGCCACTCAGGATGGGTGCCCTGATGACTCGGCAGCTCGCTGTGAAGCCTTTGCTCGGTTCTTCGCAGACAAAGTCGCTTTGATCCGCTCTGGACTGGACACCATATTAACGGCAGTCTCTGAGGATGTAACACGAGCATCTGCTTGTCCAATTTTGATGGATTCATTTCAATTGGTTCAAACCGAGGATGTGGACAAGGTGCTTGGAGGAATGAGAGCTACCACATGCATCCTAGACCCCTGCCCATCCTGGCTTCTAAAGGAGGCCAGAGGGGGATTGGCCGAGTGGGTAACGGTGGTGGTTAACGCCTCCCTTCGGGAAGGCAAGATTCCAGCGAGCTTAAAACAAGCTATTATAAAACCGCTGTTGAAGAAACCATCACTGGACCCCACTAAATTTGACAACTTTCGGCCTGTTTCCAATCTTCCCTTTTTGGGCAAAGTCATGGAAAGCGTGGTGGCCTCACAACTCCAGGTATTCTTGAGAGACACGGATTATCTGGATCCGGCACAGTCTGGCTTCAGACCGGGACATGGTACCGAGACAGCCTTGGTCGCCTTAGTGGATGATCTGCACTGGGAGCTCGACAGGGGGAATGTGTCCCTGTTGGTGCTGCTGGACCTCTCAGCGGCCTTCGATACCATTGACCACGGTATCCTTCTGGGACGCCTCGCTGGAATGGGTCTTGGAAGTACTGTTTTACAGTGGCTCCGCTCATTCCTCGAGGGTCGGTCTCAGAAGGTGTTACTGGGAGACTCCTGCTCAACCCCACAACCTTTGTCTTGTGGGGTTCCTCAGGGTTCAATACTGTCTCCCATGTTGTTTAACATCTACATGAAGCCGCTGGGCGAGATCATCCGGAGTTTCGGAGTGAGATGTCATCTGTACGCAGATGATGTCCAGCTCTGTCACTCCTTTCCACCTGCTACTAAGGAGGCTGTCGAGGTCCTGAACCGGTGCTTGGCCGCTGTGACGGTCTGGATGGGGGCGAACAAATTGAAATTGAATCCAGACAAGACAGAGGTACTCCTGGTTAGTCGCAAGGCCGAACAGGGTATAGTGGTTACAGCCTGTGTTAGACGGGGTCGCACTCCCCCTGAAGACGCAGGTTCGCAGTTGGGGTGTGATCCTGGACTCATCGCTGAGCCTGGAACCCCAGGTTTCGGCGGTGACCAGGGGAGCATTCGCACAGTTAAAACTTGTGCGCCAACTGCGACCGTACCTTGGGAAGTCTGACTTAGCCACGGTAGTCCACGCTCTGGTTACATCCCGCCTTGACTACTGCAACGCTCTCTACGTGGGATTGCCTTTGAAGACAGCCCGGAAGCTCCAATTAGTCCAACGGGCGGCAGCCATGATACTAACAGGAGCGGGGCGCAGGGAGCATACAACTCCCTTGCTGCACCAGCTCCACTGGCTGCCGATTTGCTACCGGGCTCAATTCAAAGTGCTGGCGTTGGCCTTTAAAGCCCTAAACGGTTCTGGCCCAACTTATCTATCCGAACGTATCTCAGCCTATCAGCCCACCAGGACCCTAAGATCTTCTGGAGAGTCCCTGCTCTCTATCCCGCCGGCTTCACAAGTGCGGCTGGCGGGAACGAGAGACAGGGCCTTTTCTGTGGTGGCCCCTCGGCTTTGGAACACCCTCCCTATAGAGGTACGATCAGCCTCCTCGCTGATGGTGTTTCGGAAGAGATTGAAAACATGGTTGTTTAAACAAGCATTCGGTTAATCCGTTGCTACCGAATTTTGATGACTAAGGACTGGTTAATCATGGACGACGAATTCTGGATTGTGATTTTAGTTACGAGATGCATGGGATTATTATTGGTGGCCCAATAATTTGTATTGTATATGTTTTTGTTTTAAATTGTATATTGTTTTTAATTTGTTGTAAACCGCAATGAGTCGCCGACTTAGGCTGAGATATTAGCGGTATACAAGTGTATAAATAAATAAATAAATAAATATTAGTGATGATAAACAGTATCAGTGGGTCAAAGAATGAGATTAAGTAGGCTAATATAGTTCAGAACATATCATTTGGGGTCTTAAAAGGGACGAGGAAAACATCAGAGTTAAAATTGTGTGCCAAGAAAATATTAATTATGCAAACTATAAAACCTGCAGATTGACCATGTTTGTGTGTGTAATATTACTCTGGTTGCTGTAAGACTATACTGTGGACTTGTGTAACACATAGAGCCCTGCTCATGCCTACCTAGACATCTTTGTCTGCTCTGGGGTTGGCTTTGAGATTTCATCAGACACTGCATACACATTTTCTTCTGTGGTTCTCTCAGTCAGTAACAGTTTGTTTTGTGAGGTTTTGTTGTTTTAAATGAAAGGCAGACTTTTGAGTGACTGTATTTCTAACTACTGCTGGTGATTTTCCCTTTTATCCTGCTAGTCACTGAAGATTCTTGGGGAGAAACTCTCTGAAATAAGTCTGAACCGTGACACTGTGTCTGAGATCCTTCGCTGCTTCCTCATAGCCTATGGGGCAGATGATAACCTGTGTGAGAGCTTGCGTACTAAACCCTTCCAGTCACTGCCCCCAGACCGGAAGGCTGCTGTCCTGGCCTTCTTAGTCAATGAACTCAACAGCAGTGCTCTTATCATCAAGTAAGTCCTGAATTGTGTCTCTGTGCTATATATATAGTGTTCTGAGCTCTAATCCGACAACAGTGCAGGTCTCAAGGGGCTGTCGCTTTACTGAATGGGTTGGGGAAAGCAGGAGGTGGAACCACCACAGCCTGGGATGGAAAAAGGTCTGCGCACAGACCTCATAAAGGCTCTCCTTGCCAAGAAAACTAAATGGACCAGTACAACCAGAGTTTGTAATTCCTAACTCCCCACTATTCCCCATTATCCCCACACCCACAAAAGAAAATATATCTTTGAAATATTTTGAAGTTATATATTTCCAGTCCTAGAGGAGAAGATTGCTTCATGGAGTCTACTAAGTCCCAAACATTTCTCCTCAGCTTGAAAATTGGATCTTCTAGTCACTACTGGATCTAGAAATTAGTCAATTTATAGCCAGTTTTGGGATACTATGGCCTATCAAGTTGGCGAAAGGTTGAAATTTAGCCCCTGCTTCATCTCAGGTGTTCATTCTATATTAACCCATGTTTAGTGGCTTCATTTGAGCAAAAGCTAATCATGTGTTAGATCACCATCATACAACAGCAGCCTAGGTAGAGAGCCTGCTGGGACAACTTATATTACACATTTATCTGAAGCAGCTAGAGAATAAATCCCTAACATATATTCATTAATCTTGAAAATCAAACAAAAGTTTGGTGCAGCATGTTATCTTGGTAACATCACAAATATGTACATCTCAGAATTTGTGCAGAGAAGACGCCAAATGGTGATTTTTTTTCATTTTTCTCAGGAACACTCCCCCATCCTGAAAAAAAAAAACAGATTTATCATTGTATTGGCAATCCAAAAGTTTTGTCCCTACATGAGCTGTTTTCCTGTATCTTGAAAGAATTGAGTGGCTAATTTGCTCTACTGCTGCCCAATTATGTTGCACACTGGATTTTGCATATTTCTTTGTGGAATAACACCACAAAACACACATTGCTATCAAGGGAATCTCTAAATCAGATTGTGAAACTTGTTGCTTCCAATTGTTTGGGCATCCAACTCCCAGAAACCCTAGCTAGCCTGTCCAATGGTCAGGAATTCTGGGAGCTGAAATCCAAAAACAGCTGGGTTTGACACCACTGTTCTAGATGCTTTCTCATATACATGTGTCACCATCCAAAACACAATTCTTCTTAACTTCTTTTACTGCAGTGAAATTGACAAGACTTTAGAGAACATGTCCAACCACAGGAGAAACAAATGGATCATTGAGGGGAAACTGCGCAGGTATGTGTCACTAGAATTTATCTTAGTGAATTGAAAAGTACCAGGCCCATGCTATCAACAGATATAATATAATTATTTTTAGTATGTTTTAACAGGATTTGGGTATTTTATGATGCTTTTAGTTGTTATTTTGTTTGTTAAGTTAAAATAGGTTGTGTTATATTGTTGAATGTGTTTGTTTTGATGTCATTGTCTGCATGTTTTTCTTTCTGGCAATTGAATGTTTGCCTTTTATGTTGGAATCCTTCCTGAGTCCTTTTGGGGACATAGGGTGGTATACAACTCAGTTTTTATTATTATTACTAGCTGTACCCGGCTACGCGTTGCTGTGCCCCCTCGTGGAGAAATGGGAAGGAAAGAAAGAAAAGAGCTGGTTTCTAAGCTATCAATACACAACTGAAGTGGCAACGTGTCAACCTAATATAGGCCCCTTTTCAGTCTCCTCGAGACCAAAGGGTTATATGGATGTGCGGAAGGACCCTGGGTTACCTGAGTCCACACTGCCATATAACCCAGTTCAAAGAGATTATATAGGTATTATTATTGTTGTTGTCATTATAGACATATAGATATTATTATAGGCATAAAGATATTATTATATATACAAATATTATTATTAAAACTATATAGGTATTAGTATTATAGATGTTATTTATTTATTTAATTATTTCATATTAAAAGCATTGCATACATTAGTATAAATGATAAAAAATAGAACTGCCTTTCTCACCCCTGGGGGGACTCAAAGCATTACATGAATTAGTATAAAACTGATAAAAAATAGAAGAAGCACAGGGCTATACATCTTTCAAGCAAAAACGGGCAACTGATGTATGGATATTATTACAGACCTATAGATATTTTTATAGGCATATAGATATTATTACAGATATTATATAGCTATTATTATTATAGATGTATACATATTATTATACGTGTATATAGTTGTTATTATTATAATTACAGACATATTAGATATTATAGACATATAGGTATTATTATTATAGATATATAGATATTATTGACAGACAGATATTATAATTATAGACATGGATATTATTATAGACATATAGATATTATTATAGGCATATAGATTTTTTTGTTAGAGACATACAGATATTATAGACATGTAGATATTGTTATAGACATATAGATATCATATATATATATACTTACAGATATTATTATGATAGATATATAGGTATTTGTCAGCTCACAACAGCTGGGCTCAATAATGACACGAGACTATCTGTGTCTATAATAATATCTATATGCCTATAATAATATCTATATGTCTATAACAACAACGACAACAACAATACCTATATAATATCTCTGAACTGGGTTATATGGCAGTGTGGACTCAGGTAACCCAGGGTCCTTCCGCACATCCATATAACCCTTTGTGGTGGGTTTAAGTTCTTTACGGATAATTTTTTTTTGGTTTTTTGAGTGAAGGACATAGATTGCTTTAGTTGGTGTCTTGTGTTCAAATTTGGTGTCGATTCGTCCAGTAGTTTCTGAGTTCTGTTAATCCCACAAAGAACATTACATTTTTAATTATATAGATTATTATTATTATTATTATTATTATTATTATTATTATTATTATTATGTAGTAAGGTGTCTGTACACTGAAAGAGTCTGTGAGTTTGTCATATCTTTTAAGTCATATCTTGTACAGTGTTGTATAATCCTACTTTGACCTGACTGATCATGTATTGATTTCCTTTCCATAATCTTTGATATTCCAAAGGGTTTAGAAGAAAATAGATTAATTTCTCCTAACTTTGCCATGTTACAGCAGTGGACTTTTTCTTCTTCCATCCTGTCTTTACACTGTAGATTGAAGATTGCTGTGGCCAAAAAGACTGGTCGCCCTGAATCTGAAATCAGTGGCTTGGAAGAAGGGCAGTGGCGAAGGAGCCCACGCATCACTGAGGAACACGAGGATATGGACTTGGATCAGGAAGGAAGAAAAAGAGCATACAAGACCCGGAAAGACTATGAGGTAGATGATAGTGTGACTGTGGTCATCTGATAAGAACAAGTGTCCTATCTCTGAATCTCCATTCTGATAAGAAATAGTTAATTGGGAAGAAGTATTGTTGGTTCCAAAACACAGGAAAAGCAGAATTATCGGAACAGAAAATTCTGCTGGATAAACGGCTCCAGCCCAGCGTAACTGTCCAAATGTATCTCCCCCTATGAACCACCTCGGAGATTAAGATCACCTGGGGAGGCCCTGCTTTTGATCCCACCTTCTTCACAGGCGCGACTGGTGGGGACGAGAGACAGAGCCTTCTCAGTGGTGGCTCCTTGACTGGATTTCCCTCTCCAGTGATGTTAGATCAGCCCCCTCCCTCCTGGCCTTCATCAGGAAAAGCGAAAACATGGCTTTGGGATTAAGCCTTCAGAGAATAGTTGCAGTGCAATAATAGATATGGAATATGTTCAATGACAATTGGAATGGCCCTGGACTACGATCATGGATGGTGTGATTTTAATATTGAATGTAATATTTTTAAATGTTTAATATGTATTAATTTAAATTTATTTTTTTTAATTTTATGTCATTAGAATTTTTTGTTGAATAATTGCCAATATGTAAGCTGCCTTGAGTCCCCTTCGGGGTTGAGAAAGGCAGGGTATAAATAGGGTAAATAAATAAATAAACCAATTAATTACTAGCAAATCAAAGAGGTCTGCAATTGCTACCGTCAGCAAATACATGCCTCACTGAAACTTCTCACTCAATTCATTTACCTTTGAGTATTTTAGCATTCTTTGGGGAAATCAATCTAGATTCAAGAGGTAGATGAAAGATTTGATTTTAATATATTTCTTTCCCTTGCCAGAATGAAATTCCAGTTTCCAGTGTGCCTGAGCTGGAGAGACAAATTGAAAAGCTTTCCAAGGTAAATGTCTTTGGTTATAGATAGATGAAAATGTGGTTTTTGCTAGGCTTAGTGAGGCTTTTGGAAGTTGTTTTTACAAATATACTCGTTATTGTGGAACCCAGATCTTTTTGTATTAATCCCCGCTTTACTGATTCTTTCCACAGCGCCAGATGTTCTTTCGCAAGAAGTTGGTCAGTGCTGCTCAGTTGCTTCGGGCTTCACAACTGGGGCAGGATCGATACCGGCGCCGGTATTGGGTCCTGCCCCATCTCGGTGGGATTTTTATAGAAGGTTGTGAGGCCTCTACAGGTACATGAAACTGCAACATGGACTTTAAAAAAAAATAAAAACAACCCTGAAGGAGTGAAAACCCTGTAGAGCAGCGGTTCCCAAATGCTTCTTTGAGTTGTGACCCCATTTATAGTGCCAAAGTTACCCGGAATGATTAAAAATAGACATTTTAGTAGAGTAAATGAAAGGACACCAAAGTTAGATTTTTCAGTATAATAGAATTCAGAATAATGGTAACTTCTTTTAACGCATGCCCTGTATAGTCATTTAGCTTTGTGGGGGGTTTAAATTCTTTACGAATTTTTGTTTTTTGTTTTGAGTGAAGGACATAGATTGCTTTAGTTGGTGTCTTGTGTTCAAATTTGGTGTCAATTCGTCCAACATATTTAGTGCAATGACTGAAATTGTAACTCATTAAGCTTTAAAAATTGTGGTTGAATTTTTGTTAATGTCATTTTCAGCATTTTATCTGTTTCTTGTTTTGGTTGGAAATCTGCTCTCAGAGATATGTAGAAACAAGAGGAGTGAAGCTTGAAACACAAGCATAGTAACATTTGGATGACAAGATTTTTTGTTTTTCCTTTTTAAAATTTTAATAGCTCACCACTGCCCAGCGATCCCACAGAAAATCCTTCATGACCCCATTTGAGGCAATGACCCATGGGTCGGGAACCACTGCTGTAGAGATTCAGGGCACAAGGAACAGGATTCCTGCAGCTAGCAGTAGACATGAGGGATAACCTAATGGGATAAGTTTAAAGCAGGAACTTCAAAGCATTTGAAAATAATAATAGAAATCAAAGTGGAATTTTGACATGTGAATCACACTGGTGTCTTGGCTGATGTGGGTGGAGGCAGCCTTAAAGAACAGAGATAACATCACTATATTTGAGTGAATTCCAGAGGACAATACATTGCATAATAGTTGTACCCCATTTTTGGTATTAGTATTCCTTGAATAATAGTCACTCCCTTAGTCCACTTAGAGCTAAGGGACTTCACTTGGGTGCCAGTCAAGTGAAGCTCTGTAAATGGATTTTTTAAATTGTATAACAGTCACATCTCCCATTTTCAGTGAAAAAAAGGATAAAAATGTGACTATGACGAGGTGAAATATGGTATGTCAGTGGGTCAAATTTTACCTTACCTGTACAGAACTTTAGATTTCCATCTGTTTTGTGAATCCTTTAGGAGGGAGCATTCAGTGATGGGTTGGGAGGAACTTATTGGTGTTTTCTAGAGGAGCAGTCTCATTCTCTCCTTCTGTCAATTATCTGGATTAATGCTGTATTGGAAAACACAGTTCTGGTTTACACCAGGACAGGGACTGTGGGTCAGTGTAGTATGTGCCTTGCCCCAAAACATAGAATCTATGGCATGATTTGCTGCCATAGATTCGATGACTTCAAGTCATTTCCTATTGATTTTTTTTTTCGTGTCAGAAGCGACTTGAGAAACTGCAAGTCGCTTCTGGTGTGAGAGAATTAGCCGGCAGCAAGGATGTTGCCCAGGGGATGCCTGGATGTTTTACCATCCTGTGGGAGGCTCCTCTCATGTCCCAGCATGGGAAGTTGGAGCTGACAGACGGGAGCTCACCCCTATTTATTACGACCTCAAAGGGATCAACATAATGTCACCTAGTGAGTTTCCTTGGTTTAGAGGGGATTTTAGTTGATATTTTTGAGATAGGTCTGAGCACCATCTAGTGGAGAGAGATAAATATATCTCATTATTGTTGTCCCCCAAGCAGATGTCCCCGAGCCACCTAAGAACACACTGGAAAAAGAAATGGTCCTGAAGGATGAAGAAGACGAAACACCCTCAATCAAAAAGGAGACCACTGATGCACCCCCAGAGACTGAGAATATGAACTACACAGGCTCTCGTTCGTGGGGGCAGCCGTGGCAGGACGATGTGGGGCTGCTGCCATCAGAGCCACTAGAGCCCAAATCGCCAGAGTACACATCCATGTCTTTCAGTGGGTTTTTGGAGGAGTCTATGTCCCTGGGCCAGTCTCAGCATGACCTCACCCAGTCAGCTTTCCTGTCCTGGCTCAGTCAGACACAGCAGGCTTCCTCGTTGCTTGACAGCTCTGTCCTCACCCCAGATAGCAGCCCCGGCAAAGTGGACTCTGTGCCTCCAGATGAAACAGACTCTGCTGCAGAGGGTGAAAGCGTCACACAAACGACGCAGGTGGCCTGGTTCAATCTGCTGCCCAAGGCACCTTGTAGTAACTCCCCACATGCTACCTCCATTGAACTGCCCTCTTTCAAAGCTTCCCCCCAACTGTGTAAACCATCGACCAGGGACCAGTCAAAGGCCTCAGTCCGGCAGGTGAGCGTCATTCCCAAAGGCCTTGAGGAAGCAATGTGAGCTCCCCTTTTGATCTTGGTTAGGCAAGTGGTGCAACAGGAATAAAGGAATTGTGTTGGCAGTCTGCACAAGTATATAGTCCCCATCAAGGAAATAGACAGGTAGATTTAGCTGACAGGAATAGCCCTTCCCCTTTGCCTTCTTTGTCTGCTTTTATCTCTATTCTCTCTTTCTCTTTCTGTTTGTTGCATTGCTTCTCAATTCCTTCTCTGCTCTTTTTCTGCAGGGGAGCAGAGCACCTTCCCATTCACTCTAATAGGCAGGACTTACCAAAAAAAACAACAACCTTGGGTGGGATGGATGCTCTTTCATAGGGGAGAACCGCCTCAAGTGTCAGTGCCATTCCTGCCTATCTCCACTCAGACACATATTCACCTTTCTGAGAAGCCATTTCTTCACTTTCTATTCTCACTGTCTGTACTGTACTCAGTCTGCTGTTTGTTAGATCCTTTCATCCCTCCATGCTTTCCATTCATATGTATATGTGTGTGTGTGTACACACACATACACTCCTCAATGTTCATAGAGAAAAATCTCAGAAGCCACGGTTAGAACTGAAAAAAGAGATTTGGCATTCAACAGTTGGAAGGGTTTCCTGGCTGTACCAGTGGAGTCCCAAGCTTCACTCTGGAATTCTCACTCTCAAATTTTGCTGCCTCCTCACCAAATACCTCTATCCATATGAAGATAAATAAAGATGTGTTTTAGCTGTGTGTATTCCAGGCCATCACAACACACTATAAGTGTTGAAGTGCTGGAAGACGGAAGGAAGCAGTTCCTTGTGTAGATGGCAGACATGTTGGCTAGTGATTTTTGACATATGTGTGCTTGTGGTCTTATGGATCCTGGTTTTTCCTCCTCACAGCTGAATGGCCTCTCCACCACCAGCCCAGCATTGCCATCACTGGCCTCCACTCCTCTCCATTTCAGCTCCAGGATCCCCAGTACTTGCTCCAGAGTCAAGGAGATTCCCAGTAAAGCCCAGAGGACCCCAGGGCAGCCAAGGCGACGGGGGCGCCCCCCTACTAAACTCTTCAAGCAAATGGAGCAGAAATACTTGACACAAGTGACAGCTCAGCCCATACCTTCGGGTATGATACAGTTGCTTTTTCATTCCTGTTGCATAATTTGGACATGGTGTACCCCTTTTCTCGAGTTTTTGATGTTTGATTTGAAGAACTGTGGAACAGTAGTATAGAATTTATTTGTAAAACGGCTCTCTGGGGTAGACCTTTAAAAACTTTTTGTGATCGTGACACACTTTTTAGACATTTATCCTTTTGTGATACGGTAATTAAATTTTACTAGCAAACCAGAGGTTCAGCCAACCCCTTACAAGAGTTTCATATAATATTATTTATTTATTTATCCTATTTATCCCCTGTCTTTCTTTACCCCGAAGGGGACTCAAGGCAGCTTATATAGAGGCAAATATTCAGTGCCTTAATACAATACAATTCCAAAATACCAAAATTAAAATTAGAATTAAAGTAAAACTAATACATATTAAGCATTTAAAAACAACACATTTCATATTAAAATCACCCCATCCATAATCGTAGTTCATAATCGTATATTAATAGTTGCTCCATGTGGTTAATCAACATAATTTTCAACAGATTTTCTTTTCTGAATTAAAAACTTATCAATTTTAGTGATAATTACAGCAACTCAATCAACAAATTGTGCAAATTATAAAAATAACAGTACCTACAGCATCAGCATTCCACTTTTGACACGATTAAGCCTAGATGGCTATAAAGCTGTAGATGGCCATCCAAGGGTTGTTTTGATTGTGCATTTTTGGCTGGCACAAGGGGGTTTGACTAGATGCCCTTTAATGGTATTTTCTAATTCTGTGTTTTTCTTTTCACAGTGGGCCCCTCCCCTGAGTTCCTTCTTGCCCTCCCCCCCCCTTCAGTGATTGAGACCACTGTTTAGGCCACTGCCGTCAGGGACAAGGTTGAGAGCAGACAACAGCAAGGAGGAGGAGGATGGCAGGAGGTTGGGCTTGGGCTTGGACTTGGATTCGGTGGCACTTGTGTGGCCGCTAAAGCTTCCACCTCCTCCTCCTCCTTCCTCCTCCTTCAGGGGCAGCCAGCCTTTGTTTCTGAGGGGTGGGGGAAGCATTTTTTATGTAACACACCTGAGGGCCATAAGTGCCACACTAATGTGTCCCAACACACAGTTTAGAAAGCTCTCCTCTAGGGTTTTGTATTACAAGTTGTATTACTGCACTTAGCTTACAGATAAGTGATGTTCGTCAGTGATTTCACCTTCTGAGCTGGTTCCTCCTTTTCCTGTTTTCCCCTTACAGAGATGCAAAGTGGCTGGTGGTGGTTACAGGACCCAGAAGAGCTGGAAGCTGTGCTGCAAGTACTGCACCCACGAGGGATCCGGGAGAAAGCCTTGCATAAGCACCTTACTAAGCACAAGGATAACCTGCGGGAGGTGTATGCCCGTGCTGCCAATGGTAAGAGTTCCCCATCCCATGGACCAGTGGGTTTTTGATCATCCCCACATTCTAGATGACTGCATGCCTGATAACTTGTTCTTACCTTTTCTCCCAGATCCCATTTTCCAGACTCAATCCGAGAACACCAACCATCTAGTGTCTCTGGAAGCCCTTGCCCAATGGTCAGTGGCTGAGCGGGCCTTTGAGATAGACTTGTCTGTTCTTCAGTGGGTAGAGGAGCTGGAGCAGCGGGTACTCATGGCAGATCTGCAGATCCGTGTACGTACCAAGATCCTGTAGAGACTGAAACCTTCCTGTTAGTTGTATACTTTATTACTATTATGAAGGAGTTACTTCTGGTGAAGAAATTTCATGCCATACATGTCATTTTTAAGGTCTCTGGCAATATCTAAATCTGGTGTACCCATTCAAAACCAATATGAAAGTCTCTTCCTGCTTCTGGGGTTCGAAAATGGAGAATTACCAGATTCAGATTAGATAGCACAGAACTTGATGGGGCCCAGAGGGGAAATGTACAATGACATTTTCATTCCCATGTAAGGATTCCATGTAAGGATATTGTTCTCCTAGTCGATGAGTTTTTTAACTGGCAATCTGCCAGCAACATGAACACTAATTGGTTTTAGACAGTAATTTTTTTATAACTGAAAACCTTCCATAATGTTTTGGGATACATTGTACATTGTACTAACAGAAATTCGAACTTCTTCATAATGATTGACTGACTTCAGTCCATCATTCTAGAAGTGTTGTTTCATTCTGAAATGAGGATACTCCTGGTTCTTGGTATAAGCATCTATCCTCAGATGTTATCGTCATCATGTGTCAATCTTGGGCAGTGACACAGGGAAAATAATTAGAAAATACCTAACAACTGGTTTCATCCAGTACTTGGATCGAAAACTCCCAAATGCTTTTGGATGTTCCTAGAAGAGTGCTCTAATCATCACTTCATCCTATCCAGCCCTTCTCGCTTCAGTTTTTTGCTTTGGCTCTGCTTTCCCTCCAGGGTTGGACAAGTCCAAATCCCGATTCAACCCGTAGTGACTTGGAGTACTGTGAGCATGAACTGAAACATCTGGAACACATAACCATCAAAAACCGGCGTGAGGGACCAGCGTTGCAGCGTGAAACCAATAACCCTTTAGACTTAGCAGTACTTCGTCTGACAGACCTAGAGCAGAACCTGGAGCGGAGATATCTCAGAGAGCCCCTCTGGCCCCCACATGAGGTGGTGATAGAGAAAGCTTTGCTGAGTGACCCCAACAACCTGGAGGCAGGCACCCCAGAAATGTGAGTGCTTTCTTTCATTGACAGAATTGGCTGAATTCCACCACTGACTTTGATCATCAGAATTGTATTCCTATTTCTTAACATCATTTGGACTGTCTTTGATTTTAGTAGAGATCAAAGGTCTGATTAATTTCCAGGTCTCATAAGCAAACTTCAGAAGATAAGAGGATATAATAAGGCCCATTGCAGTTGTCTTTGAAAATCTAGTGAATGTTGATGTGATTGTATGAGACCTACAGCAGATGACAGAAATCTTTCTGGAAAGAAGCTGCTTTCTGTCCCTTAGACTTGGTGTGGTACATTTTGTCTAAATGAGGGCTTATTAAACTTCTCACTTCATGCTGCTTTTTAATAAACAGGAGTTGACACAAAAAATTACATCTTTGCTGATTGGTAATGGTCTTCTTGTGGTCTCACCTCATCAAGCAATTAAAACTCTAGTTATGCAGTCCAGACTTTCTCTTACATATTCTTTCTCTGGCATTCAGAAACTGCAGTACTTTCTCCCCGTATTTTTCTTTAGTGGATGATCCTGTTTCTAGTATATTAAAATGTGTTGTGTTTTTCAATCCTCTAGTTTTAAATGAAAGCAATTATGCCCTCTTTCTGTCATTCTCTGTGTTTTGCCTCTGCCAGATTTTTGAGCAGCCACCTGTTCACAGACGTCTGCCTTTGTTCACCATTATAACCTAGGGATCCTAGATGATTGGACTGGGCTGTCAGGTGTTCAATGTTTTTTTTTTTCAGTGACCTCTCCTTTGTCTGCTAAATTAACTTGCTGTTTACATGTATGCTTCACTTCAATGAAACCAGAAAGGTTCACTTGTTGCTGATCTCTGGTGCTTCGTGTGGTCACAGTGCTTCCTCAAGAATTCTTGTGTGTCATTACACTATCTGCTTGACTTAACTTCTGTAGGTGCTGTGCCACCTGCTGATGTTCCTGCTTTGCATTCATTCTATTGTCACAGTCATTGGGAATTGGGTAGGAAAGATGGCCATCATGCATACAACTCCCAAATGACAAAATCAACCCCCTCCCTACTCCACCAATTTGGTCCAGTGAATGAAAATATATCTTGCATATCCTGCATATCAGATATTTACATTACAATTCATAACAGTAGAAAAATTATAGTTATGAAGTAGCATGAAAATAAGTTTATGGTTGCAGGTCACCACAACATGTGGAACTGTATCAAGGGGTCGCGGCATTAGGAAGGTTGAGATACAATGATTTATAGGATGCTGAAAAAGGACTGCAGTAGCATTAGGTTATAGAAGTGTGTTTGTAATAAACAGTGTGATAAAACATGAGCAGGGAAAGGGAAGTCAGTATTCCTCTCTAGCTGGTCCAAATGTAGCTATGTGTACCTTACAACTAACTTTGAAATCTCCTCCTGTGTTTGTATGAACAGCAAAACAGAGAAGAAAGGGATAGCCAGATAAATCACATCAGCTGTTGTACTATCTCCAGTATGATTTGTAAAAAGTACAGATCTGTAAGTTTGGCAAATGAAATGGAAATTATTTAAACTGTGGTCTGGTGAAAGAAGGAAACTATTCCTAGATACACTTTGGAAGAAACCTTGATATGTCTCTAGAACCATGATGGCGAACCTATGGCACGCGTGTCAGCACTGACACGCCTGGCCATTTTCTATGACACGCGGCCACATGCGGCTGCCTACAGAGAAGGATAGGGCTGCATCAGGGGCGGCTGAAGCAACTTACGCATTTGCCAAATCCCTGGCTGTGGGCTGCTTGCTTGCTCGCTTCTCCGAGCGGGCGAAAGAGAGGGAAAGGAGAGAGAAAAACAGTGTGCTGTCTCTTTAAGGCAGGAGCGCATCTGGGGGGAAAGAATCCTTCAACCCCGCCCCTCAGGATCTGGTGGCCGCGTTTGGCCGAGGGAGGGAGGCAGGCGCGCGCTTGGTTGCTGGGGTCTTTTTTTCTCCTCAGCTAAACCTCTCTGTTCCAGGAGCATTCTCTCCTGACGTTTCTCTCATATCTTATGGCAGGCATCCTCTGAAGTTTGTTGGAAACTAGGCAAGTGGGGTTTATATGCCTGTGAAATAACGTCCAGGGTGGGAGAAAGAACCCTTGTCTGTTGGAGGAAATTGTGAATGTTGCCATTGGCCAGTTTGATTAGCGTTGAATGGCTTTGCAGCTTCAAAGCCTGGCTGTGGAAGGTCCAGGGTGGGAGAAAGAACTCTTGTTTGTTGGAGGCAAGTGCGAATGTTGCCATTGGCCAGCTTGACTAGCATTGAATGGCCTTGCAGATTCAAAGTCTGGCTCATTCCTGCTCAGGGGAATCCTTTGTTAGGAGGTGTTAGCTGGGCTTGACTGTTTCTTGTCTGGAATTTCCCTGTTTTTTAGGGTTTATATATCTGTGGAATAGCATCCAGGGTGAGAGAAAGAACTGTTGTCTGTTGGAGGCAAATGTGAATGTTGCAATTGACCATTTTGATTAGCCTTTGGCAGCTTCAAAGTCTGGCTCCTTCCTGCTCAGGGGAATCCTTTGTTGTGGGGTGTTAGCTGGGTCTGACTGATTCTTGTCTGGAATTCCTCTGTTTCCTGAGTGTTGCTATTTCTTTACTGTCCTAATTTTAGAGTTTTTAAAATACTGGTAGCCAGATTTTGTTCATTTTCATGGTTTCCTCCTTTCTGTCGAAATTGTCCACATGCTTGTGGATTTCAAGGGCTTCTCTGTGTAGTCTGACATGGCTTTACTCACCATTTTTCCCTCCACGTACTTTTGTGAGACCTTATTCTCAGTGTTAAATAATATCAAAACCATCAAAGAAACAGATTGACAGATGATGTTAGTAGCACTTGCTTGGGCTTGAAGTGTACAAAATACAAACCTTCAATTGAACATTTAGTCAATGAAATTCAGCAACAAAAAGGTCACTAATAGGTAGCTTAGTTAAAGAATTTATCCTCCCATTATGCATTTTTGTTATTTAAACTATAAATATTGCAAAATTATGGGGCTTTTTCTCAAAGTGGCACCCCACCTGAATTATGCTCTTTTTTTTTGGCGGATTTTGACACACCAAGCTGAAAAGGTTGCCCATCACTGCTCTAGAAGATTCCAGCTATTGAGCTGATGTTTCTTTTCATGCATGCATATATTTTGTTCTGAATAAATGGTCTGCTGAAACAGGTTCAAGCTACTGTTTTTTGTCATTTTAGAAACCCATCTATTCTTTCCATTTTGTTCCTGCCTCTGGTGTCAGATTTTCTGTTGAAGTAATGTGCACAATCACTTCTGCTGTCAGATCTTCACATTTTCTGGGATTAGGGAAAAAGTGAAAAAATGCAAATTAATAAATTGCCATCTTTTTACTTCTCTAGAAATGTCTAGATCCTCCAGCACAATTCTGTGGTGACTTTCTACCAGATTGCACTGGAGATCCGAAATCAGGCCTCTTCACCCTGCAGCCCTCCAGGTGTTTTGGACTTCATCTCCCAGAATTTCTGCCTATTGAACAAGCTGGCTAGGGCTTCTGAGAGTTGCAAGCCCAAATGCATGGAGGGTTGGAGGTTCAAGAGGCTTGACCTAGAGCTTCCTAGATAAGAACATTTTAATCAAACCCACAGAGCTAAACCCGCAAATGTGGAGGGGCAATTGTACTATTTAAAACTGGAGGGTGCCTTTCCCCTATCTCATGGCTTTTTTTTTCTTTTGCAGCACATATGAGATCACGCCCCGGATGCGAATCTGGCGTCAGACTTTGGAAAGGTGCCACAGTGCTGCCCAAGTTGCCCTGTGTATCTGTCAGCTGGAGTGCTCTATTGCCTGGGAGAAGTCAGTTGTCAGAGCGGTGAGAAAGGAGAACTGGGCTGGGGAGAAAGGCAGAGCAGCAAGTGTAGATGAGGAAATCAAATTAATCTCTGGTGCTTCTTTTGGGGCTGTTTTAGAGGCACATAAAGTAATGAGGCAGTGATATGAGGAAAATGCAGTGGTATGGAAAGACCTCTCAATTCCAAGGCTACAGCAAATATCTGGCCTGGATGAAACCTGTAGCTACACTTTGGGGCCAGGACAAGAGAGTCAGCTTTCCCTATGGTCCTCTGAATGGTGTTTTGACTAGCTTGGGACTGGTCCTCACCCTTCCTTGTTCTCCCTGCTCTTCAGACTTGTCTAGTGTGCCGAAAAGGGGACGATGATGAGAACTTGTTGCTGTGTGATAGCTGTGATCGTGGTTGCCACCTCTACTGCCACCGGCCTAAGATGACTGAGGTGCCAGCTGGTGACTGGTTCTGCTCCCTCTGCATCGCTCAGGTGCTGGCTCCATATGGGCTAGAATCTGTCCCATCCAAAATCCCTTGGGTTTTCCTACCTGATTGGTAGGGTCTCCTTTACCCCACTGGATGTACAAAGGTGGAACAGTCTATTGTGTTCAAGGAGTGGGAGGGCGTCCTATGTGCTGCGTATATGTATGTCCTTGAGAGATTGCAGTGTCCCTAGCAGGGAGCATTAAAACTTTGCTTTTTTGCCTCTGAAATATTTTTTCCCTTTGAGAAAATTCCAAGGTATTGATTGTAGCTTTTTCTCCCCCCTTATCATTTTTCTTTTGTACAGATGCAAGGGGAATCCCCAGATGAGTATGGCTCTCAACGACGGGGCAAGAAAAGGAAAGCTGGTAGTTCTAAGGCATTTCAGGGGCAGGAAGAGCCCAGCCCTCGCTCTCGGGCAGCAGGATCCCAACAGCGTAGTAACCTGACAAATGTCCCATCACGATACTCAGGCGAAGGCCTCTCTCCCTCCAAGCGAAGAAGAGTGTCAGCACGAGGCCAGAGCGCTGACCTTACCTTCTGCGAGTAGGTTTCCTTTCAGAGTTTCAGGGAGGGGTTTTATGAAGCAGACAGAAGGAGGTTGGGAAATATGGGGAACAGGCTTCAGTCGTGAGAGAAGAAATCTCTCCAGCTGGGGAAAGAGTCCATTCTTTCTTTCCTTTGCTCTGGGGATGAAGTGTGGATGAAACCCCCTTGGATGTGCTCCTAGGCAGAGTCTTTCAGTATGCCTGGTGAATTTGTCAGTTGCATCAGCCCTTGACTCTGCATTGTCCTTATTTCATCAGGATCATCTTGATGGAGATGGAATCTCATGAAAATGCTTGGCCTTTCTTGGAGCCAGTCAATCCCCGGCTAGTGCCTGGCTACCGGAAAATAATAAAAAATCCTATGGACTTTTCCACCATGAGGGCACGGTTACTGCGTGGTGGGTAAGTACCGGGAACACAGTTATTAGTAATAGGGCCACCTCCTAGCATCTTAATTCATGGCACCTATAATAGAATTGGTACATAACTATTTCAGGAGGTGATTCTGGTTTGCAGAATCTGTCCCTTGAGGCCAAAATAATTCTGTGAAGGCCATCTGTGGTTTATTTATTTATTTATTTGGGGTTCTTTTACCCCGCCCTTCTCACCCCGAAGGGGACTCAGGGCGGCTTACAGTGGCAAGGCACAATTTGATGCCTGCATCATAAAAACAATCATACAAAAAATTTCATCAATTCACAGTTGACAACAATTCACGCATTATAACCATAAAATCAGTAAAATCAATAAAACCAATACAAACCCTATTTCTCCTCTTACATGGTTAGCGTTCACTAACTGATAGATCCCGTTTTACATTCCACTTCATCAATCCTGTTGATCTTACTCGCCTGATTGTCTGATTTAATTGCCAGAGTGCCCAAAGGCCTGGTCCCATAACCAGGTCTTCACCCTCCTCCTGAAGGCGAGGAGGGATGATGATGTCCTGATTTCCCCCGGGAGAGAGTTCCACAGGTGAGGGGCCACCACTGAGAAGGCCCTGCTCCTCGTCCCCACCAGCCTCGCTTGCGACAGTGGTGGGGTTGAGAGCAGGGCCTCCCCAGATGATCTCAAGCTCCGGGGTGGGACGTAGAGGGAGATACGTTCGGACAGATACACTGGACCGGAACCGTACAGGGTTTTGTAGGTCAAAACCAGCACCTTGAATTGTGCTCGGAACTGAATCGGCAGCCAGTGGAGCTGGCATAACAGGGGGGTGGTATGCTCCCTGTATGTCGCTCCCGTGAGCAGTCTGGCTGCCGCTCGTTGGACAAGTTGAAGTTTCCGAACAGTCTTCAAGGGCAACCCCACGTAGAGTGCGTTGCAGTAGTCTATTCGGGATGTAACAAGAGCGTGGACCACTGTGGCCAGATTAGACTTCCCAAGGTACGGGCGCAACTGGTGCACAAGTTTTAATTGTGCAAAAGCTCTCGGCCACCGCTGAGACCTGGGGTTCCAGGCTCAGCGATGAGTCCAGGATCACTCCCAAGCTGCGAACCTGCGTCTTCAGGGGGAGTGTAACCCCATCCAGCACAGGCTGTAACTCTATACCCTGTTCGGCCTTATGACTGACCAGTAGGACCTCTGTCTTGTCTGGATTCAATTTCAATTTGTTAGCTCTCATCCAGTCTGACACAGCAGCTAGACACCGATTCAAGGTCTGGACAGCCTCCTTGGTGACAGGTGAGAAGGAGTGACAGATCTGGACATCATCTGCGTAGAGATAACATCTCATTCCGAAACTCCGAATGATCTCCCCCAGCGGCTTCATGTAGATGTTAAATAACATCGGGGACAAGATTGAACCCTGTGGGACTCCACACAACAACGGTTGTGGGGCCGAACAGGTGTCACCCAATAACACCTTCTGGGACCGTCCCTCAAGAAAGGACCTGGAGCCACTGCAAAGCAGTACCCCCGAGACCCATGTCTATGAGGCGTCCCAGAAGGATACCGTGATCGACGGTATCGAAGGCCACTGAGAGGTCCAGCAGAACTAACAGGGACACACTCCCCCTGTCCAGCTCCCTGCGAAGATCATCTACCAAGGCGACCAAGGCTGTTTCTGTTCCATGTCCCGGTCTAAAGCCAGACTGTGCCGGATCAAGATAATCAGTGTCTACCAGAAATCCCTGGAGTTGTGCTGCCACCACACGTTCCATGACTTTGCCCAAATAGGGGAGATTGGAAACTGGCCGATAGTTGTCTAATTGAGTGGGGTCCAGTGATGGTTTTTTCAACAGCGGTTTGATAATAGCTTGTTTTAGGCTCGCTGGAATCTTGCCCTCCTGTAAGGAGGCATTAACCACCACCTTTACCCACTCTGCCAAACCCCCTCTGGCTTCTTTTATCAGCCAGGATGGGCAGGGGTCTAGGATGCATGTGGTGGGTCGCACCTCTCCAAGGATCCTGTCCACATCCTCAAGCTGAACCAATTGAAATGAATCCAATAAAACCTGACAAGCAGATGCTCTCGTTACATTCTCAGAGACTGCAGGTAAAGTGGTGTCAAAAACCGACCGAATCCGCCCAATTTTATCTGCGAAGAATCGAGCAAACGCTTCACAGCGAGCTCCAGAGCTGTCAGGGATCTCGCTTTTCGGCGGGTTTAACAGACCCCTGACAACTCGGAAGAGCTCAGCTGGACGATTCTTCGCAGATGCAATATTGGCAGCAAAAGATGTTTTTTGTGCTGCCGCTATTGCCACATCGTAGGACCTTAAAAAGGCATTCAGATGTGTTTGGGCTGATTTAGTCGGACTCCTGCGCCACACGCGCTCTAGCCACCTTTTCTTTCGCTTCATTGCTGCCAGCTCCTCAGTAAACCAAGAGGCCGGGTTAGCTCGGTTACTCGAAAGGGGGCGTTCCGGAGCGATTGTGTCGATTGCCCTAGTCATCTCGGTGTTCCAGTGAGAGACCAAGGCATCGACAGGGTCGCCAGTCAAGGAGGTGGGAAATTCCCCAAGAGCCGTCAGGAAACCATTTGGATCCATAAGCCTCCTGGGGCGGACCATTCTAGTGGTTGGTTTTACTTCCATATTTTTGATTATTCATGAGTTTGTAGCTGCTGATTAACTAACTCATCTTCCTTTTCTCTATCTCCATTTCTGCCAACAGCCACGGCCCTTACTCCCTTTTCCCATTTTGGCACCATTATTTATTTATTTAAAACATTTATATTCTCACCTCGAAGGGGACTCAGGGCGGAGCACAGCATATATACGGCAAACATTCAATGCCAGGACACAAATTCATATACACATACATAAACATTAAAAACATTTATCTCAAAATTAAAATGCACCATTTAAAACTGTCCTAGTCATCAGCGTCAAATCTGATTGGCCTTATAATCTTTCCTATTGCTGCTTTATTGCCCTGTCCCGAAAGCTTGGTCCCACAGCCAAGTTTTTACCATCCTTCTAAAGGACAGGAGGGAGGGGGCCGACCTGATCTCACCAAGAAGGAAGTTTCATTGCCGGGGAGCAATCACTGAGAAGGCCCTGTCTCTCGTCCCCACCAATCGCGCCTGTGACAATGGTGGGACGGAAAGCAGGGCCTCCCCAGAGGACCTTAATCTCCGCAATGGTTCATAGGGGGAGATGCGGTCGAACAGGAAAAGGCAGGGAATGGAAGGAAAAGGGAGGATAGGCCATTCATTTTGTGTGTGTGTGTGTGTATGTAATCTTCCACAACATACTGCAGCCATGTAAGAGCTAATAGTTGCAGTTCAGGCACTGTACTGCTAGATTGTGCTATGACCTATAATTGTTACAACCAGTGGGGGGGAAAGAAAGGAAGGAGACAAAGCTTTGAAATACGGAAGATTCATAGTATCATATCACAAATAAATAAAGTTGTGTGGGCTAACCCTATCTACCAGTTACACTTTTATGTTGTTGTTATGCTATGGCGGTTTCCTTCTTAGGCCTGGGTTTCTTAGGCCTCCAGGCCTCACGGCTGTTCTTTCTTTCTCATAGGTACACAAGTTGTGAGGAGTTTGCTGCTGATGCTGCCCTGGTATTTGACAACTGCAGGACCTTTAATGAGGACGAGTCGGAGGTGGGCAAGGCGGGGCTGGCCATGCGCCAGTTCTTTGAGAGCCGGTGGGAGGAATTTTATCAGGGAAAACAGGAGGCAGACCCATGAAGCCAGCAGAAGGGGGAGAAGAGAGAGGAGGCCATAGAGGAGCGCCTCCCCTTTGGCCCTGTGCTGCCTACTGTCTCTTGGGAGCTCATTTGCTACCTGCTGATTATCTCCCCACCTCCCCCACCTTCCCCAGAATGACTGGACTTGGATTGACATTTAATAACAGGGCGGCCTTCCTGCCTGGATCCTCAGAAGCCCTCTCCCCAGCTCTTCGCTCCAAGCAACACATGCTCTCTGACCGTGTAAGCCAAATAATAATAAAAAAAAGTTTCCTTTTTTAAAAAATGGAAAAGCAACCACCCACAACCCCACCTTAGCTGGGGCTATTTAATAATAGCAATAGTTCTTAGTGAATGTGTAAGAACACTTTTTCTGTGCAGTGTCAGTTCCATGCATTAATGGCCAGTAATGTGGACGTTAAGTTTTCCTCCTTTTTAGAGTCGCTTTGAAATGTATACAAGCAGATCACTCCTGCCTTGGGGAATGACAGCTGTGATGACACTGAAATATGCTGCTTCACTTCTCCCCCCCCCCCTTTTTTTTTGACCCTCCCAACTCCCCTTTAGCTCTGGTTTTCCCATTCTGAGTAACCCAACCGTAGCTGTGTCCATTTCTTTTCTTTGAGTGATATTCTCCTTTCTGAAATTTGTGTGTGGGTTAGAGTGGGTGCACGTTTGGGGAAGGATGGAACAGGATGCTAAGGAGATCCACCTCAATGCCCAGGGATGCACCTGCTCACTGGTTTCATCCCTTTCAGCCACTTGTCTTTTCTTTAGCCAAGAGTACTACTTAATTGGAGAGCTGGACCGATCAAACCCTTGTATGGAAAGGGTGTGTTCCCAGAACTGGTTCATATTCATGGGCCCCCTCTTTTGTACACACATGCTCATGGCTGGATTGTTTCACATTTTGTTTCTAAGGGAGTTGAACACAATGGGGATAATCCAGGAATCCACAGAGGAAACCAAATCATCCTTTTCTCTAGGCGTGCAAACCACAGAACCATCCTGCTAGATCTTCCTTCCACTTTGCCTTCATAAGGAACATTTCAGAAGGGCAGCTTATTAGATCCACTCTGATATCATAGAGCAGACCTGTCTCTGCATAACAAAGTAGACCATTTTCCTTCTGATTGTGGGTAAAATGCTGGAATGTATTGGTTAGCTACAAGGGACCAAAGTACAGGTGCTTTCAGGAGTAGGAATGAGGGAGGAAGGAAATGGATTTCTGGATGCCCCCCTCCAGCTCTACAAAATTTATTTTAAGAGATTCTGGCCTTATTGAGTGTTGTCCCCGTTCCACTAAACCTGCCCTCGTGTTATTCCTCAGGGATGGCTACTGTCTACAAAGCTTGATCTGCAGTCTATGTGTGTGTGTGGGCAGGATTGTTTGCTTCCTGTTTTAGAACGTGATTCCCAGTGTATTGTTAATACCCCCCCCCCCCCAAGAAAGAGGTGGGATTAATCCTGCTAGGGAAAAAAGAAACATAGTCCTCCCATTTTTCTCATTTGGACCGAATAAAGTATTGCTCTCTACTGTTGGAGTAAAACTCCCGTCATTCCTTACTATTGGCTCTGCTGGATAGGGAGGTTGGGGGTTTCAACTTGGCAGGATGCACTAGGCCCCACTCTGCTTTAATGCCTATCTGGACCTCAAATTAGGTGAAGGACCAGATGGTGGGGAATTGGCACAGTTTCTTCCCCATGCTGGCTACCTGTTTCCTGATCCGTGTTTGAATGCAGAGCTGGACAAAGTGCAGACCACAGGCTGCATGCATTCCTCACAGCTTGCATTTGAAGTTCCAAAGGCCCCGCAAACCTCTGCCCATGTGGGATTTCTTAAAATGACCCCTCCCACACTGGGAATGTGGGAGACAATTTTGCTATGTTCTTGTCTTCTTGCCCCTTCTGCTTCCTGGCTGCTCTAAGCTCAAGGAGGGGGTTGCTTCTCTGAAGAAGAAGAAAACTAAACAAGAAGTTGATTTCCAGATTTTAAGTAAGTCCGCTCCTGGATCTCAATACTGCTGGGCAAAATGATTTCCTGTGATTCCTAGGGGTTGTGAGAAGCATTTTTAATAGGGGTGGGGTGCCAGGCTCACAACTAATCAGTAGGCAACCCCCTTGAAGTGTGTGCTACCTAAAGCACCAGACCTAGTTTGGTCCTGACTTGCATCCAAGCTAAAGTGCAGCTTTGGGCAGAACACAGAAGGGAATGCAAAAATAATCATTTGCGTATGTCCATCTTGATGAAGAGCGTGGCCCTGTGGAGATGTGCTGGTTTGTACTTCTTTGCATCAGTAATTCATGTGAACATGTCTTACATCTTTTTTTCCTACTCCCCTTTTGAAATCTAGTGAATATTTTCAGAGGGGTAGCAAAGTCTTGATTTGTTTTGCTCATTTTCCCACATAAGGAAGGGTATTGTATTGTTCTTTTTTTTTCTCCCAGTGCTAAAGCCACTCAAAGCACATTTTGTTGCAAATAGAGCCATGTGTGTAGCAGAGACAGCCCAGCTAGTATTTAGATGTGGTGTGAGTTACACCAGTTTCAAGGTGTGATTTTTCAACATGCACAATCCATTGGGAATACCCTCTGCTTATGCTGCCCTTAATCATACAGATATAACAGTTTGCAATTGGATTTCTGGTGCTAGAGACCCGCTAGACTCAGGCCAGTGACAGAAGGCAGTTGGTATTCCTTCCAGTCCCTCCCTGCCTCCTTCATGGGTGTCTTATTCAAGCAAGTGAGGGTAGAGGTAGCTGCAGAGGTATTCTTAGCAAATAGCAAAGGAGTTGTTGGTCATTAAGGCAGCCCTTCTCAGTCACTCATCTCATGTCCAGGCATATGGATGCCTTCTTGTTATCTGTATGCGAAAAGGTAGCACACTCTGAGGGTACCTGCTCCACGCGATTGCAAAGGGAGACTTTTATGGAAACCGAGTCAGCCAACCTGCGCGTTGTTCAGGCGCTGTGGGCTTTGAAGCCCATCGTATCCCAGATGCCTGCTGAGACTAGAGGTTCTTTGCTGGTCTCTGTTCCAGGATACAGGTTCATTATTCTTGTATCTGGTGCAGAGACAAGGAGGCGCATAGGACTGATCAGAGGGAGACCACTTGGTTCTTTTCCTTTTCTTCCACCACTTTGAAGTGGATTGGAGAGGTGGAAAGCCATCCGCTGGGACCTTAACTCCCTTGCTGCTTTTCCTATCCAGCCTAGCTCCTCAAACCATTGTTAATTACGGGTATCACTTAGGAGCAGATCAATGGCTGGCAGGGTCCCTGAGGGAATGGCTTTCCTCCCGCCAAGTGAAGGATCTGTGCGCTGCTGTATGCCATGCCTGTGTGTTCCCCCAAACCCGCGTCGACCAATCCAATTGCAAGAGCACTGATGTAAGTTAAATGTAATCACAGGTGATGTAGCCTGGAGACCGAAACCTCCCTTACTGTGCTTCCTCCACCCAGACCTCACTCCTCCCAGCCCCCCATCCCATTGTTTTCAACAAAACGTAGCCTTTTTCTATCTAATAACCTCAAAGCATTATTTTATTTTAAATTTTGGGATTTGTTTTCCTTTGCTTTTAAAATAAAGTGGTAGATTTGAAGTCTATTTGAAACTGACTTTATATTATACATAAATATTTATATTTTATCTAAACTTGTGCTGTAACAAAACTTCTCTTTGGTTTTTAATGGGTTTTTTTCTTCCTGTTCTATTGGTTTGGTTTTTTTTTTCTTTGCTCTGTCACGAGAAAAGTTGTAGAATTTTGGATGTGTTCATTGTTGGGTTTTCATTAGAAATACTGAATTTTTAGATTTAAGCCCTTACACCTTAAAAATAGAATCCAGGTGTGTCCTAGTTTGAGTTTCATTAGAGGATACAATCTTACGCATTTATACACACTTGTTTTTGAACCTTAAATTAATTTCTCAAACTAAAATTGAGAATTACAGCAAGAATTGGCCTTTTCATTCAACTGCTGGCTTTTTCTTCCCCTTTCATCTTGATTTGATGTCAGAAAGTAACCAACCCATCAGCCTGTGAGATGCTCTGAACAGTAGGAGGGGAAGGGGGGATATCAAAACTTTTTATATAAATAACCAAATGTGTTTGTTTTAGTGAATTTTTGATAATGTACAGTTTTTTGTGAATTTAAATTGATTTCTTTCTATATTTTTAGGACCAACCTCATTTTTAATAAGGTTTAAAAAAAGAAAGAAAAAAAGTCTAGAATTCCTGTTTGTTTTCTTGTGATGTTTCCACAAGTACAGATGTTAGAGTGCTTGTCAAGTTTCAAAGAATAAACAACAAACAACCCATGTTTGATAGAGAAAATTATGCTTGGGAATGTCGTCTTTTCTTGTGGTAATTTGATATAATCAGAGTATTGCTCCTTCTTTACTTTTTGACAACCTGCCCTGGGCTTATTAAAAAATACTACCGTGACACTATGTTCATGATTTCCGGAGTAAAACATACTGAGAACCTTCATAAACTTTCATTTCAGGGCAAAAGTATTCTGAGTGACCAAAGGGTGAGCTTTCCAATAGCACTTAAAACAGTGGTTCTCAACCTGTGGGGCCCCAGATGTTTTGGCCTTCAACTCCCAGAAATCCTAACAGCTGGTAAACTGGCTGGGATTGCTGGGAGTTGTAGGCCAAAACACCTGGGGACCCACAAGTTGAGAACCACTGACTTAAAATCTTGTGGTATTCTTCATTTATTGCATTATCTTCGTGTTAGCATAACAGTCTTTCTTTGACATCCCCCCACCCCCCAGTTTGAGTGCATTTCACATGAAAGACATCCAGTTTTCAGTGGACAACTGAGGCCAGTCTTAGCTGCCTTGCAAAAAGGTATGTTTGGCAAAGGAAGCAGAAAGACTGGATCTACCTGATCTGTTGATCTTCTCATTTTGACCATGGTGACAAGTGTGACAGTGTACCCAGAAGCTGCTTCATGCAATTGGGTCTGGGCAGTGGCTTGTTGTCCACGATGACCTCAAACCTTAGGAACTTGTATATAATGTAGTTTTCCAGCAACATCTTGAAAAAAATCTCCTCTGTCTTCCCACAGTGTTGATATTACCCCCCAAGAGTTTGAGTTGTGGTAGACAAACATTTACTCTAAAGGCATCCAAAATCTCTTGCCTGAGTCTCAGGTTGTGAATGAGATCACTTTGGCTGCATCAAGTTTTGAACCAGAATAATTAATCACCAGACCAATCAATTTTTTTTCTTGGTGTCTTGCTTTTTAGGCCTATTCCTGGGGTTGTTTGGGGGTGCTGTTTCAGAAAATTGTTTTGGATAGAGTTCATCAGCTCTATTTTCTTAGAGACATGGTTATGATTTTCTGTGGGTGAACTGGTATATGGCATATGCTCTATATCTCAAAAACAAGAGGTGATAGAGGAAAATTGGTGCCATTTTTGGACTCAACAGATCAAATATACCCGGGAATAGATCTAACATTTAAAGCTAACCAGTTATGGAAGGTAAGACTAGGAAGAAAAGGGGGCTGTTAACAGCACAGGGCACTTCCAAGCCTTTCCTTCTTTGGCTATTTTTTGAAAATTCTCTCTAGCTCTCATATTTCAAGCTGGCCAGCCATAAGGGCTAGAAAATGCTTTCTAAGAGGTAAGGAATCAAGCAATACAGAAGAAAAATGCTGATCACCATATTCAGCTCCAAACTTTGTAGGTGGCTGCTTCATTTGCAGTGTTCATGTTCTGGATGTGTCTTTAGCTATTTGCTAGAAATACCTTGTTTGGTTTCATTATCACTAGCAGCCTTTGCTCAAGTGCTTTCTTTGTGCAAGTACAAAAGCAGGAAATTGGAATAGGTCCTAGAAACAGCAGATTCAGTTGAGCTTATAGAAAAAAATGTCATTGGATCCCGAATTTCTAAATATGCATTAACCAGAAAGGTCCTTGTCACAATTCCCCAACACAAAGCTTGAACATGGGAGGTATGTGAAAACATTAGTCAGCTATTTGCAGAGGGGGAAACTGATCCCTGATCCGTTGCTCAACAGCTGCTGCCCAGTAAGGATTGGGCACTTAGATGGTCCCTGTGTATTCCCCAAACTAATGAATGATAAGAATCGTGAGCAACGACTATGTCACCCCAGGGTAACTTAATGAGTTTCAGTCAGCATGTTTAATTTCTTCTAGACCACTGCTTTTTAAAGTGTGGGTCGTGACCAAATGGGATTGCCTTAGTATAGTGCTGGGGTCCCGAAACATTTGGGAGCAGCAAAAGGTTTCTGAATGCCATCCTGCATAAATCTGTTAGTAACAGCTTGCAGTGTTTACAGTATCTTCTGCAGAAAATGCTTCAGCTGTACTTCATAAAAAGGAAAATTTTCTTCTTTAGCAAACCTAGGGAATGATGATATATTTTCAGTAATTGTTTGATTTTTGTATCTATTTTAGATACCAGAGGTCATGTAAAAAAAAGGATTGGGTGGAAAAGGATAGCAAGTGGAAAAAGTTTAAGAAGTCCTATCCTAGACGACAGCCTTTTGTTCAAACTTTTGTGCTGATAATATTGATTTAAACGACAGTTCTAGTTCCCTGTGACCCATTTTCTTGTTGTGAGCTGTATTTGCTAAGAAAAGCTGCATCATTCTGAGTATGCTATGCAAATGTTCATATTTCTGCCCCTATTTCATCATTGCTGGATCCATGAAATGCACTCCAATACTTAGCTATTCCTCTGTCTCCTAGTAAGGCATTCCCCTATACGTTGCCAAGCCTATTTCAAGAGCTTCTCTTTCAAGTGTTTTCTGAAATATACTGAAAGTCACCATTTGAGACACAACAAGCCTGTGTTAAATAATCTTGTGGTTCACTTCAATGACCAGTATCCCAACGGGATATTTTGAATGATCACTAGGTGCAAAATTCACTCCAAATGTGATTTTTCCTAAAAAGCAGTCAAGTCACATTTTTTCCATCTTTTATTTCAAAACAAAAAAAAATTGTTCAAAATGAGACCAGTCAGGAGCTCCACAGAGGGGAAAGTGTATGGGACTGAGAGAGAGAAACAGGCCTGGCTATAGCATGAAAGATACAAAACTATAGAAACTTCTCAATTAAAAAAAACCTGTACAAATAGTCCTAAGTATATAAATAAAACTAGCAGGGAAAATGAATGGAGACATGAAATGGGATGGGGAAGTCAAGAGCTCTCACCTTGTCTGTGGCAAATGGAAGCACAGACAAGTTGCGTTTGAGAGATCCAATACCTTTGACATGGACTTCTGAATGTATTCGCATCAGAAACGGGGCCAGAGGCAAACAAGTGCTTTTCTGTTTCTTTGAGTGCCAATGAGTTTTCAAAAGACTCATGTACATCTATGGCAAATTGGTGCTTTGATTTAGCTGACATGTTCTGTTATTAAGCAGGAATATCAAGTGTTTTAAAGCACATCAGAGAGCCTGAAGCCTACCATAGACATGAACTAGCGGATGGATGGATGTTGTTTAGGATGGATGCCTATTGCTATCTGCTTTAAAGGCAAGTCGCTGTAGAGCAAGGCATCGATACAAGCATCAAACCCACCAAGAAAGGACATATTGCTCCAGAGAAAAGTGCAGAAAAGTTATAAACCTGTCCAAGAGAGGAGTTTGGCGCTAGTTGCATTGGATTTCAGCATAACCTTAACCCACAGTGGATCTTTCTACTAGAGATGGGAAGACAGAAGAAAAATACTACAGAGTCTGCAACCCTGAATGTTTACTTGTTGGTTTGTCATCAGCGGCCAGAAGGATTGGGAAGGGTGCTGTGGTTGCATTGCTTCTGACCATTTAACTCTTAGCAGGAGAAATGGTTTCAGCTCTATGGCTACTGGAGTGAGCTGGAATTTGGAAGACAAAGGTTGAAGTCCTTCCCTTAGTCTTCCCCTAAAACAGTGGCCAACAGCTATATTGGTACTGCTACCTTAAGAGCAAATCTCTGGCAACGATGGAAGCAGGAAATCACACCACTCAGTGCCTGGGACGTTCTGCTGAGGATCGGATAAGTGAGGATCGGATTGACCTGAAATTGGGTTGCAAATCAGTTTGTCTGCAGTTGTCTGACACCATTTGCCTACACTTGTGGTTGTGTTACATGTTGGTTCTTTAGCCGGAAGAGCCATGCTTCTGAGAAGCATCATTTCATTTTTGTTACAGCATTTCACTTTTGTTACAGCAGTTTGAGGGGGTGTGCGCAAGAGAGGCAAGCAATGGCCAGTCAGGCTTCATCTTGTCCAGGATAAGCCAAGTCTAGATGCCAAAAGAGTTTTTTTGCTTTTTCTTTTAACACCACCTTGGTGCTAAAAGTGTAAATTCTCTCATTCTTTCTACGGAGTATAGATCATTTCTCCCTAATATGGTAATCCTTGGCAAAAAAAAAAATGAATTCCTTCCCCTACCATTGCTATTAGGTTGTTGCCAACTCTTATTTTGGTTGTAGTCCTTGACTTAGATCCCAGAGGTTTCAAGGCAAATGTGGGGATTTCAACAAAGCTAATGTGCGGCCAACTATTTCCTTTGTCTCCTCTGAATTCCTTATTTCCATACAATTTTGAGGAGGGCATAACATTAAGAAAGCAGCCTCCGTTCATTTAAGCCCAGGACAGGAAGAAACATTGTATTTTACTTGTTTTCAAAAAGAGAGGCCATGGCCATCACCCGTGACTTTCAAGACCAAATGACAGGTGCCAGTCTACAACCTCCAGTTCAGATAAAAAGCTTTCTTTTTCTCCAGTGCAAAATGCACAGCCTCTGAAGGCTTTGTCTAAACCACACAAAAAAAAGGGGGGAGGGAAGAACCATTATTATTACCTGTGTAGATTCCTTGCCATTGTTGGGGTCCCGCACCGAGGCCACCAAACTTGTGTCCTCCCTTTGGGCAAAACACTTGTGTTCAGGTTCAGAGAAGCTAGCTAAGATTTACATATTACAAAGGATATTTTTGTTTAAAAAACAAAGCAAAACGGTACATTTAACAAAACTCTCAGTAACTAGCAGCAACATGGGGATATTTTCTCATCAAAGACAGACATTTCCCTCTCTTCTCCCCCTCCCCGACCCCAGCGAGACAGAGGAACCCAGGTTTTTTTTTTCCTAAGGATAAGGTGGGGACCTTGTCCCTTGGAGAAGGTGCAGTTTGCCGGTTCAGGATATACAAATGAACTGCAAGAGCATGTGAGGTAGATGTTTAGCTAAGAATGGCAAACAAAAATTAAACTGGAACTGGTGAGTGGAAAAATGGAGGGAAATCATGAACCGGGTGTTGTTTTTTCTTCCCCCAAATAGCACCAACAACTTCCAAGGAGGACATGGTTTTAATGCAAGCATGGAATCAATAGGTAGACAAAGAGGTTTGGACGATGCAGCTCGCTTTAAAAAAATACCAGCATTGAAGAGGGACAAACAGATTTGAAACTCCCCTACAGTCTGCCAGGTCTTGGGAGACCTCTGGCTGCTTTCCCTTCTGCAGGATGGACGGGACGAAGAAGCGTGGGGCAGGAGTGGGTTGTGCGGAGCCAGGCTGCGGCAGGGAAAACGGCTTTGCAAGCACAGATCAAGACACGGAGGGAGGCAGCGCACGGGGAAGGGGGGTGACTTTCATGGCTAGCAGGACAAGAGAAGGCCTAGCTAGACTGGGACTTTAAAGTGCAGGGGCTTGTTCCCCCACTGGCAGAATGGGACAGGGGAAATCAAGGCACAAGATCAAAACTCCAGCAGCTCTGAAGGGCACGCTCTTGAGGTCACAACTTGTGTTCAGGGCCCCAGGTTCGACATGTAAATGATGGTTTACGCTGAATCATTGCTCCATGGCAACTCCAGAGCTTAAAAGAAGATGAGCAGCCATAAATGTGACCTTCCTGCCCTCTGACCAGGCCTTCGATTGTAGTCTCCCACCAGGAAACGGGCTTAACCTAAGAAGATGAGGCCTCTGCTGCCGCAACAGCAAAGAGGCAACCTGGCCCCTTCCTTTCAGATCTGAGCTGGTACTGCGGGGGGGGGGGGGGGGGGGGGGGGGGGGGGGGGGGGGGCAGTGCCATTCAAAAGGAGGCCTCTGCAGCCCATGGAGGTTATCAATTAGGAAGAGAGGGGAAAGGAAAGTGAGGGTTTGTCCTAAACCACAGGTTTTTTCAGAATGGGAAATGGGGATAAGCTGCCCACAATCGCCTGTCTGGTTGCAGTAGATGTGAATTCTTGGTGTGAGGGGCTAGGAAGCGCTTTAGGAAGGGGATGGGGGAGAAAAAAACGACTAGGCAGCCCAAGGAGGCTTTAGAGTGATGAAGCATCTGGTCTGTATTATCGCCTTGCCCACAGCACACCTCTTATGCCTGCAAGCACACACTCACTCTCTCTCTCACACACACATAGCTACACATCCAGTCCTAGCACCCATCTTAATTCCTTCAAGACCGTTTTCTGCTCTCCCTTGGTGTTCTACCCTGTAGCCACAACCTTATTCACATACTCAGGGTCACTTGTTACCTTTCTGTCTCTTTACACACATACACCCTTCTCTTGGCTCTTTGGTTTGCTCCCTTACCATTTTTACATTCGTCTTTCCTTCTTGCAGTGGCTCTTACTAGGTAACTACTGAGCTCCATAAACACTGCCTGTTCATACAGAAAACATACCTCATCACAGAATTTGGAAATGTTCCTTTTTGCACCACCAACACCCAGAATTTCCCATGACCGGAGGCTGTGCTTCACGGGGGAGTCTAGCAGCCAAAGCCCAAAAGGGCAATTCTTCCAAGCTCAAATCCTTTAAGAAACAAGCTACACTATGCTTGAGAAGGTTTGGTTATTTCGCTACAGTGGCAAACTGAAAAAAATGGAAACAAGAGAATGGAGCATCTGAATGTAAGTGAAGACTCAGCCTGGTCTTCACTCTTTTCTATCCAAAGGGATTATACCCACATGCCAATCCCCTGCCCAGCACCTGCCACAACAACAGCCTGCTTGATGCAAAATGGCACTCAACCAATGGATGTGGCTTCTCCCTCCTTAAACACTCCACTCAAACTGGATCAGGGCAAGCATAAACCTGTTTGGAAAGGAGATGTGCCCTCGGAAGGAGCAGCACATGGCACAAGCCTGGTGCAACTGACTGATGAGCAAAAGAGCAGGGTGGGAGTGAGAAGGCAGCACAGGCTTTCTGAAAGCACTGGGCTTAGATCCTGAAAATGGGTGCTGCCACTTAGACATGTTCTTACATTGTCTCTCCATACCCTCTACATAAACTTGCACAGAGGCACCCACATGGAAGTAACATGGTTTTACAAGTGGGTTGCTGCACTGCTCAGTTGCATTCTCTGCTGCAGGTTTTGACATGCTTATCTGAGGACAAGAGGCTTTTCGGCACCCATATTATATTGGAACACAAAATTCTGGTGTGAAATGTCGGCTAAATGAATCTTTCAAATTAGTGACTGAGATTAATGAAAGACAAAGTGCTTGCAACTAGCTTGTAAATTTCACATGCTTATCAGGATACAGAAATTTGTATTCATAGTGAAAAGATTCCTATATTTAATTACAAGCATTTTTCCCTTATGGCAGAGATCCAAAACCAAAAGCCCATATTCTAAAACACACTAATTTCCAAAATGGATTCCAAACTCACTCAAATGTTTAGTTATTCATAAACTGAGTGCTTTTACAGTAACTAAGCTGCTTGGTGCTGTTTGTGGTTACACAAATCTCATGAATATCCTTATTTAATAAGCCACATTTGATCACTGAAAGGCCTTTAAGCACCATTTCACCATTATTAAGTTACATCTGAATGCCTGAGCTGCAAAAGAAAGATATGAAACTATAGGGTTTAGTGAGTCTGAAAGCAATTGATTAAAATAACAATAGTTAGATATTCCTTCTGCACCAAGGAAGTCATGATAACCAACTAATCTGTTATACATGCTGTCCTGGTAAAATCCTTGCCTTAGGAAGCCAAGGCAATGTTTCATTAGACGCCTTTAATCTTAACTAGGATAAAGTGACATGCTCTGGGATTGTTAAACATGATGAAACATTGCTACTACAGCAAGTTTTTGCCCAAGCGTGAGGTCAGCGAGTGGGGTATATTTCCCTTGGGGGAGGCATCCAAACTGTAAGCACCAGGCTTACATTGGGAGGAAACCATTTTCAAATTCTAGGCCAATGCCATCATATTTCTATCGGTCTACTGCATTTCCAAATCTTGCCTAAGTCAATGTGCATAAACCTTATATGGATTTATGTAAGGGAAAAAAAAGAGTTGAAAGTGAGTGCCCGTTCACAAAATAAGGCACTTCAGTTTTGCTCAGCACCTTGAGGGTAAGAGAACTGCTGCTGGCTAATTCACAGCTCACTAACCAATACTCTGGCAATAGGGAGATGACAAGCAAGGCTCACTTATATCCAGATGTCTCTTTAACTAGTATCTGAGGGTTACTGGAAGGAAGGCACCAGTCTCTTCACATGTTTGCGCCACCACCATGCCCACCAGCAGCAGAAGGAAGGGTGGGGGATCAATAACCAGCAGGTAAGCTATACCAATGAGCAGGTACATTTTGGAAACATCAAACACTCCTGTTGGGAGCTAAACCCAATCCTATTCACAGTCAGGCCAATGCTTTCAAGAAGCAAACCAAAAGCGACCTTTAAAAAACAAGGAAACACAAGCACCCTGAGTATGTCACAAACCCAGTTATACAGGGGTGCCTTCTACAAATGCCACCCTACCGCATACTTCCAGCACATGGGTGATGTATGCACACGTGCACAAACACACTCATGCACACCATACACCTCTAATGTTCCTGCTCTCTCTCTCCCTGGCTCCTTCCTTCCTTGGTTCCCTTGACATCCATGTGGCCTCTGCAATTTGTCCTCCCTGATTGTCAGCTACATAAGAGCAATTTCCTCAAAGGGCCGAGCTAGGCGTCAAGAGTGAGGGTGCAGTGCAATGGGGCACAGAGCAAGATTTCTCATAATCACCTCCATGAAAGTCTGGGAAAGCCACGTTTTAAAACATGGCAAAAGGAGCAGCTTCATGCCAACCTGGCTGGGTGATTTTACGGTGGCAGAGAGAAGACAACAGTTAGCACCATCTGGTTGGGGGAAAGCAATGAGGGTGGGATGGAGGGTGGAAGAAGAAGAAGAGTAGAAGGGAAACATGCAGAGAGGTGTCTAAAGCACTTGGTACCTTCAAGAGGCTCGCCGGGGAAAACGCTGTAGGAAGGGCCGGATTATTGCACATAGTCGCTTGCTATTGCGAGTCAGGAGGGAGCCAGCAACCAAGGGCTGCATGTGCAGCAGGGAAAGGGGGGCGGTGGCGTGGGGAACGTGCATAGTAACTAGGATCTCCATTTCAGAGGGAGGGAAGAGTCCTGCCAGCTCCGGCAAGGTGCAGGATGCGCCCTGGCAAGTATTGTTTTAAAGCAACTGGAGCAGGCCTCCCTGAATCCCTGCCAGCGGGAAGCATCGACACCTGCCTCTCCGCCACCCCCGGCCACGGCTGGGTTGTCCAAAACATAGACGCACTGTGCACCTGGGCTTAACAGGCATGCAGGAATTGGAGAGGGCACACGGCAGCACAGTCCGGACCGCAGGCGGCAGAAGGCACTGTGTGTGTATGTGAGTGTGAGAGAGAGTGTGACCCAGGGGCAGGGGAGGAAGTGCTGCTGCTGGTGCTGGCGGCAACATCTACGTTCGGTGTCCAAGAGTCCAGAAGTAGCGACACATCACTGGCGGCAGGTTCCTCAGTCAGTTTATTGTTCTCCTGAACCAGGGCACGGCAGGTCGGGGAGAAGATCCATGTGGAAGCCAAGAAGAGTCCGCGCAGAAGCTCAAATCAGAGTCCAAAGCATCCAGCGAGAACCGGTCCCATCAGAACAGGGCAAAAATTGAGGTCTCAAGCAAACTCTGTTTCTCTCTCTTTTCAGCTGGGGCAGAGTTTATGCCAAAAGAAAAAAATAGAAGAGCATTCAGTTCGTCAGACGCCGCCAACTGCTTTGTCTCCCTCCAACTTGACAAGGTTTATGCAAGCCCCTCTTGCTGCCGTCCAAAAAGTTCAACTTTTTTTTGTCGATTTCTTTTTTTTTTTTGTAGATTTTTTTGTTGATTTCCTTTTTTTTGTTTTTTTGTAAATTTGTCTTTTTTAGAAAAAAAAAACAACCCTCTGGAAATAATAAAATAATCCTTTCAAAGCAAAAATTCCCTCCCGCAACTCCAACCCCGAGGACAAAAAAAGAAGAAGGAAAAACAAAAGTCTGCATTGATTTTGATCCTACAGCTGCAAGGTGGGGCTTTCTCGGAGCAACTTCTTATAAAACAACCCAAAAAAAGTTATTCAAACACTTTTGCATATTTGTCCTTTAAAAATCTTTTAAGTGACCAAAGAAAAATAAAAACAAAACAAATCCAAATGGAGCAAAAAATTTCCTCCCAGAGCCACCTTTCAGAAAGAAAGCGGGGAAAAAAACAGTTCTTCTCTGGGGAATTTTGTGGCATCCAAAGCATTTGACTTTGTTGTTAACCAGAAAATAAACTCGCAAACACACGCACGCACACACCCACGCACAAAAATGTTTTCCTTGTATTAAAATAGTCCTTAGTCCATCTGTACATCTAAAGGATGGGGGATACTCTTTCCACCCCCACCTCTAACCTCCTTTGGTTCCTCGGTGTCAAAAGTCTATTGCAGTTATTTCCTTCTTTAAAAAAACAAACAAAAACAAAACAGAACAACCATTTTCCTTGTCAAAAAAGAGGGGGGAAAGCCAAAAAAAACAAAACAACCAAAAACAATTCCGTCTTCTAAACGCAGCACGATTTAAAAAAAACACAAACGAACACAAAAAGTTGTCTCCCTCGAAGTGATTGCCCAGAGCCGAGCTGCTCGATGGCACTAAAAAGGAGAAAGATGAATGATTAGAAGTAGCCCCACAATCACCACCACCACCTCACCCACCCACCCACTCACTGAGCTCTCTAGGGGCTCTAAAGGGGGCTGCAAGGGAGAGGGGCCTGCTGCCAGGGTGGATGAGAGACATCTGGGTAAGATATGGCTGGGATGGGTGAACACGGCTATGTTTCTTGCAGGGAAGCCACCTGTCTTACCCAAAAACATAGAGGGAGCAAGACTCAGCCTAGGCAAAACCCACTGTGGTGTAGTGGTTTAATTGCTGGACTACAATTGGGGTTGGAATCCACATTTGGGCACCCACCTTGGGCAAGTCACATGTTTTCAGCCTCAGAGGAAGGCAAAGGTGAATCTCTTTTGTACACAGTGCGCCAAGAAAATCCCATGCCCTTAGGGCTGCAATAATTCAGAAATGATGAAGGAACTTAAGAACAAAGAATCACCCGATGGGTTACCACCATGGGAAAGATTGGCTGGCCTTTGCAGCACTATTCCTGTTGGGTACAAAAGTGACTGGGTGTGGAAAAACCCTCTTCACCTCGCTTGGGTGGTGTGGTTTCGGAGGCTGGAGCCCTGGTGCCAAGCCACGGACTCGCATCACTGGGCCTTGTTAGGCATGTAAGAAATCATTTAGTGTATGTGTGTGTCAACTATAAAATAAGGTACTGAGCTAGCTGAGCTAGCTGAGCCTGGGACTTTTGGCTACTGTTACATTTTTCAGACTTAAGCTATGCAGATGCTTGCAGAGAAGCACAGAGAGACGGTTTGGAGTGTGCTCTTGCTTCATGAGCTGCTGGGGGAAGATTTTCCAAATAGACAAAGATCTCATAAAATAACATTATGTGAAGCAATGCAACTGATCATATCGTTCTAAGTATGTTGTTCTGAATTATAACAAGTAAACTTCTTTATTGATCATCTGTGTAGCATATTTTCTTGCTTTGACAAGACAGCATATGAATGTGAACTACACATGGTTTATTTTACCTTACGCCACAGGCCTTTGCCTTGCTAATTCCAGTGAGGTCAGGATTCCTTCTGTAACACCTACAGTTTGAAGCTGAAGCTTGGGGACAGAGGGCAAAGAAAAGGCCTGATGATATGTGTACAGTTGTTGCCTGTGTCTTTTATTATGGCAACCCTATCACAGTGTTTTATTGGCAAAATGTATTCAGAAGGTTTTCTACTATCTCGCTCTGAGACAGAAAGAGCGTGGTTTGGCCAAAGTTGCCCAGTGGCCTTTAATGGCCAGGTGAGTATTCAAGCCCTGGTCTCCAGAGACATCGTCCAAAGCTCAAACCACTACACCACAGTGTTCTTCTTGGCTGTATATCAGCAGGAAGAACAATGTGCCCGAGAGCTTGCAGTCCCAACAAAGCCTTTTAACGTTGACATAACCACAAAATGTCCAGTGATATTATTGTCCTCACTCTACTTAATGGATGAACCAATGTGAGTCTATAATCAGTCGTTTTTTAAATTTGTGTCAGAAGCAACTTGAGAAATTGCAAGTCGCTTCTGGTGTGAGAGAATTGGTTGTCTGCAGAGACATTGCCCAGGGGATGCCCAGGTGTGTTACCATCCTGTGGGAGGCTTCTTTCATGTCCCTGCATGGAAAGCTCCCCACGTCTCGCAGATTCAAACCACTGACCTTCAGGTCAGCAGTTCAGCTGGCACAAGAGTTTAACCCATTGCACCACCACAGCCTTGATCATTGATCACTGATCACTTGTACTCAAATGATCTTTCTTCTGGCCTCAACCAGGACCTCCTATTCCATCCCCAGCCCTTCTGGAACAGGGTGGAAGACAGAAGTCATAGATTCCTTCCCTTCCCCACGACCTGCCCACCTCCTATCACTTCCCCAGCCTTACCTGTTGTTACTTGTTGTACTGATACGGATAGGCAGCATGATCCGATGGGGACTCCACTGTCACATGGCTCTGCTGGCCACTGTTCTCCTGTGACAAAATACTCATGGGAACAATGCAATGGCAGGTGTTTTACCCCCAACATTTCAACCCCACAAGTTGGCTGCAGGCAAACTGGGCTTGCAGAAATCCTTTCTCTAAAGCAGATCTTGGGCAAGCCCATTTGGGGGATCACATATCACAGAATTCATCAGCCAGCATACTATTTCTGAGAGTAAGAATCTAAAAAAAAAACCTTTTCCCAACCCTGTTCTAAAGATAGCTCACTGACAGCTATCTGCTGGGACTTGATGGAGTCTCAAGGGCCTTCTCCTCTTATCTCCCAAATAATGCCTAACCCCCTGCCTTCCATCACTCTCTTGCAGCCTCCCCCTTTCCTCAGCTGGTAACATCGGGCGTTGAGACTTCTGCCATATCCTGGCTTCCAGGACTTGTTTCAGAATGAGTCAGTAGGTTTCAATAACATCTTTGCTCTTGCTCTATTCAGGAACACTCTCCTTACAGTTCTTGAAAGAATAGAATCATAGAGTTGGAAGAGACCTTATGGGCCATCCAGTCCAACCCCCTGCCAAGAAGCAGGAAAAATGCATTCAAAGCACCCCTGACCGATGGCCATCCAGCCTCTGCTTAAAAACCTCCAAAGAAGGAGCCTCCACCACACTCCAGGGCAGAGAGTTCCTCTGCTAAACAGCTCTCCTTATTGCCTCCAGAACATGGCCATATAGCCCGGAAAAACCTACAACAACCCACAGCTCTCCTTATAGTTAGGAAGTTCTTCCTAATATTCAGGTGAAACCTCCTTTCCTGTAGTTTGAAGCCATTGTTCTGGGTCCCAGTCTCCAGGGCAGCAGAAAACAAGCTTGCTCCCTCCTCTCTATGACTTCCCCTCACATATTTATGCATGGCCCTCATCATGTCTGCTCTCAGCCTTCTCTTCTGCAGACTAATAGGCATAATACAAGGGGGGTTATGATGCTACTATTATTTTCAATCAGGGACACTTTCCCTTTCCAAAATGCCTGTTTTCTCAATCAGGAATATTGACAGAGAGTCTGCAGAAACTGATTGGAGATAAGAGCAAGGCTTCTTCCCTTCCCTTTTGGGGAGGAAGGATTCTGGGAGGAAGAGCTTTGGAGGGGAATCTCTCCAAAGAGAAGCTCCACCTGCCTGGTGTTGAATATTCTTGGATCAAAAGTAGTCCACAGAATTTCTGGGCTTCCAGCAAACAAACCCGATGCCATCACAGCCGATCAAGGATCCCTGGATAAATAGGCTGATCAACGCAGCTGATAAACACTTTAGCTATGGTGTATCTAAAGTCAGTGACCACCGATTCTGAGCAGAATGAAGGGACGCCTTACCTCAACTGCGACACTAGAGGAAGGCACCTGTGTGTACTGGGGGATGTAGGCTCCTTGCATAGCTGCCGCTGCTGCCGCTGCCGCCGGCATATACTAGTGGAGAGGAGGAGAGGGGATGTGAAGAGCCTGGGGAAAAGGCTCTTGGGGAGCAAAGGGGAGGAAGGGGAGGAAGGTCTTCCTTACCGTGCCAGCACTGCTGAGGGAAAGATGGCCCAGCTGCTGGGTGAGGGGCCCCATCATGGAAGTGGGCTGGATGGAAATTGCATGATCCATGGCAGGCGTCAGCACTGTCCCCTGCTTGCCAAAAGGAAAGGGTATGTGAGAGTGAGTGAGTGAGTGAGTGAGAGAATGAATGCTGATGAAAACAAAATGGCAAGAATGTGGCAACAAAGGAAGAAGGCCTCCAAAGGGACTAAGAGTAGCTTATAGTGGAGGAGACAGTGAACATCAAATAAAACCACCTCCCAAAGCGTAATTCCCCAAGAAATAAAACCCAGAGACACACCCAGCTATAAGACCCTTGTTTTGTCACTTGCGAGAAATAACACAAGACAAGGATGTCAGGAGGAGAGTTTGGGAGGAAGAGAGGGCTCTCACCGTAGGCTGCATGAGGTATGACTGATGGTGCATCCAGGACGGGCTGTGAACCTAGAGGTCGTAAGAAATATTTATATCAATATAGTTCTTATATATTTTTCAGCAATTCTTAAAACAGCCTCAAAAGATAAACTGACATCACTGATAAGAAAAGTGCTGAGAGATAATGGACTTCCTGTTTCACTGCTCACACTTCTATTATTATTATTATTATTATTATTATTATTATTATTATTATTATTATTATTATTTGAAACACAGCAGAATTAGTACACAGCAAACAAGATCACTATGTTGGCTATTGTATTGGATTACACATCAGACACTTCCCAAGTGTCTAGGACTATGTGATGTATCGGCGAATAATGTGTGCAGATCCAAGTAGGGTGGCCTTTTGCAGCTGACTGATGGTAATTTTGTCAGAGACTATTGTTTTTAAGTGCAGGACAAGGTCTTTAGGCACTGCACCCAGTGTGCTGATCACCACTAGGACCACCTTGACTGGCTTGTGCCAGAATATTTGCAGTTCGATCTTTGAATCCTCGTTTATTTATTTTTATTATTTATTTTGAATATTTGTACCCTGTCCTTCTCAACCCCCGGGGGAGGCTCAGGGTGGCTTCCAATCAGCAGCAATTCAATGCCTCAGTATATACATAATAAAAACAAACAGTCAATAATTATAAATAGTTAAAAACATTAAAACAATACAATTAAAATCTACTAAGAATTACCACTCTAGTGGCCATTATAAGCCGAAAACTGTGGTTGGATGCTCCATCAAACTTATCCATTGTTATCATATTATTATTATTATTATTATTATTATTATTATTATTATTATTACTATTATTACTATTATTACGGAGATTTCATTGCTGCCTTTCTCCAGGAAGGACCCAAGGTGACTCACATCATATTAAATATATACATACCAATAATAATAATAATAACAATAACAACATCAACAACAACAACAACAACTGCAAAAGGCCACCTTTACTTGGATCTGCGCACATCATTTGAAAACACATCACACAGTCCTAAACGCTTGGGAAGTGATCAACTTGTGATTTCGTGATATAAAATCCAGCATATATATCTCATTTGCTGTAACATACTGTGTTTTTGTGTCAGTAAAATAATAACAATAATAATAATAATAATAATAATAATAATAATACTTTATTTATAGACCGCCCACTCTCCTCGAGGGGACTCATTGCGGTTTACACACAAAAAAAGGCAAACATTCAATGCCCATAAGCGAATACAGACATCTCAAAATAATGCAAAATAATACAAAATAATAACCGTAAACTTATAACAAAAGAGAAATTAACATTAGCATGAAAACCAGAATACGAGTAATCAAATAAACATAACTATACTAATAACTTGATTAACAATTAAGACATAAACACTAAGAGAATGATTAAAATACATAAAAATGGCTATCATGGTTGTTCTTTAACATGTACCGTAACAGCAGTGGAATATAAATAAGTTAGCCAGTGTTTTATGGAAATAAAAGTGTCTTAGTCCTCCTCCAATAATTAAAAATTGTAACCAAACAAGTATTAGAAGTTCAATAATCCTTAAAAACCTTTCATATTATTAAACATTAAACATTAAAATTGATCTAAAATTCCCATTCTTTTGTATCCAAAAGTGCCTGACTTCAGTTAAAAACTACTTTTAGGCACCAAAACAGATGTGGCAGCTATGCAATGGTTTGTCTGATAAAGGCCACGCCAAATTCAATCTAGATATTTTAGATGAAAATTCCCGTCTTCCTTGACCATGACAGGTAGGACTAACAGAATAAGCAGTCTCAAACAGGACCAGGGGTAGGATCAGAAACTACTGAGAATGAACTCACTGGGGAAAGAGGGTTAGTTTTTGAAAGTGAGGGCTAAGGGGATCTTATTTTTGGAGTATCACTGGTTGTGTTGCTGAGGCCAGTCTCTACCCCAACTATTGACTTTGCGTAATCTCTTCCGCCACTTTTCCCCTTGCCAAGTTCCAGGTTCTGGTATCATAACTCAACTAATGAGGAAAAATGTCAAGGGAGACCACTAAGAGTTAAGATACAAGTAGAACACAAAATGTAGAAGGTGCTCCTTCCACTCTTCCCCATTTTACTTTAAAAACCAGATCCTCAATCCGCATTATTCTATGACTGAGTTTGAACCAATAAGTCATTCCTCAGTCACTATGCCAGACCATCAGTATTTGAGACTCACGCTCAATTGCTAAAGGTATTGGTAAAGGTTTCCCCTTGGCATTAAGTCTAGTTGTGTCCAATTCTAGGAGGTGGTTCTCATCTCATTTCTACGCCAAAGAGCCGGTGTTGTCCGTAGACACCTTCAAGGTCATGTGGCCGGCATGACTGCGTGGAGCACTGTTACCTTCCCACAGAAGCAATAGAGTACCTAGTGATCTACTCACATTTGCATGTTTTTAAACTGCTAGGTTGGCAGGAGCTGGGCTAACAACGAGAATTCACCCCGCTCCCTGGATTCCAACAGCCAACCTTTCGGTCAGCAAGTTCAGCAGCTCAGCAGTTTAATCTGCTGCACCACCAGGGGGCCCTTCTCAATTGCTAGAACCATATTATTGCTCACATTTTCTTATTTTCTATGTCTCTCCCTAGTCAAATATACCAATCAGTCATATGTGTGAGAGGAGGATAGAGCACACCCAGGCCCCTTTCCTTTCTGTATTGTTGCTACTCAATCCCATTCTACATGGCAGCAAAAGTCCAAGGTTGCCCCCACCGACACTTGGGTGTGGATGGGTCTTGTGATATATGTACCTGGTAAGAGGAAACAGGCGATGGAAGATAAGGGGAGAGGGCAGTCTGGGCAATCATCCTGTTCGGGGCCAGGCTGTAGGGCGTTGTGTAGAACCTGCAGAAGATGTGGGGAGAGAAAGCTCAAGCTTCACGCCAAAACTGAGAGAGATGTAAATGAAGCCCTCCCTCCACCCCACAGGCTGGCATGCAGGTGTCTTTTCTGCAAGGCCCCTTGAAGATTGCAAAGACAGGGGCAAAGCAGAGGACCTACCCGTTCTGTAGTGCTGTCGTGGGGTCATAGGTCAAGGTCATCCCGCCCTGCATGGAAATACTGTACAGTTCATATACAGAGCCATGCCCACTCATTTTCTCCTCACCCTTCAGAACCAGTCAGTAACTGCTTCCTGCTCTAAAGCAGTGTTTCTCAACCTTCCCAATGCTGCAACCCCTTAAAACAGTTCCCCATGTTGTGGTGACCCCCAACCATAAAATTATTTTCATTGCTACTTCATAACTCTAATTTTGCTACTGTTCTGAATCATAATGTAAATATCTGATATGCACGGTGTATTTTCATTCACTGGACCAAATTTGGCACAAATAACCAATAACACTCAAATCTGCATACTGGTGGGGTTGGGGGGATTGATTTTGTCATTCGGGAGTTGTAGTTGCTGGGATTTATAGTTAACTTACAATCAAAGAGCATTCTGAACTCCACCAACGATGGAATTGAATCAAACTTGGCACACAGAACTCCCATGACCAACAAAAATACTGGAAAGGGTGGGCATTGACCTTGAGTTTTGGAGTTGTAGTTTGCCTACACGCAAAGAGCACTGGGAAATCAAAAAATGATGGATCTGGACCAAACTTGGTACGAATACTCAATATGCCCAAATACGAGCACTGGTACAGTTTGGGGAAAACAGATCTAGATATTTAGGAGTTGTAGTTGCTGGGATTTATAGTTGGCCTACAATCAAAGAACATTCTGAACCCCACCAATGAGAGAATTGGGCCAAATTTCCTACACAGAACCCCCATGCCTTGGAGGGACTTGCTAGCGCAAACCTCCTTCCAGTCTCACATGCTCTCCCTTGCCCACACATGCGCACCACGCTGCCATGCGATGAGCATGCCTGCTCTCCCCTTCCCGCTTGGGAGTCTCAGAAACAGCTCTTCCCTTAGCTTAGAGACTAGCCAATCACAGCAAAAGAGTGCTTTTGGTGGGATGATTCACCATCTGTTTCCAAAAGGGAAGAGAAGGACAGGCGAGTTCCTAAGACCATCAGAAGTATACGTTTTCTGATGGTCTTTGGTGATCCCTTTAAAATGCCTCTGGCGACCCCCACCAGGGGTCCTGACCCCCAGGTTGAGAAACACTGTTCTAAAGCAACACGCTTTGAGTCTCACTAACTTGACTGGCTGGCAAACAGGCACAGCCGTAAAGCCCACCAGTTAGACATGTGGTAATGGCAGTCTCCCATCTGGCCCACCAATTTCTGTCCCAGACCCTCCCCACTTTCCCTTGCTCTGAGCCTAAAAAAGAGGAAAAGACTGATTCTCCAAACTGCTCGAAGAAAAAATCAGCCCTCAGCAGAGAGAAAGAGAAAAGTGGCAGGAAAAGTAACAGAGCACGGGCAATTTATTTTCAACCTTTGCAATTCCCCAAGTGAAATTGGGTCAGTATTCCAGGAGTTTTAGTTCAAGGAATAGCACTATGTAACACGATTTTTCTTCCTGGGTTATAAATGTCTTTTCCTAATTGGTTCTATCATAAAAACATGAAAAAAGTTTATTAAACTGACAAAACTTTGTTTTTGCAGGACATCCTGCAGCACATTTTTCTATCGTTTTTCAACAAATATCTCACAGAGTCTCAACCAGTGCAACATAGTTTGTGGCAGCCACAAAAATAAAGTTTCACGAGTATAACAACTACTTTCAAATTAAGTACTACAGAATCAATTAGGAAATAACACTTTCAAACCAGGAACAGAACATTTTTCAAATTTTGTTACGTAGTGTTATTTGTCCAAACTCAGGAATACATCTCCCCTCACCCCATCAACTGACAGTCATGCCATGTTTGGGAATCATGTATGTGTTCATGACAGACCATTTTTGCCCCAATGTTCCCTCCTGGCCTCTCCCTTACCGTGTCACTTTCCCTTGGCCAGGCTCGTCCATTCTGCACATATTTGCCTTGATTTTGGCGTTTCTTCTGCCCACCATCAGCAAACTTGCAAAGCAACGGATCTGGAGGTGCTATACAGGGAGAGAGAGTGGAGTTAGCCCGGAGATGCTCTACTGATTTCACATCTGTACTGTCCCTTGTCCTACTGATGTTCCACAGCTCTGTGGCTCTGCCAGCGAGCTTCAGTCCCAAGCTAAAGGTCATTTCTTATCGGCTTAGTTGAGCCACCTCACTGACCTCCCTGCTCTGAACACCACTTCAAGATCTGTCCTAGCTCTGATCCTTCATAATCTTCACCTCTGACACCAGTTTGCTTCTTTCACTGCCTTTAGTCCTGAACATGTTAGGGTTCACAAGGCAACCACAGCTTTGCCTCTTTCACGAAACATGTCACCCCCACTGGTCTGGCTACTGGCCCTAGGCACCTTCCTTATTTGATGAGAAAGTTGCTTCACCCCAATGCCATTATTCCCAGTGGACGAGACACAACCTGTCCCCTCCCCACTCTGGCCCCAAGACCGTTAAAACCTTCACAGTTGATAAATATCTGTGGAGTGGGCTAAGCCATCTGCTTCCCAAAGAACGCTATTCAGTCTTCATGCAGATTGGAAGCTGGCGAGGCACCTTTTTCTCTCAGCAGAAATGGTCTTCACTGAAAGCTCTTCTTCTGCAGTCATGAATTTGACCTGCGCCTTCAAGCCACAACCAGCATCTATGCCAGCATGGTTACAATGGCAGGAGGATCATAATTACAGCATAGGACACTGTCACGATCTACCGTAATACTCCAAATAGTCTCATACAGGTTGAGCGTCCCTTTTCCAGAAATCCAAAATTAGACAAACTTCAACATTTAATTTAATTTACTTATCATATGTGTTACACCCTCATCTCCAATTGATCTTATTATGTAAATATATGCAAATATTTGTATTCCAAACTTCCCAAAATCTGAAATTCAGAATATTTCTGGTCCCCAGAATTTGGGATGAGGGATACTCATCCTGTGCAATCGTTGTTTTGACTGTCCTTCTCCCTCTTTGCTCACCTGGTACCCCTGGGGGTGTTTTGATATATTTGCCATTGAAGTGGGTGATAATCGCTTCACACTTTTCTGTAGACTCCATCCTGAGGAAGAAAAAGAGAGACGGTCAAGGAAGGTGGGGTCAGGGAAGGTGTCATATTTTTGTACCGAGGGCTTGCACTTAAAGTTTATAAACCATTTGATCTTGATTCCCTTAAACAATCGTGACGAAGCAATTGGAAATCTAGGAGAGAACCTTGTAAATGTTGGGAAGCCTGGAAGGCAGAACACTACTTACAGCACAAAAGCCAGATGTCAATCTCTCCCTTATACACAAGAACTTGCACTTTTAATGTGATTCTGAGAAAAATCTGCCCATGTGATTTCTTCAGGATTTAATCCACAAACAGGATTCAACACACTCTTAACCACAATTTCCATTTGGAAAATACATCTAGGCAGCTAATTCCTGGTGCAATGGCTTTTAAAACTAAATCGAGGGGTGCAAGTTTGAACATTACGACAACACAAAGAATAACAGAGCTGTTCTGTTTTGTCATCCAATATTTGTCAAATAACTCCCAAGTCCAGATGTGTTGGATTCCAGTTCTGCAAAGATGGTCATACTTCTGGCCACTGTTTACACACTACAGTGCTATCGGGCCAGCATGCATTACTCTCCAATCATGCTTTCCAGCTTTAAAGGATGACTGCACAGGGATTTCCTGTGGCAAGGAAAAAGAAACTGACAGCTGCAGCATGTTGCAGTGGGGTGGGCAAACGGGGAAGAATTTGAGCCCCTACCACTCCCCAACAATTATTTGCTTTAACTTTGTTCTGATCCCAACAAGGAATAATCAAGTCTAGGTCCCCCAGAGAGTAAAAGTTAACTAAACTTTACTCTCTTAATCATTCCTACTCTGCTTTTCAGGAATAACATAGGAGCAGTTCACAATCCCCTCCACTGATATGTGCTGATCCCAGAAAGGAGCCGGAAAAGGAGGAACCAGGCCTTATTCGGTGAGAAACAGAAACCTGGCAGCAGGGGGCACACCAGGACAAAGCAGGAAACGAAACCTAGATAATACTAATGGCAGCAGTGCTGCTCTTGTTGGTGCTTTCAAGCCATCGCAACAGTAAACATCTGCTTAACTATCCTAAAGGCACCAAATCCTATCTGATCTTAGAAGCTAAGCAGCATCAGCTCTGCTTAGTACTTTGATGGAGACCGCAAACAAGTACAAGGTACAGGAGGCTATTTATAAGAACAAGAAACTGGGAAAACCACTTGTGAGTATTCGTTGCCCTTAAAAATCCCTATGAAATGTATGCGTATGCCATAAGTTAATAGGTTATTTGAAAGACTGTGCACTCTGGAACACCCAGTGTAACAGCGAGTTAAACTGCTGAGTAGCTGAACTTGCTGACCAAAAGGTCAGCGGTTTGAATCCAGAGAGTGGGGAGACCTCTGCTGTTAGCCCCAGCTTCTGCCAACCTAGCAGTTCAATAACTTGTAACTGTGAGTAGATCAATATGTATTCCTTTGGCGGGAAGGTAATGGCACTCCATGTAGTCATGCTGGCCACATGACCTTGGAGGCGTCTACGGACAACGCTGGCTCTCAGCTTAGAAATGGAGATGAGCACCACCCCCCAGAGTCGGACACAACTAGACTTAATGTCAAGAGGAAACCTTTACCTATACCTTACACATACAAAACCTACCACAGGTTTTCTTGACAAGAGCTTGTTCAGAAGGGGTTTGTCTTTGCCTCCCTCTGTGGCTGAGAGAGAGTGATGCCCCCAAGGTCACCCAATGGGTTTCCATGAGTCTCCAAGGTCTTCTTCAAACACTAACCCACTATGCCACAAGCACACAAAGGTGAGAATGTGTAACAGAGTTGGCGGTTCACTCAGATGTTATCAAGATATGTACATCTTGAAGTATTTCTACAGCTTTGCAAGTATGGTCAATGAACTTGGATAACTTTAGGGAAATTTTGGGGTCAACCTGGTTCTTTTGTCATAAAATCTGCCCAAGCTTTGCCAGCTCTAACAACATTTCACATTTCCTATCCGAAGTGGTTCTTTCTGTTCTTCCTCTTTTAGGGCCAAGCCTTCTCTGGCCCCAGAGCCCTCAGGCACTCCCAGAACAGTTTAATTAGTAGCCTCGTTGCTCCATCTGTGTCCTTGCTCACAAGTCCTTCACAAGCCTGTCTAGACTTTACAATCACTACAGGAACACCTTGTTTCAGAACTGTGTGAATCAAGACCATCAAATCATGAATTTCCATATCCGTGATGTATGCCAATACCTTTGGGGTGTGAGGAGGGGGTAGGTAGGAGAATTCACATCACAATGGCCAGATTCACTTTGCATATAGTCCTAAATGAGTGGTGAGCCAGCCAGGGCTGAAGATGTTATTGGACTGCAATGAGGTCTGCACTTCAGTAGCACAATCTGCCACCATGGTGTCAAGGTAATGTAATGCATTAAAACTTCCATCTGGATTAGGACAGGAGCAGAAGGAACAAGGGAAGCCGTCCCGCCCTGCCTGCCGGCCTTCCTCACCTGGCAAAGCCCACTCCCCGGCTGGTGCCACTGGCGTCACGCAGGATGCGAGTGGAGATGACTTGTCCAAATGGCTTCAGCATCGACTCCAGTTCAGCCTCATCCATGCCCAAAGGCAAGTTTGACAGGTAGAGGTTGGTAGGATCCTGTTCCTGTTGCTATGGAAACAAGAAAATCAGGGCTGTTGCCTAGCAATAGTCCATCCCATCCCTCGGGACTCATTCCTTTCAAACTATCCCTCCTTTCCCTGAATTCATAGCCGGTCTCAGCTCACAACACTCGCCACCGTCTCCCAACCTCTGTGCACAAAAAAAGGCTCTCAGTACATGTGGAGAACTAAACAAAGAGAATTTGCTTCACAGGTACGTATTGTGCTGAGTTCCCTTCATGAGAAAACCAAGGTTGGGATATCAACGTGGCCTTGGAAGCACTGGAGAAACCCAGGATTTTGAAACAGATGTGGAGAATGTGTTAAGTGCAGTGTTTTCCACAGCATGCAGAATGTACGCATGACACATGTATCTTTGCACAAGCATCTTGAATTGCCAATGTGTCCAAATGTGTTTCAAGACAGATGTTTAAAAACACATGTACATGCATGTACTGTTATGTATTTGCTGTGGGAAGCACCAGTGGATTACCACTATGAAACATGGATTGTGTAAAATATGGAGCTTCTCTTAGGATCCTATCACATTGGGATACACTCAGTTTCTGACACTCTTTGGATGCGATTCTGAACATCTCCTATCACATGACCTTTGTTCCATATGGTTAGTTATACGTTAGGAGCCCCTGGTGGCGTAATGGGTTAAACCAGTGGTTCTCAACCTGTGGCACCCCAGATGTTTTGGCCTTCAACTCTTAGAAATCCTAACAGCTGGTAAACTGGCTGAGATTTCTGGGAGTTGTAGGCCAAAATACCTGGGGAGCCACAGGTTGAGAATCACTGGGATAAATCCTTGTGCCAGCAGGACTGAAGACTGACAGGTCAGAGGTTGGAATCTGGGGGGAGCGTGGATGAGCTCCCTCTGTCAGCTCCAGCTCCCCATGCAGGGACATGAGAGAAGCCCCCCACAAGGATGGTAAGACATCAAAACATCCGGGCATCCCCTGGGCAACGTCCTTGCAGACAGTCAAAGTCTCTCATACTAGAAGCAACTTGCAGTTTCTCAAGTCGCTCCTGACACGGAAAAAAAAGTACTATGTAGGAATCCATCTGCAAAATGGCACAGGAACAGAGAAATTGCACACAGAATTCTAATCATGTTTTTAAATTTAATACAGTTCTGAGGAGCTCTTTTTACGTATAATATTAAAATCAGTATGCATCCTGTCAGAAAAATCTCACTTTGAGACTTCCAAGCTACATCGCTGTACAATATTAGAAAAAAATTAAAAAGTGACGTAGGGAGGCATTCAAACATATTGGGAGTAGCCAGCTTTCTGTGTTGTGAGGAGTCAAAGTGAAGTATTTTCTAAGCACAAAAATCGGGTATGATGGGTTCAGTATGCATCCCCTCTGAATCAATATAATATGCATCCAGTCCTAACAAAATAAGGGATGCATACTGATATAAATAGAGTATATCTCTATGTGATAAGGTTCCAAAAGCTTTGAGACCTTTGCAAGTGACATAGCTGGATCCAGAAAAACAGCAATGTCCTCCCAGGTGGAAACAACCAAAGAGAGAGCCACATTTCTCTGTGTATCTGCTGGTTTTGAGCCCCTGAAGACTGTCCCTGCTAGTTTGATTTAACAACCAAAATCATGGAATTGCTAAAGGCATCTGATGCACAATTCAACAGTAACAGATATACTCTGCACACAGAAGGCCTAGCTTCAAAAACGGTCACCTGTTTTGGTAGCAGGTGACTGGAAAGATTTCTGCCTGAAAAGCCCTAGTCAGACAGAAAAGACAACATTAGATGGATATGCAAATTATCTGACCTGGGGCCATTCCCTGTTTCTGGGGGAAGTACAAATCAAGGCTAAGAGGCCCAGTTCACATCCAAACGTGCAACATACCCTCTGTGAACTGCTGTCCTTGTGGCAAAATGGTTGCCTGAGCCCAAGCAGAGCCAAGGGCAAATCTAACCTATTTGCTGCCAAATCCATCAGCCATGTTGGTTTGTGCCAAGTGCTTCTGGCAAGCAGAAAAAGTGCCATCACATTACACCTGAATCAAGGGTGCCGTTTCAATATTACAGTGATATTATGGAATGAACTCAGAAAAAAACCATTTCTACAACACTGGTGTAACATGTAAAGGACACCAAAACATAGTTGCAAATTGGCTCAAGAGAAGACCTTGCTATTGCTGAGTGACCCTCTTCCTGTAGCTCTGGATTTATAATGCTACGATTCTAGCCGAGATGTTGGCTTCACTCCTTTGTTGAAGGAGGGAGTGTCGTTCCCTTTGCATATGTTCAGGTCTTACCTTGGCCATCTGGGCCTGGACCCCACTGGCTTTGAGTGCTGTCACTGCCTTCTGAGCTGCTGTGGGGCTGTCAAAATCTACAAAGCCGTAGCCTGCAGGATAGAGGAGAGAAAAGCTAGGTTGATAGACCTTGAGTACCTTGCCTTTGAGGCAGAGGAGTGGATTATACAGGGAACCCTTTAGTACTTTTGGTCCTCCAGATGTTTTGGACTTCAGCCTCTAGAATATGTCACCACTGGCCTACATTTGTGAAGGCTTTTGGGAAATAAAGTGTAAAACAATTGGAGGATATAAGAGTGGAGAATCTCTCCTTTTTTTAGTATGACCCACACTCTGTGTCCTCAGGTTAACATATTCCTGAGCCCATCCTAGGACAAACCATATCTCTAGATCTCATCTCACCTCATCTTTATTTCTATTACAGCAGTGCATCTGTCAGCACACATGGCCAGTGCCAATCCAGAGCAGGGCTTCTCAAACATTTTCCACGCATGACCCCTTTCTACCTGAGAATTTTTTTCATAACCCCAGGTATAGTAAAGGTAAAGGTTTCCCCTTGACATTAAGTCTAATTGAATCCGACTATGGGTTATCTCATCTCCACTTCTAAGTGAAGAGTCGGCATTGTCCATAGACATCGCCTAGGACAGTCATGTGGCTGGCATGACTGCATGGACAGTTGTTACCTTCCCACCAAAGTGGTACCTATTGATCTACTCACATTTGAATGTTTTCAAACTGTTAGGTTGGCAGAAGCTGGGGTTAACAGTGGGAGCTCACCCTGCTCCCCAGATTCAAACTGCTGACCTTTCCATCATCAAGTTCAGCAGCTCAGCAGTTTAACCCACTGCACCACCGGGGACTCCCATCACCCCTGGTATATAGGTATATAAAATAAGTATAAAAACCAAACATCTACTGACAATAAATCAGCATTTGCAAGGTTTGCTGAACGGACTGGTTTTCCTCTTTGTGGAGTACAGCTGAGGCCTTTACTAAAAAGTCCACTGGAAACTGCACGTTGGTAACAGATTTGTGTAAATGGGTGGCCTTCAGAAATCCTTTACTGTTGCCAAAATTTTAGTGACCCCAACAATGAGCTAAAGGGATCCAGAGCTTAAGAAGCAGTGATTTAGAGGACCGATACTGAGAGTTTATATACCTAAAGGGACAAGATCCAATCCGATCTTGGAAGCTCACAGGGTCAGCACTGGTTAGAATTTGCATGGAGGACCACCAATACTTATCAGGATTTTCAGGCTGTATTTCAGAGGAAGGAACTGGCAAAACTACCTCTGAACCCTTCTTGCCTATGCAATTCATGGGGTCGTCATAAGTTGACAGGTGACTTGAAGGCACACACACACACACTAAGCCAATGCTACCTTGCTGACTAGCAAATAAAGTCAGGAAAGAGAATGAGAGAGGGCTGGCCTCACTTGCAGCTAAGTCAGGCCGCAGAGAGATCCCCCTTTGCCTCTTCCAGGCTTCTCTCGGTGTGGGTTCCCCTCCCTCCTCCCTCTCAGCAATGCCTGGCATGGCAGGAATGCAACTCCCCACCCCACACAGGCACCGCCCTCCCACACAGATAACCCGTCCCCACCGCCCAGACAGAGCCCATCCACCACCGGAAACTTGGCTCTGGAATCCAGTTCTCATCCTTGCCTCTCCCACACCTTTGTTTAGTTTTCAGCGCTAGAAGCCCCCAACCTATGAGAGAAAAGGTGCCTTCGGAGAGGGAGGGCACTTAATCACAAGACGAAAGAAGGTAAAGTAATACGATACCGTAAAACACTCTGGCTTTGAGCTTTCCCACTCAAAAAAGGCATCTGAGCAGAGATAACAAACCTACAGACCACCCTTCCCTCTCCTGTATAACTGCAAGGTTATTCTCCCTCCAAAAAGGCCAAAGCACCACTCAGCCTGCACTTACCTTTGCATTTGTTGGTCGTTTTGTCCAGAATGGCCTTGGTGGAAACAATTTTGCCATATCTGGGAGAATGGGAAAGGTATAAGGGTAAGTAACAAAATTAAGGCAGTTCCCATAGTAACTGAAGTCGACCAAATACTGCTGCTCTTGACAAGCAATTCAATAAAGTATCTAGTCCTTAGTGATTAAAACTGTTCATGGAAATTTGCATACATCTTGGATGGATATCTCCTTCAACAGCACTATATTTTTAGAAGATGCAATGCCAGGCCTCACATGGGACAGGAAAGCATGTCTTTTACCCTAGTATCCTAACCCAGAGAGTAGCATGGTGTAGCGTTTGAGTGTTGGACCAGTGGTTCCCAACCTTTTTTGACCAACATTAGTACCAAAAGCATTACGAATCTGTTTTTGGTCAACTTTAGATTTGGTTTGGTTATTTGGGGTGCTGATTCATAAAATTGCATTGGATAGACCACATCAGCTCTAGTTTCTGATACAGACCATATGCCATCCAGTAATCGCTGTCTGCTCACCCACAGAAAACTATATTTAATAAGCCTCAGCACCATAAGAGGATTTTGCGAGACCAGTTGCTCTTGTTGCAACGGTGTCATAATAGTGAGGCAACAAACCATATTTTAGTTCTTGCGGACCACGGTGGACCACGGATCACAGGTTGGGAACCACTTTGTTGGACTAAGACTCTGAGATCAGAGTTCAAGCCCTTGCTCAGTCATGGGAACCCATTGGGTGACCTTGGACAGGTCTCGGCCTCATAGGAAGGCAAAGGCAAACCCCTGTGAATCAATCTTGCCAAGAAAACCCCATGATAGGGTCATCATAAGTCAGAAACTATCTGAAGGCACACAGCAGAAGCAACAACAACAGCAACAATGCTTACCCTGTTCTAGAATCTGGAAGAATGGAAATAAATCCTTCACTTTACCATTATCACATTTCTTTTCTGGGAATAGTTTCACCAGGTAACATCCCAACTACTATGCAGCAGTTGAAGGCACAAAAGTCTTACCAAGGAATGGGAGAGAAGTCCACCCTCACTCCAAGGCAGAACCTTGACTACAAGCCAACTGCTGTTTCATGTACCAAAAAAATAGTTGCTGGTTTCGCATGTGTCTCCCAGTAAACGTCTGAAATGGGTACATATGTGCTTAACACATGCCAGGGGTTTATAGGCCCCATAGCAGCATAAGGCGGTGCATGTCTCTGTGTGTTTGCACACATAAAGCTCCCCCTCAAACATGGATAGGATCCAACATGGAAATGTTTCACTAGCAAACTGGCTCACTGGAGGGCACAAGCCTTGACACAGATTAATGAGTTATACGGCAAGATAGAGCATATGCAGGCACAATTCAGCTGTCACAGCCAAACTCTCTGGCCTGAAAGTTTGTGATCATATGCTTTAGAGACAGAACTTGATTTTGGTGACAAATTCAAAAAGCCTTAATTAAGTCTGATAGGAAAGAGGAAGAGAAGAGGGGAAAAACCACAAGCCCCTCATTCTTGTAACTATAGAAAGAAGGGTTTTTTTGAAAAGCGAAGAGTACTTAGAGAGATCTCAGAAGTTGGAGACAGGCTTGGCAGGAGACAGCATCTCAATATTCTACATGACTTCTTATTAATCTATTACGATGGACAGATGCAGAATAAATTAAGCAGGATAATTAATATATGGTAATATGCGATTCATAAAAATTCAGAATTTGTCAAGGAGACTCCTGCTAGTTTTCTAATTTCTCACCAGATTTTGCACAATATAGTCACAATATACAGCTTAGATGGATGATAGAATATGTTTGGGGCTGGGTGGGGAGGGTGACTACAAACAGGTGAGTTACATTTATAGCACTATATTTAAAATCTTTCCACCAATGGCGAGGCTGCATGTTCCGTGAGGCAAAAGTGTATACTGATGTATGTCAAATGTAGTTATGCTGAGCAGTCAGACTACAGCTACTGGGTGACAACAATGTGGGCAGAGGATCTTTATGAGACTGGCAAAGGACAATGCCAGTGGCGACATAGCAAATACTTTTTTAGATTGCACCGAAAGTAACCCTCCTTTTCCATTTCTTTTACTAGGAAAACCTTATGATGAAACAATCCAAGATGAAACAAGATTAAGTGCTAGAAGATGAAACTCGCAGGTTGGATGACACTCAATAAGCTGTTGGGGGGTACAGTGGAGGACAACGGAGAGTAACACTGTTGCTAATGATGCACCTGTAGTCAAGCCAAAAAGGACTTTCGACTGTTGATGTGCTCAAGAATGAAAGGAAAGTTCGACACTGTGCAACTCATATTATGGGACCATAGAGTATGAAGAATATGCAGCAGGGGAAATTAGACATAGTAAAACAAGAAACGGAGCATGTAAATATTGCAATACCTGGGGTGAGTAAGCTGAATTGGCCAGAGATAAGTCATTTTGAGTCAGATAATTACATAATGTTTTATTGGAGAAAAAAATCTTAGCAGAAATGGGGTGGCATTTATATAGAGGAGATATTTAGCAAAAGCAGACAAAGGATATAATGCAAAGTCTGACTGACTTGGCATTATATCAGTAAATTTATTTTCCAATTACAGAGACAAAAGAAGAAATTCAAAGATTCTATACTGGAGTAGAGGGGGGGAAAAAGATCACACAATGAAATAGGAAATCATAGGAGGGTGGAATGCAAAAGTAGGAAACAATGCAGAATCAAAAACTGCAGGAAAATTGGCCTAGGATCAAGAAATGAATCAGCAAAGCGACTGATTCAATTTTGCAAGATGAATGATTTATTCATCACAAGCATATTCTGTATATGTAGTCATCACCTGATGGCAAATACAGAAATCAAATAAATTTCATAATTAGAAGTGGAAGATGGAGTTGCTCTATTTATTTGCAAAAACAAGACCAGGAGCAAAATGGGTTCAGGAAAGGAAGAGGCAATATGGATCATATCGCAAACATATGCTGAATATCAAAGTGTATAAAATAATTTCAAAATAGAATCAGTCTATTCTTTATATATTATATCAAAATTGATTGTGTACATCATGAAAACTTTGGATTTTTGTTAAAGAAATGAGTGTGTCACAACATTTTATTGTCCTATACTCTGGACAAAAGACCGGGGAGTCAGACAAGGCTGCATTTTATCACCCTGACCACTTAACTTAAACATATTATAGGTAAAGCAGGATTAGACTTAGAAAAAGGAAAAGTGAAAACTTAAGGAACAAACAAAACAAATACCATATTACTAGAAAAAAAGAGTAAATACTTGGAATAATGACTGAAAAAAGTGAAAGGTGAGTTTACAGTTGAACATTAAGAAAACAAAAATAATGATAGCTGGTGATTTATGCAATTTTAGGTGATAAAGACATTGAAATAGTTCAAGATTTTCCATACTGTGGCTGAGTTATGAATCAGAATGGAAACTGCAGTCAAGAAATTAGAAGGCTAGATTTGGAAGAACAGCTATGAAGGAATGAGACAAGGTCCTGAAGTATAAAGATATATCGTTGAATATGAAAGCTGGATTGTCTATGCCTTTGTATTTGTTATTTCTATGTAATATTGTGAAAACTGGACAGTTAAGAAAGCTGATATGAAAAAAAAATCAACTCATCTGAAATGTGGCACTGGAGAAATTTTACTGATATTATGGACTGTGACAAAGGAAGATAAATAGGTCCTAGAGGAAATCAAATTTGAACACTCCCTAAAATCCAAGATAACTCAACCAAGATTGTTGTATTTTGGAGAAGACATGATTCCCACTAGAAAAGAAAATAATGTTTGTTAAGGCAAAAGTTGATAGGAAAAGAGAAATTCCACATTCTAGATCAGGCCTGGGCAAACTTGGGCCCTCCAGGTGTTTTGGACTTCAACTCCCACAATTCCTAGCAGCCTACCAGTTGTTAGGAATTCCATCAAGGAAGCTAAGGACCTGAGTCCACAAAATCTGATGATCTCTCTCATTTACCATAAGTCAAAGTCAGCTTGACGGCAATTAATAACAAATTTAAAATCTCAGGCCTCATGTATATTAGAAGTACCATAAATGGGTATTAGTCATCTCATTGGTTTAATGTTTTTATGAACAGTTTAATGTTTTTATGAGTTACTCATTTGTCAGACCAAACTGTTCTGTCCAACATGATACTGTACTCCTTAGCCTTTTCCCCTCCCAAGAGAAACACTCCTTCCAAGCACTATGTTAAAAAGGAAGCAAAGATGAGTGAAGTTCATTTTCATTCACGTTTATTCCAAAGTATTTTCTACGGAGTTGTTGTAGGTTTTTCGGGCTGTATGGCCATGTTCTAGATGCATTCTCTCCTGACGCCTGCATCTATGGCAGGCATCCTCAGAGGTTGTGAGGTGTCACAACCTCGGAGGATGCCTGCCATAGATGCAGGGGAAATGTCAGGAGAGAAGGCTTCTAGAACATGGCCATGCAGCCTGAAAAACCTAAAACAACCCAGTGATTCCGGCCATGAAATACAGATTTTCTACTGAATTTAACAGAAATTTGTTCAGTTGATTATAAATAATGTGAATAACACTATGCAATCTTACTTTGGTGTTTCAAAATAGCCTGACAGCCTCCCCCCCTCCCCCCGCTTCCCACTCCCTCCAGCTGCTGAGCCCTTCAGAGTCCATCCCAGCTACCCTCCAACCCCACCTCCAGTGCTTCCTGGTCACCCCAAGCAGGATTTCCTGCTTGGGGAAGGACAAGCCCAGGAAATCCGACCGGCGCCAAGAACAACCAAGTCCTGGCGCCTCCCAGCCCGGGCTCAAGGGAGTCCAGCTGCAGGGTTTCAGAATGGGACAAATCACAGCACTGAATACTGTGGTTGTGTAGCGAGCACTCTGGCTTGCGGGGTGGTGGGGGAGAGGGGGAATTCCTGCTCGGCAGATGTGGGAACTGAGACACCCTAGGGGCACCGAGCACAACTGTGAGAAAGAAAGGAAAAGAGAGAAGGAGGGAGGATGAGAGAGAGAGAGGGAGGGAGGCAAAATCAGAAACACAACCCAGCATTCCCAGCTGCCAGCAACCGCCAGGACTCAACTTCTGGACCGGTTCCCTTCCCCTCCCCACATCCTTCTCCTCTTAGCTTGCAACTCTTCTCCAGGATCCCTTCCCTCACACTCAGCGCGGCAGATTCCTGGTTTTGAAGCAGGCCCGTTTGTCAAGTGTGGCTTTGGGGAAGGATCCAGCATTCCAGGCTGGGGTGAGCTGAGGTGAGAGAGGAACAGCCCCTTGCCTGCCCACCCTCTCGGGCCTCCTAGCTTTAAGCACTACAGGCTGCCTCAGACTCCTTCACACAAGGACAAGGGAAATGGGAGAGGACAAGCTCTGGCACCGAGGGCACGTAAAATGCACAAGCGTTCTTTGGCAAATGCCAGAGCTTGGAAAAAGAATCCCCTCTGGCCACCATGGTTGGGGGATTCTGGGAGGAGTCCAAAAATAATTTCTCCGAGCTCTGGGAAAAAGCAAGTAATACACTCTCTCTGTCTGTGTGTACCTCTACATGCACACTTACAGACTCTTCAAAGGGCACTAAGTATTTCCTACTTAGAGCACAATCCTGTTCACATCAACTACCTGGGTCACTCATAATATCAATGTCAAAAGTCAATTTCTTGCTCTTCAATACTAGAGAATCACCTAGCCTGAGTACAGAATGGTTGAGACCCACAAGATCCCAAAACGGGCCAAAGGAACACAAAGCATTGACAACTGGAACAGTTATAGCATTTATTGGGGTGGTCTACAACTGAGAGCAACAATTACAGGTAATCCAATTGCATAAGATTGGATTGAAGGCTCCTTCTTTAGAAGCTTTTAAACAGAGGTTGGATGGTTATCTGTCAGGGGTGATTTGAATGCAATATTCCTGCTTCCTGGCAGGGGGTTGGACTGGATGGCCCATGAGGTCTCTTCCAACTCTTTGATTCTATGATTCTAAGAGCCCAAGTAGTCCTTGCAATGTCAGTGGGATTGGGGGGGGGGGCACCCTTAGTCACCTTCCTACAGGGAAAGCGCTTTCCTTCATTCTGTATTTTAGGAGAATGGATTAGAAAACTTGGGAGTGGAGACCTGTCATCGGGTCCTGTTGTGTCAACTCCCTATACATACCACTGGTGCCTAAGAATGGTGGAGGCTTCTTGGAAAGATACAAACATTTGGGGGGAACTGCCTATCTCTGGGCTCTTTGATTTCTCCCTAAGGACTGTCCTGAGTGGGATAAAAAAATGAGAGCTAGTCCTACAAATCCACTGTTAAACATGCTTCCAGATACTCTTGAGTACTCTTGAGTAAGGTGAAGAAAAAATGAAGCAGAAGAGAAAGTAGGCCAGACAAATGAAAATAACCATTGCATTCTATGGGTGGCAGCACAATTAACACCCCCAAATTGCTCCAGCCTGAAGGCAGCTGGTCAACCCAGATTGTAGCTTTAGGTCCTGCTGCAGACTTGACTATATCGCTTAGCTGATATGTAGATTGAAAAACCCAGTCTTCTAACTGGATTTACTTTTGTTTCTTCTAAAATCTCTTCCTGGTGATTCATGAGTCCAAGCTCCAAAGTTAGGTGACTTGTCCTTAAGAAGTTGGATTATAGCACACACTATCCTTTACCATTGGTGATGATAGCTAGGGCTCATGGGTTTTGCAATGCAATGCAATGGAAAGTCATGAGTTGCCCAACCTTGCCCTACTGGGGACCTCATCAGAGGAAACAGTTGCTCCATGCCCTGTATCACCCACTGCATCTCTTACCTTATCCCATGTGGGGAAGCTTCCCCCTGTTCTTCTCTATCAAACACAGGAAGCCTCCTGTATTCTTAGAGAAGCATCCTAGCAAGCAGCCAAGACACTTCCTCTACGGAGCCCCACCATAAGTAACCTTACATCATATAATGGCGTCCAGCAGGCTACCCCAAGGAAGCATCCTGGCATCATGCCAGAACACTTCCTTCTCTCCATGTGATAAGGTAGTGGATCAAATACAGAAGACTCTTTGTCTCACCATAGGAATAAATGCTGAAAACATCTTACTCTCTATGTATAGATTTTGGGATGTATAGATACTACATCATTTGATGCTACACCAGTGGTTCTCAACCTGTGTGTCTCCAGGTGTTTTGGCCTACAACTCCCCAAAAGCCCAGCCAGTTTACCAGCTGTTAGGATTTCTGGGAGTTGAAGGCTAAAACATCTGGGGACTCACAGGTTGAGAACCACCATGCTACACCCGTCATCAGAAGGGATCATGGAAGTATCATCCTTGAAAGTCCAGGGTTTTTCACTTGGGCAAGGGGAGGGAGATATGTGTTACCTCCTTGGCCTTGAATCCTTTTACTTTCCCTGTAACACAAGATCTCATTTCCATGTCACTTTGTTCCAAAGACTTACGGTTGACACAGCTTGACAAGGTCCTGGTCTGTGGTACCCGGGTGCAGGCCCCGGATATACAGGTTTGTTTTGCTCAGCTGGTCCCCGCCACCGCCTCCGCCGCCTGGTCCACTGTTGCTGCTGTTGCTGTTGTTGTTGCTGCTGCCACTGGGACTTGGGGGTGCCATCTGCTGGGCCACTGAGACATAAGGCTGCAGGGTAAACACATAAAACTAAATGAGCCAGCAGGTGAGCAAAGATCTGAATTTAAGGTGGAAAAGAGACTGGCCCTGCAATATGACCTGGATTATATGATTTTAAATAGTTGCTTAATGTGATGTTTGAACTGGTTGGCATTAATGTTTTTATGAGTTTGTTTATTTATCAACAATATGTCTACATGTGGCATTGAAGTGTTGCCTTTGTAAGGCCGCCCTGAGACCCTTCAGGTTTGAGAAAGGAGAGCTATAGGTGCGGTAAATAAAGAAATAAAAGACAATCATGTAGTAATACTGTTAGTGGAAAAAGACTTCCAAGCACAGGGCGGAAGCAAAGTGAGATCTGTGATATCATATCCACTCAGCATCTCCTTTCCTTTCCTACTAAACTTATGACCGTGACCTCCAGATATGATTGATGTGAAGGAGCAAGTTACAACAGTGAAGTATATGTTGAAAATATCTTGTGGAAAGGAGAGTAAGTAGGTGATTCGTGTCCCTTGTCGTCTTCTGGCACAAGTTCTCTGATATATCACTTTCAGGCAGCATTGAACGAGGTCCTTGAGACAGGAATGCCAGAACCACCCACTACTTCCTCTCTTCTTCCTCCTTTGCTTTGTGAAATCAGGTTGGCCTACACCTATTTTGCTTCAGGGCATGTCAGTACCTTTTCCTGGCCCAGAGCTAGAATACCCTCTTTACCCCCCTTCCCGGCCTAGTCCATTGCCTTCAGTCCCCCGATGGGGAGAAGTAAGGAGGTGTCCTCATCCAGGATGATCAGAGCTTCCACCCTTCTGGTCGATTTTACTCCACAAAAGCAACAAAGCCCGCTCCACAATGCAGCCACTGTCAGAGGAGAGCATCCAAAGGAAGGGGAAACATCCTCACTATCATTGGTTGAGGCTCCTTTGATGTCATAATTGCATAGCCGACAAGCAAATTTGGTTAGAACATTCTCATTTCAGGGTCTTCTCGACAGTGCTGTTCTTTGCACAATGGCTGCATGCCTGTTACTCATATGCTCAGGTACCCTTTTTTTCTAGGAAATATTTCTAAGTATCCAATTAGCAACCCCATCATGGCTGAAGTGTAGCTTTCCCAACTAGTATACTCATTAGTCTTGGTCATTACCATGGGAGATATTTTTGCCTGAGTTTATCACAGGCACATGTTGGGAGATGCAAGGACAATCTCTAGCACTGAGTGGTGGTACTGCTCCTTCTCTTCTGCCTGGATCATTATGGTGACCTTCTCTAGAAGGTCTTTAGAAGACAAGTGCGCCCATACTACCCCCGTTTTAGAAAGTTGTCATGTCATTGGAACAAAAATGATGTTAGTATAAGTAAATTTGTACGTTCCCTTTTGCTGGGTAGTCTTAGGAATTTCAGTTCTGAGAAAGAGGAGGAAAGATCCGAACTATATGGACCGAAGATATATCCTTAAGCCTTTAGAGAAGAGTTTGGAAATCATGACTTATAAATAAGGTAGATAGTTACCAGTAACAAACTATTTGGTTTTTGGATAGCAAAGTTGCAGTGACATCCCATTCCCTATGGGCATAATGGTGGAAACAAAGTTACTTCAAAGGAACAAAGTTACTGGCAGCAACAGGACAAGGAGGGCCTCGCCATCGCCCTCCTCAAGGCCCCCACAACACCAACAGGCCAGGAAGGCCTTGCCATCACCCTCCTCAAGGCTGCCGCAGCTCTAGTTGATTTATTATTGTTTGATGTTTGTTTGTTTTGGCAATGAATGTTTACCATTTTGTTTTTTTGTCTGTAAACCGCCCTGAGTCCCTTTGGGGAGATAGGGTGGTATATAAATAAATAAAATACTACTACTACTACTACTACTACTACTAATAATAATAATAATAATAATAATAATTCATTGGTTTTATAAGCATGCTTTATAATTACTTCTGTAAGGTTTTAAAAACCAGTGTAGCACTGGACTACATCTTTGGAGACTAGAGTTCAAATTCTTGCTCAGCCTTGAGAAACCACTGGTTGGCCTAGGGCAAGTCACATATTTTTAGCCTCAGAAAAAAAAACCTTGATGGGGTTGCCTTAGAATTGCTTGGAGAAACACAATAACAACAAATGTGATTTTCTTGCTTCTTGGCAGGGGGTTGGACTGGATGGCCTACAAGGTCTCTTCCAACTCAATGATTCCATGAAGTTTTCTAAATAGCATTTTTTGAAGTATTTCAATATGCAGAATATTAGTTACTTGAAAAAATGTTGGAATGAATGAATGACCAACTACCTCTTCAAATAGTGGAGAAGAACACTGTTTTCCAGAAGTGCTTTCCAAACTCTTCAAATAAGGTGAAACATCCTAGGGCATGTAGGAAGGGGTGGTGGTTTGAACAAAGATAATTCAAATCTGCATTTAGAGTTGTCAACTGGCCAGGAAAAAAACTGGCTGGACAGGTTGCTGTGTTTCTGACAATGGTTTGATCCCCCAGACATGAGCAGGTGACATTTTTCACTACATTGAGCTATTGAATGATCATCTATCTGCTCATGGCTGCAGTTCAATGTTAATCTACAACTGACGGGAGGCCACATGGGCAACCTTAACCATGCTGGTCCCGTCTGCCTCACCATTTTTCTTGGATGGAGGAAAAGCCTGTAGCCTCCCCTTTATCTTTCCAAGCCTGCTTCCTCCACTCCCTGGACTCCCTTTCTAAGACTCGCAGAACACTGCTTCATTCCTCGAGCGGTTTGCAAGGTCTTGTGATTGTGGGAGGAGGGGAAAGAGTCTCAAACGCTGGATTGTTGAGCGTTTAAAAATGACTTCTCTGCTCCAGGGCATGTGTGGGACTAGACGAGAGGCACATATGTTTGGCTGTGCACAGGACGCTCCATTCCCATCATTCATTCGCAAAGGGCTGCTGAAGTCACAGACTCTGCCCTGCTCACTGGGACACGGCTGGGTGGAGCATTTCGTATTGCAAAACTGCTCTGCTATTCAGCAGGCCCAGCTCACAGCTTAAGAGGGGCCTAAGGCTGAGACTGTAAGGGGGGTTCAGAGGAAGAACAAGCAAAGCTCAACTGAAAAGAAACACCAGTGGCAGCAAAAGTTTGCATTCTCCACACCAGCAAAAATAATGCCATTGCATTCTCATTTAATTTACTTATCATATGTGTTACACCCTCACGTCAGAGTTGGAAACTGACTCAACACCTTCATTATTTCTAAAAATACATTGAAAGGATGGGGAAAAGAGCCTTTATCACTTTAAATGCTGCACTGTCTATATTATCTGTGTTGCAATTACAATGCAGGCTAGATTAGTCCCATATATATATATATATATATATATATATATATATATATATATATAATGTTTTGATTTTTTACTATCCTTGAGGAGGCTTCTCTCATGTCCCCATATGGGGAGCTGGAGCTGACAGAGGGAGCTCATCCACACTCTTTCTCAGATTTGAACCTATGACCTGTCGGTCTTCAGTCCTGCTGGCACAAGACTTTAACCCATTGAACTAGCGGGTGCTCCTATAATGAATTAAATTTATTTATTTATTTATTTATTTATACGCTTGTATACCGCTAATATCTCAGCCTAAGTCGGCGACTCATTGCGGTTTACAACATTTAAAAAACAGTATTCAGTTTAAAAGCATAAAACACATATACATAACACATAAATCCAATCAACCATAATCTAAAATCACTAAGAAAAAAGTAATGTTTCAAATAATTGAATTAAGCCTGTTTTCCCAACTATATATTTGCTCCAAATGGACACACAATAATAGAAACAACAACAAAAAACGGTGATATCATTTGTGAACATCGTCCATTTTATCAGATGCTGCCACAGTTAAAATGCATTTGTCTTCAGCAGAACAAAATTTTTGTACAATCTTGGAGCAAAATCCAATAAATTTGGAGATACGTTTTGGAGACTGTGGGCACCTGTGAAATCAATGGATGAATTCCATCTCTGTCTCCATCTCATATATGTTAGAATGTTATGCAAGAATTTGTGCAATATATAGTGGAAATCAATATGTCTAAGTCCTTTTGAGTTCAATGGAACTCATTCATACGATGTGTGACACAGCCTAAGCAAGATGACCACTCAGTCACCAAAAGGCCAAAGTCTTCAGGGAACAAGGGATAACTAGACAGAATCATTTATTCATGAGATTAAAAGTCATGGATGAACCTAGAGTAAATTACTTTATTTCCCACTGTTTGCAAAGGTACCCTTTCTACATATCCTTGCTCGGAAGTAAACTGCATTAAATGTACTCTTGAGTAAGTACAGAATCAGAGAGTTGGAAAGGGAACACTATCTTGTCTAACCTCCTGGCATGTAGGAATCCACTCTTAAAGGAATCTGAGAAGCAGCCATGCAATCTTTATAAACACTTCCGAAGAAGGAGAGCCCCCATCTTTCATGGCAGGCTATTCTGCTATTGAGCAGCTCTTTTCTGCGAGGAAGTTCTTCCTTTTGTTTGACTGTAATCAGTGAGGTGAGCAACAGGAAAATAATACTGCTGCGCCTTTAAGAAGAGTCCTGTGGAATCATAAAGACTAACACATGTACACTGTTCCCTCACTTATCACGGTGGTTACATTCCAGGACCACCCGCAATAAGTGAAAAAACGCGAAATAGGGACGTCCCCTCCCCTTCCCTCCTTACCCTCTTTACCTTCATCTTCCTCCTCCTCCTCATCGCTGCCGGGGCTTCTTGCCGCTGCTTGGGCCCTGCAATTGAGGAGGCGGCGGAGGTGTCGTGGGGCCCAATCAGCGGCAAGAGGCCCCGGCAACGACCATGAGGAGGAAGAGGAAAGTAAAGAGGGTGAGGAGGGAGGAAGAGCCGCCCCCTCACCCTCTTTACCTTTCTCCTCCTGGTCGCCACTGGGGCCTCTTGCTGCCACGGCGTACAGTGTTCTCTCGCTACATATATATATATATATATACACACACACAAACCGCAAAACAGTGAGTCCACGGT